CCGACACCGGGGGCGGAGAGAAGGCAGGGGTGTGGCTGGCACACATCCCGGGGGCATGGCGCCAGGCATGGGGGGGTGCGCGGCACGTGTCCAGGGGGTGGCTGTGATGGTACCCCCCCGATGGTGTTGGGGGCACTGCGCTCCCCTGCCCACCCTTTCCTCCGCCAGTGCATCTGCCCCACCTGCAATAAAACATGTCTCTCTTACCAGTCTCTGCAGCCACAGCAGGCGCTGTAACTCTCCAACAGTTTGACTTTACCCCCGATGGCACACTCTTCCATTGTCTCCCAAGACAGACGGACGCCAGCATCTTTGGGCAGGGAGGTAAGACAGAGACCTCCAGGCACATCACATTGGTCTACGGAGCTGGATTAATCGGGCTTCAAAGTTTTCCTTTTGCCCCTTTCCACCCCCCACAAAACCTCATACCTTCCAGCTACAATTTTTAACTTGTGAAACCCAAGTTATTAAAAAGGTACTTGAGCCGAACGCCTGCAGAGAATGGTAAAGCGACAGTCTCTTGCCAATTCTGCTCTGACTTTGTACCATGCTTACTGAGAGCAAACCTTTCAAAAGCAGTTGGCTGTGACCCAGACATTTTGATGCTAACTGCAGCAATGGAACTTCAGCATGGCTGTTACCCTTTCTGTCTAAACCAAGGCTGCGGATTTGAATAGACCAGACTTTCCTTCATTCATTCCCTTTGTCGGCAGCTTATTGTGTGCTGGTGCTTTTTTCCTTTTCATCTCTCAGCCTCAAAGATTGATGCTTTTGTCCTTGAGCTGATCATTTTATATATAATCTTCAACCATGGGTTTTTGGGTGGATACCGAGAGGGGGGAAAGATAGTGGGCAGCAATTTCAGTATACGCTGCTCTCTAGGCTCAGGGTGGCCCAGAACAGTTTAAGAATAATTGCTTTCATTGTATTATTACATTTCATAATTCCCAATGCACTTCTTCACTGCTTTACCATCGTTATTGTGTTCACATGTGCACTAAGAAAAACATCACTATTATTATTATTTTTTACGCTGAGGGGAATCAAAGGTGGAGAAATTCTGACAAAGACCAAGACCCATGCCTTCAGTCCATGAAAGAGATGGGCTTTGAACCAGACTGCTACTTCAAAGTCCATGCCACTATTCAGTGCACTAACGTAAGGACTACTTAAAATTCATATTGACATTCACTCAATATTTATTTCAGGCCATGCCTATCGTATTGGCATTCTCAGGAACACATAAAACTATTTCCAGATGTCCTTGGGTAGGGTCTCTTTCCCAAACATTTCTTACTGAGACACAATTATTTCTGAATTAAAAGTGCACACTTAAACATGCTTGCTCCTTAAGTTTCTAAAATAACGAGCATGCATTCCTCATAAAGTTGTGGAAAACCTGATATCGCGCCCTCTCCTGTCAGAGAAGGAACTATGCTTCTGGAGCAGTTTTAATGCTTCATATTTAAATTCTCATGCTTTCAGAACGAATCTTAACTCTCAGAGCCTGTGCATTAAACATTAAGTGCAGGATAAATCTTCTCTGCCTCCCTAATAATTTATCATTTACGCATCCTTGCATTCGCAGGATGGGGAACAGAGGTATTATGGTAGGAAATTCAGAGCTGACATGATAAAACAATACCAGTATTTCATATTCAAGGATGGTGCTCAACATTAGTCATAGACTCTTAAGAGTTGGAAGGGACCCAAGGGTCATCTAGTCCAACCCCCTGCAATTGCAATGGTCATATATACACTCAGTGAAATCAATGGACTTAAAGCTTCATTTTGATATGAAAATATGTATTGCATATGTATTTCAATTTCCCCTAAAATTAGCATTTCTTATCATCTTCTTCTTTTTTCAAGAAAAGGTAGAACAGCCCATGTCTTCAAAGTTACTGGGAATTTGACATCTCATCCAGAACAGTCTGCTGACTTTCCATAGCCAAAAAAGCTATTGGAAGCTTGGGAGTTATACCAAGTCCTTTCCCAGCTATGCCAACTCTCCTCCATGTCTTTGCCATATTACAGCTTTGCTTGGCACAAAAATCGAAAACAGTAATTTGCCCCAGCAATTGCAGTAAACTTTGTTACCTCATATTTTTGGAACCACAGTATTTTATGCTCCTTTGGTATGCATTTGCTTGTCTAAAGGCTCCTGGAACTGGGCTGCTTGGAAACTGTGTGATGTTGCTTTGGTACATCTTCCTGGAAATCGTTTTTTCATCTCTTCTAGTCCCTTAAAGGTAAAGGAACCCCTGACCATTAGGTCCAGTCGCAGACGACTCTGGGGTTGCGGTGCTCATCTCGCTTTATTGGCCGCCAGCGTACAGCTTCTGGGTCATGTGGCCAGCATGACTAAGCCACTTCTGGCGAACCAGAGCAGCGCACGGAAATGCCTATTTATCTACTTGCACTTTGACGTGCTTTTGAACTGCTAGGTTGGCAGGAGCTGGACCGAGCAACGGGAGCTCACACCATCGCAGGGATTCGAACTGCCGACCTTCTGATCAGCAAGTCCTAGGCTCTGTGGTTTAACCCACAGCGACACCCGCGTCCCATACTTTAAAGGATTTTGTCGTTCATATGACAGTTTAGCTTCTGCCTGCAACATTTTTGCTGCTGCATAATGGAGTTGTTCTGAAGTCTTGCTGTTTGACAGATGCATAGCTGTAAACCTTCCCCTTTTTTGCGGGAAATTTCTTTATTCCAGCGCCGTTTCCCGCTACTTCCCGCTGCTATCCCAGATTGTTAGATATCCCGTAGACTGTCCCCGGGACAGGTGAGGCTGCTTATCCCTTATTTTCGAGGCTGCTGATCCCTTATTTTCAAATCTGAAAGTTGACAGCTATGGACAGATGAGAGTTAAAATGAAATCTAAGAAATATAGTCAGAGGTGCAATTAGCAAAACTGAAGTGAAATGTGCAAATTTCACTGACTTCCAGTGCAATCCTACACATCTACAAAAGTCCCACTGAGCTCCATAGGGCTCATTCTCAGGTAAGTGTGTATGGGACTGCAGTCATAAAGACCCACTTACTCCTTAGTTTCACAATATCTGAACTATGAACTAACGTTTTTATTATTTTAATTGCACCAAGGGATAAATAAAATCTTTACATCTTATTTTCCACATTTTTATTGGGTTTGTTTTTTAATTGTACAGTGGTACCTCAGGTTACAGACTCTGCTAACCCAGAAATAGTACCTCGGGTTAAGAATTTTGCTTCAGGATGGGAACAGTAATCGCACAGCGGCGGCGCGGCAAACCCCATTAGCTAAAGTGGTATTTCAGGTTAAGAACAGTTTCAGGTTAAGAACGGACCTCCAGAACGAATTAAGTTCTTAACCCAAGGTACCACTGTATTGTTGTAGATAAGGCAACCAAGTGGACCAAGTGGTATTTAGCTGCTCAACCCCACGCCCTTGCCCCAAAGAAGATCAGCAGGAGCTGTTGCCTGGCATGTTCTACTAAAAGGTAAAGGTAAAGGGACCCCTGACCATTAGGTCTAGTCGTGGACGACTCTGGGGTTGCAGCACTCATCTCGCTTTATTGGCCAAGGGAGCCGGCGTACAGCTTCCGGGTCATGTGACCAGCATGACTAAGCCACTTTACCTTCCTGCCAGAGCGGTACCTATTTATCTACTTGCACTTTTGACGTGCTTTCAAACTGCTAGGTTGGCAGGAGCAGGGACCGAGCAACGGGAGCTCACCCCATCGCGGGGATTTGAACCCACTGCACCACCCACGTCCCTCTGGCATGTTCTACTAGTGAGAGTAAATTTACCTCCAGCATAAGTTGAGTAACCTCCAGTTGCTCAGTCTCACGCCCTTGCCTTGGAGGATATCAGCGGGAACCTCTGCTTGCCAACTGTCACTTCTAGGCTGTCGCTATTTTGGGGGGAAGGAATTCCATCACATTCCAACAAACTTAGGCTGTGCAAATTAGGGTTGAGCAACTAACTCACTTCCACAAAAGATCAGATTTTTTTGCAGCAAAGAGGAAGCAGTTGCATTGGAAAGTGTGGGCCAACACTTGCTTTGATGCAATGCTGTCCTCATCCTGCAAACGAATCAGAACAAATGCTTATTAAGCAGCCAATGTTGTCTAATCAAAACAGGATAAATGCTCAATAAACAGGCCTTCTGGAGCACCCAAAATCAAACCTTCACTACAGTGGTACCTCAGGTTAAGAACTTAATTCGTTCTGGAGGTCTGTTTTTAACCTGAAACTGTTTTTAACCTGAAGCATCACTTTAGCTAATGGGGCCTCCTCCTGCTGTTGCGCTGCACAATTTCTGTTCTCATCCTGAAGCAAAGTTCTTAACCCGAGGTACTTTTTCTGAGTTAGCAGAGTCTATAACCTGAAGCGTCTGTAACCTGAAGGGTATGTAACCCGAGGTACCACTGCAGTTAGCAGTAGTACTGTACTGTAATTCCTTAAGTACAAGTTGGGCAAGGACCAGGATCTCACATGCACACAAGGTGAGAAAACTATATACAGTACATTACTCTTGCACCAGTTTTCATATGTTGCAATAGCCTCGACCTCTTGCTAAATAACAGGAAAAACAACAATGCAATAAGTTTTATCTCACAGCTAGAATAGCGATCAGCAGCCTCAGAAAGGCAACATACATTTTTTAAAATCTGACTGGGAAATACTTCGAGCTAATTCTGGAGTTTGCTTTTATCTGTTGAAATCTTTAAAAAACAAATGTTATAAATGAGGGGGAGAGAATCTTGTTAAAGCTCGCAACTGCAGCCCGCAACCCTCACCAGCCTACGCGTTTCGACTGGCGCAGCCGCGGGTCAATCAGAGCGCCGTGCCCGCCCCACTTTGCGGCGTTGAGGACGGAGCGAAAGATGAAAACAAGGCTAGAGCTCCACCCACAGGTCCGTAGAAAGAAGGCGGAAACAAAAGAGGAGGAAATGCGCGGTGACGAAACGACGCCGCCGCTCACCTGGGAGCAAGTCGGCCAATCGGGAGGCGCCGCGGAGAATTTTGAACGAAGTCGTCGCCTGAAAGACACAGACACACACAAAAAACCACCACCAACGGCTTTTGGGTCGTCGCGCGCACTCGGTCGCGCAGTTGAAGGTATCTGAGGGAAAAAGAACGAGGGACGAGCGCGCGCCGCTCAGACGCAGGTTCGGCGATACTTCTCTGTCCGTAATGGCGGCGGGTGGGTGCGAGGGAGCCCGGCTGAAGGGCTCCGTTTGCGGTTCTCCGTTCGGCGCCGGGTCGGGAGGGGGTAGGAAGAGAGAGATGAAGGATGGAAGCAGGGGGGAAATGGAGGCTCCCGCCATATACCTCACAAAGCGGAGCCCGAAACTGGAGAGGCCGTTTCTGCCGAGGGCGGCTGGCCTCTCGGGCTCTGACTGCTAAGAAACTGAAGGGGTCGGATCCGCGCTTAGTCGTGCTCTTGGAGCACACTTGGTTGAAAGGAGCGGCCGCTTAAAAGTGGCGCGGGTTGGGTGCGACCCAGACGGCCCAGCACTCGTCAGATAGGAGAATTGTGAAGTCGGAAGGGACCCGGAGGATCATCTAGTCCAACCCGCCCCCTGCATCGCAGGAATAGGAAGCAGGACCGTTACGCGGCTGCGCATTGAAATCAAATCAGGCCAGGCCCAATAATGATAATAATAATAATATATACCCCTCCCATCTAGCTGGGTTTCCTGTGCCACTCTGCGGAACATTAAAAAGTGATAAAACATAAAGCATTAAAAACTTCCCTAAACAGGGTTGTCTGCAGATATCTTCTGAAAGTCACATAGTTGTTTATTTCCTTGGCATCTGATGGGAGGGCGGGAGCAACTACAGTGGTACCTCTGGATACGAACGGGATCCGTTCCGGAGCCCCGTTTGCATCTAGAAGCAAACATAACTAGTGACGGCACATCTGCGCACGCGTGCGTCACTTTTTGCCGCTTCTGCACATGCGTGTGACGGCGTTTTGAGCGTCTGTTCATGCGCAAGCGGAGAAACCCGGAAGTAACGTGCTCTGTTCCAGGTTGCCGCCGAGCGCAACTCGAACGCGCTCAACCCAAAGCATTTAATCCGAGGTATGACTGTACTGAGAAGGCCCTCTGCCTGTTTCCCTATAACCTCACTTCACAGTGAGGGAACTGCCAGAAGGCCCTTGGAGCTGGACCTCAGTGTCTGGGCTGAACGATGGGGGTGGAGATGCTCCTTCAGGTATGTAGGGCCAAAGCCACTTAGGGCTTTAAAGCTCAGCACCAACACATTGAATTGTGCTCAGAAACGTACTGGGAGCCAATGTAGGTCTTTCAAGACCGGTGTTATATGGTCTTGGCAGCCACTCCCAGTCACCAGTCTAGCTGCCGCATTCTGGATTAGTTGTAGTTTCCAGGTCACCTTCAAAGGTAGCCCCATGTAGAGCGCGTTGCAGTAGTCCAAGCGGGAGATAACTAGAGCATGCACCACTCTAGCAAGACAGTCTGCAGGCAGCTAGGGTCTCAGCCTGCATACCAGATGGAGCTGGTAGACAGCTGCCCTGGACACAGAATTGACCTGCGCCTCCGTGGACAGCTGTGAGTCCAAAACGACTCCCAGGCTGCAGACCAGGGAGTCCCCCACACAAAGGTTCCAGGTTCAATCCATGGAATTGGATTTGATACTTGGGGGTGGTTTTTTTGGAGGAAGGGTATCTGAAGTTTGGAAAGAGTCTGCAGTGGATATAGACTCCAGAAGCTCAATTCAGGGATGGATGGATGATAATAATATTCCCCAGCCACTCTGGGAGGCTCCCAACAGAATATTAAAAACAATAAAACATCAAGCATTAAAAACTTCCCTGAACAGGGCTGCCTACAGATGTTTTCTAAAAGTCAGATAGTTGTTGATTTTAGTAAGTCAGATAGTTGTTTAATTTACTAATAACAAGTGCAGCGATTGTGCTCTGAAGGTTTTTCTTTATACACAGCTTGTTTGTAAAAGCAAAAACGTCTTAAGTGGTTAGGGTCTGATATCTCTTTTTCTATGCTTTTTTTTTTTTAAGCAGTGTGTGTATGGCAACACTGTTGCCCTACTGTATGCTGAAGGGAATGAGGGTGGAGGGAGGTTAATAAGAAATCTTATTAAGAAATATGTATTTTAAAATGGGTATTATTCCTAGGTGGTTTTGACCATATTGTTTTAACAAGCTGTAGTTTGCAGTCTTTAAGACTACTGGTTCAAATTAAATAAGTATATTCTTTCAAAGTTATGATTTAAAATAATAGGCTTGCTCCAGTAAATATGTACTGTTGAAGAATAGGCCAGACATTACCTTTGCAGTACCATTTTATGATAAAAACAGATAGCTGATAGATTTTTGGGGGTGGGGGGTGTTAATATAAGATGGGACAAAGAGTTCATTTTTCTATATTGGTAAGAAAGCTTTTAAATAAATATTTGTTAAACTGTAATCAGTTGCTTTTGTATTTTTTTAAGGTGGAAAATGACTAGAGAAAGGTGCTTGAAAAAGTCATTTAAGGACAGCCTGGAAGATATAAAAGAACGAATGAAAGAAAGGCGAAATAAGAAATGGGCACAGTTGGGCAAAACCAAACAAGTCTTATCTGTCAACAGTAAAATTGCAAGTAAGTATTTTTTAATACTGTATTTTATTCAAATTTTCCCAGAAATAGAAATTTTAGGAATTATTTCCATTTTTTCCAGGCAACTCATGTACACTGCTGAAAAGCTTTCAAACAAACAATCGAGCATTAGCTCTGGCTTTGGAAGAGGAGAAGAGCAAAATGAGGGAAGCACAAGATACAATCCTGTATTTAAAGAGAGAATATCAGAGTCTGAAATTTCAGGTGTTTGCCTTGCATAGAAAGCTGGCATTACAACAAGGAAAAGAGCATTCTGAGGTATTTTATCTTAATACATGTTGTACATATATAATGCCCAATTAAAATACAGGTGGCAATTATTTTAGGAGTGTCCATTTGACATATGATTGCCGGCGCATGGGTCCTTTTGCACCCAAAAGAGAGTAGGATGGGGTGAACTTATATGTGCTCCACCAACACACGCAGGGCCCAGGAACAGAACATTTATTTATCACTTCAGACCAGAACCAGAAGGAGTTTTGAAGTTGCAAGAAGAATAAAATGCAATCTGTAAATAAATCCCTTAAAACGTTACAAATAATACTAAAAGTGTTTATCCAAAGAATTACCTAAAAGCACAAAATATCCACTTCAGCTGAAAACACAAATGACTACAAAAAGAAACCACATAAAGCCAGATCATTAGGGCTGCCCCAATGCCTAGAAAAAGAAATGGTATTTATTTTTCTGTTGCCAAAAAGATGACAAATGTTAGTGGCAGACAAGCTTGCAGGTGTAGAGCTTTTCATAATTGGGGACTGTCGCAGAAAAGGCTTGTTCTCTTGTCACCCTACTGACATACTTTGCGTGGGCACATACTTTGTGGCACACAGATGAGGACCTCAGATGTCTTATTTCAAGGTTTGGGTTGGTTCATATGGGGAAGGGTAGTCCTTGAGAATGTAACCTGTGGTAGCAGATAACTTGTATAATAAACAAGAAATAGGAGCCACTATTTCCTGTTCATTTCATTTCTAAACAAGCTCACTGTTGTAACTACATCAGTTAACTCTTTTTGTTTCTGTTAGACTAGATTAATGGCTTTGAAGGAGATTATTTCTAAAGTTGTTCAAGACCTACTCAATGCAACAAGTCTTCTTGGTTCAGCAAAAGATCAATATAACACAGCTCTTGTAAGTCTTTTTCCCATCCTTATATTTGTATGTTACTTTCTGACTTTAGGCTGTTATCAGTTCTGCATCCATTAAGATAATTGCTTAAATATTTTGCTGTTACTGTCCAATAGTAACAGTACCGTATTTTTCGCCCCATTGGATGCACTTTTTCCCCTCCAAAAATGAAGGGGAATCTGGGTGCGTCCTATGGGGCGAATGCAGGCTTTCGCTGAAGCTTGGAGAGCACCGACCCCCCTCGCTCTCCAGGCTTCAGGAAGACATCCGCAGCCTAGGCAGCCCTGTGGGAGTTCCCGCAGGGCTGTCTAGGCTGTGGATAGCAGCCTGCTTCCCGGAGCGCCTGGCGCCCTGAAGCAGAGTGCGCCGGGCAGACATCCGCAGTGTGGGGAGCCCTGCGGGAGTTCCCTCGGGGCTCTCCACGCTGCGGATAGCAGCCCGGCGCACGGGGCGCCCTGAAGCAGAGCGCCCCTCGCGCCGGGCAGACATCCGCCAGCCCCACAAGCTCGGGGGACAGTGGGGAGGCGCAGCGCCACCATCCCGCTGTTCCCCGACCTGGTTTTGGGGGAGAAATAACGGAAAACATTTTTTCCTTTATTTCCCCCCCAAAAAACTAGGTGCGTCCTATGGGATGGAGCGTCCTATGGGACGAAAAATACGGTAATCTTTTCTGTTACTGTCCAGTAGTCTGCCTCATAAGCTGCAGCTGGGAGCCACATTTTCATACATCTCACTTTTATTATGTGCTTCATGTATGGTCCATACAGCATAATGGTTTTCAGCATAATATCTTGAATTTTTACAGAACCAGACTCTCAGTGCCTCCAGTGCTGAAGAGTGTGATTCTAGCAATGTAAGAAGCCAAGATTCCTTGTAAGTATGCTTAATATATTTCATTTTCTGCCTGTTTTTTCCCTTCAAAACAAAATTAAGAAACTTGCATCAATAAAATATATTTTAGATTGTGTTTTATACATGCAGGTACACACACACACACACACACACACACACACACAATGCTAATTGAAAATGGTTTCTGTTTACTTCATTGATCACTTCCCCCTCCCCCCCAAAAAAATGTTGCTGTGGGATAGAAAAAAGTTTTCTCATGTCGACTGGTGGTTCTTGCATTTCAAGAGATCTCTAAAAAGCCTATATATTTGATTATGAAAACTATTTCATGAGTATATGTACTAAAGATTATAGTCCATGTTATTAGAGCACTGAGTCAAAATTATGTGATGAGGGCAACCCAAAAGTGGAAAATGCAGGGTATATGAGAAGAGCTTAGACTTCTGTGTCTCTCAATTATGAAATAAAATGATTAGGATTGAGAAAATTACCAAATGACCTGTTAACAATGCCAAGCTCAAAAATGTTCGCATAGATCTGAAATTATGATTCAGGAAAGTGTGCTAGAGTAGCATGAACCCAGTCATATTCTGCAACCATATTTTCTCCATAATTAATCATCAGGGTTGGTCTGTGGGCTGGAGTTTTGATTGAGTGTGGGCCAATGAGTCAGGACCAAAGAGCAATCTGGCAAACCAGGAAGCAAAACCCAAGAGGCAAGTTCAAAGAGCAGGACCAGAAACACAAGGCTCACTCTTAACAAAGCACTACTGAGACAGGAAGCCCTCGTACATCCCTTCCTGACCAGGAGAAAGCAATGGTTAGCCTGCATGAGTGAAGCGAAATCTTGTTCCATGTTTCCCCAGAGAGGGTGGAGTTATGAAGATCACAACAGGAGGCATATTTTAGCAGTTTCTGACAGTGTTATTTCTTTAGAACAACTGTACTTTACCATCAAGGACAGCACTTTTGAACAGGAATGTTTCTTAGAAAATGTGTTTTAATGCAGTTTTTAATTAAAACATTTTTTCCCTGTCCAAAGCCAATTTGAAGTTGAGAAAACTAACTGCCAAGTAGCTTTGTATTTCATTCTCAAGCGCATATTCCTGGAATATACCTTTGTTTACAAGAGTGAAGGTTCTCATTCAGTTTTAATTTAGGAAACCCTTAATTTTTCTTGCGGGGTGTGTGTACCAAAACTGCTATATGAGAATCTGCTCTTAAAATAATTCAGTGAATTTCACCTCTCTCCCCCCCCCCCCCCTTAGGGCACATCTAAGGCATATCCTTTCTGTAGATGCAAGCAAGCAAGATAAAACATCTGGAACAGAATTAAAGGATAATACAGATACAAATTATTCAGATGTTGCAGCTGATTCTCAGCAAGATGTTATGACTGAAGATGTTTTTTCAACATCAAAGAAGGATACAGGTAGGTAATCCCGCATTTAAGATTCTAAACATGGGTCAAAGGCTTTACTATTAAAGAACCTTGGCTGGGTTCTAAAGAACCACTGCTGATTCTGCATACCTTATATTCTGTTTCTTAAACCACGTGCTTCTTTCGAAGCTCAGTGGATTTTAAAAGCAGATTACAGTATTACTTGGAGGTTTGCTTATTGCAGTGGGAGCGAGGAGTATACCTTTCCTGTCTTAGGAACAACTAAAATAGCTGTTTGGATTCTGGTCACAGGTAGCAGCATAACATCAAAGAAGTTTCATAATCTTGTGCAAAGCTATTTCCTTGCTATGTGCCATAACTGCACTTTTTATGAAAGGTGTCCCTCTGCTGACAGAAGGCTCATTAATTTAGCAAAGCCTGCTGTCAGTGGAACAGGGATTGAGGCAATCTTCAGTGAGGCAGCCCCTCAGCCCAAGCTCTGAAGAGTCCCCCTGCCTCCAGAGCAGGTGGCAGTGGAGTTGGGGATGCTGGGGAAGATTCATTTACAGTTGCCTTAATCTCTGTTCTGCTGACAGAAGGCTCTATTTGGATCAAAGGTTTGACAGGGATATCAACTGTTTTGCAACCATAATGCATTTTTAATTAAACATTTTAAGTCAAATTTGCTGCCTTTAATACTCAGGCATGAGACAGTGGGACATAAATGTACATATAGATTTGACATAATCATTTGGCATAATCAACCGATTCTCACAGGACTCAGTTCTGCAGTTCTCTTTCCCACTCTGCACAGCTTTGGCAAAGTACTTGTACTGAGGTGAAAATGACCTGATACAATTACCTTTGCTTGTGGAAACAGAGCAAGTTCACAGATTTCTGTTGTAATTCTCTATGCACAGGCATTATTGGTAAACGATGTCTACTTCTGCTGTATCAGTATTATAATTAATAAGAATAACAATGATTTTATTATTATAACTGTTCATTATAACTCTTCAATCTGATGGACCAATCTGCCAAACCTTACTAAACCATATTTAGCATTTAATTTTTTTCTGTGCTATTCTAGTAACTACTTAAAGCTTTAATGTATGTATTTTTAAGCTTGCCTGCAGAATTGACACATTATTTTAAATTACCAGGTTGGCAAAGTAGTTCCCACTGTCATATGGAGTATCAGAACAGAAATGAAGAGAACATGCAATTTGAAAGTAGCTTACTAAAAAATGTATCTATCCGTCGTCACTACTCCAGGATCAAAACTCAGAATCCATTTGATGTATCTGATAGTAGCAGTCCGGACGTACTTGAACAGATAACAGAATGTTGCCAACAAGATGAACCTGGCCCTGAGTCAGGCTTGGTGAAAAATAATGAACAATATGAAGAAACTTACATTTCTCAAGAGAAACATAAGATAAACACAGACAAAACTTTGGAACAGCCTAATATGTTACCTGAATCAAATACCCCAACAGCAGCCCCCAAACAAACTGATTTTAAAATTGTTGGAGGTTCTCAAAAACACAAAGAGAGAGACCAGAAAAGAAAGTTGGAAACAAAAACTAGATCCAGGACAAGGTCCAGAAAAGAGAGAAGCCATAATAGGAAGTGCTGTTCCAAAGAAAAAACAGATAGATCAACTGGTTCCAATGATGCTTATGATTTTGTTTTTGAGGAGTGTGTCCATATCACACCTTTCCGACAAAACAAAGTTGAAGAGAATAACGTCCAAGAAAAAAATAATAGAGAAGAATCAGAAACTTCTTGTAACGAATCATTTGCTTCAGAAGAGGACTCTGATGATAGTCAGTATGTGCCTTGCATGAAAAAATCCAGGAAAAGCTTAGAATGCACAACTGATGGCAGCCCAAGACACACAAGGCAACAATCAAAGAACGCTGTGAATGAACAGCATGGCAGTAGTCCTGAGGGGAAAAACAGGAATACTAAAAAATCTGATGATTCTGCAAATAAGGAAAATGTTGAAAGTAAGTTATAATTCTGTTTTGAAAAAATCTGTATGTGAATAAGCATAGATATACCGACAGTTAACTCTGAAAAGTTTGGAAATCTAAATTTGATCGAACACAATAGGATTTCTCTTTCTTTGGCTGCAAAAAGGATAAATTTAATTTGCACAAGTGGAATGCCACAACTGGATATTTCCTAGTTTTTCCTCCACTTTAGAATTGCCAGGAAGAGGTCTAACTAGACCAGCGGTTTTCAACCTTCTTAAGTCCATGGCTCCCTTCACCAACCACATTCTTTCTGTGGCTCCGCTGTGGAAGCCACTTACACTGGGATTGTTACAGGATGCACATAAGTGGGGATTTTCTCGTTCTCCCCCCAGCCCTTTTTGGCACCATTTTTGGTGCACATGTAAGTGGGAGAGCACATGCAGACTGGAACCCAAGCAATGCCACTTCTTTGCGGGGCTGAGTTGACGTACCCCACCTGGCAACCCGTGTCTTCCTTCCCTGAAATTAGCATGCACATAATGGGGGGTGGGACAGAGAGGGCAATACCAGATTAAGATCAGAAGCAGAAATATTTTGTCATTATGGGGAAGGAAACCACGAAACACAGCACAGGACACACATTCAGACATGCTCCTTTCCTGCAACATTCTCCCTGTCCACATAAAGCTGGGTGACTGTTAAGGAGGGGGGTGTTGCCGGCGGGGGGGGGGGGAGAGAGGGGGGAGGGATTTTGAAGGTAGGAGTGAGAAACAGAAGACACTCCTAATTTTCAGGGTTATTTATAAATCCCTCAGAACACACATCTAAGCACACACATCATCAAGCTACTTTGCTGTTTTCTTGCATTTCTCATGCCCTCTGTGTAAAACTATGGAACTGTTAGTTACTGAAGCTGGGGAGGATTTTTGTTGGGGGAGATTCTAAGAAGATAAACAGTCATGCAAAAGTGTCTCCACTTTATTTGCCACTTTTATTTCAGGAAGATAATGAGCTGCAAGTTAAATCTGCCGGTTCCCCTAAACGTTCCCCAGAAAGAAAGACATAATGCAGGAAGATATGGGCTGCAAGTTAATGAAAGTATGGCCCCCAGGGCTCCCCTAAACGTTCCTCAAGTCCATGGTGCCACAGCACACTGGTGGAAAACCAATGAACTAGACACAAACATGTCTTACATTTTGTCTCCCAATAAAGAGCACTCACCCTCTGGAGCTTCCCAGAGGGAGAAAGAAATAGCCATATTCCTTTTCCTGATTGATTTGCACATCATAAGCTGTTAAAAAATGACTAAAAGGAAACACATAATTTGCACACATTTTAGTCTTATAACCTGTATAAGGTGGCCTGTGGGCCAGATCCTCAATTCCCCCACCTCCCACAGGCAAACTTTGAAAGTTCAAAGGATTTCCTGGTAACCACCGATCACCCTTTGAACTCCCATTTGCAGGCATGGTTTGAAATCAATTGTAACTGCAAATGGAATTTCAAAGGGACTCAGTGGCAGTCAGTAGGCATTGTCTGCAAGCCTTGGCTGCACTATGGAGTTCCTGACAAGGAAATTCTTAGTGTAACTGATTCTAGTGTGATCCCAGGAGATCACAAAGATTCTTCCTTTGAAGCTGCATCCTTAGCTGCCCCATGCATAATGTCAGGCTGGCATGGTTTGGTGAATATGGCCTCATGGACTGAATTGCTACAGCCCAACCCTACAAAGGTTTTTTAAAAGGTTTAGACAACTCGTGGGCCATGGCTTAAAAGATTAGTGCAGATTTTATATGCCTGTGGCAGTGGTTTTCCAGCAAGAGCCAAGTCTGGTTTTATCATGAATATTGGTTGTTGTCATCTTAAAAATTGAATAAACTTAACATTCTGCAGAATTCAGAGCTTTACCAATATTAAGGGGGTGTTTGGAGCCACAGGAAAAGGGGTTTGTTTAAAGCTTATTCATTGCTGTCACTACCATTTAAACATTTTCCCCCCAGCAGATAAACCATCTAGGGCTCTTCAAAAATGCCATCCCTGTTTCGGTGATATTACCAATTTCGAATCAACTTCTATCCAAACTAGAGTTTCTCACCCACTGATGAGTACTGGAATAAAAGGTACTCCTCGAAAGAAACGTAGATGTACTGATCGTGTGAGCTATAAGGAACCAAGTCTCAGCAGGTCAGTATATTTGTTTCTAAATGGATATGCACCAGTTTCTTTCAGAACTTTGTTGTATAATTTAGTTTTTAGAAATTTGTTGTATTAGTTTAGAAATAAATTTTGAATATAAAATCCAACCTTGCTTTATGAATCTGACTTGCTTATGAATTTAGTTATGAGGCAAAGTAAGAATTACATGAATGCTTTCAAAACTAATGTACTATTTTGCTTTGATAGGAAGCTCAGAAGAGGAGACCCTTTTACAGATAACATCTTTCTGGATTCTCCAATTTTTAAACAGAAAAAGAGCCGCATGTGTAATTCTCTTAAAAAGAAATCACTGCCCAGATCTAATGTGATATTTGAATGCGTTGGTTGATTTTAATAACATTTTTAGGGAACAAACCCTTTAACTTGACAACTTAAGTAGTTGTATTGATATAAAGGTAAAGTGTATTTGCTGAAATATCATTACTGGAAAATCTCAACTATGTACATAAAACAGCTTTTAGATTTTAACACACCCTGGCTCAACAACACACATACAATTGGAATTTATGTAATATATAAACAACTAGATTTTATATTAAAAATTGTAAACATCAAATTTGTTGATGTATTTAGTGTCTTTTTCTAGTTTCTTGTTACACAGGAAATGGGAATTTCTTTTTGCTTGAAATGTAGATTAATGTAATTCTACTTTTATAGCAAATCTTCAGATTACAGATTTAACTGTTGAAAGTCTTTGTAGTGTTTTCTAAATGATCATCTTGAAATAAAATGTGTCAATGTTTTTGAAAAAGATAGCTATTTTAGTTTGCTATCTCAGTAGTGCTATTGTTCCAGCATCCATTCCGTTGTGTTTGTTCCGATGTTTCACTTTAACTGCATAAGGAAAGTAGCACAGCTATCTTAAAAAGATTCCAAGGTGCATTCTTACGCAGTTACTTGGAAGTAAACCCTACTGAACACAATGATTCTGAGTAAACATGAATAAGCTTACCCTCTGGCTGTCCTCAATCTACAAGTAGGTTCCAAGGGGTGAATTGGAATGCTCAATTTATAAGCCAACATTTTTTTGTGCACTTCATGTGTGTAGACATGAAGTACTGAACATGTAATGAAGATAGTTTCTTTTGGTAATAGTTGCACTCTTTTCAATTCAGATCTATTCTTGGGGTGGGGGGGACCCTCAATGGGTCCACAGGAAAACGGAGTAACTACATGGAATAGCATAGTGTTTGGTTCTTACCATCTGAAAGTGATGGTACAATTGTCAGAAAGTCTATTCACACAAGTTAAATATTTCAGAGGTTTTTTATATGCAAAGTACGAAATAGCACACAAGATTAATTTTATACATATAATTTAAAACCATTTTATACCAGAACAATAAATAATTTTACAAATGTAGAATTTCACTTAAAGCATTTTTAAAACACATCGTACTATATAGCTTTATTGCACAATATCTATGAAAATAATCTTTAAATTAGAAACCAAATGTTCTCAATATAGAAGAGACTCTAATTTCAAGACAATAAGAATCTTTGAAAATAACACTTTCACAGGATATCAAGCTTAAGAGGTGATTTTGTTGGCCCAGTTTACAAAATAATTGAGAATTACTGCTTAAATACTCTAACACACAGCTGCATCATTGTACCTTAAATACAAAGCCAAATAAATTGATTTTTATATAAAGCACTAAGGCATTTATATGTCACCATTTTGACTTAATTTTGTACCATTACGTAGCAAGGGTAATCTAGTCTTAGAATAAACACTACCATAGCCATTTTGAAAATAAATTTCTCTTGTAATTCTGTTTGGCAATTTTTTAAAATCAGTTTTGCTAGTGAAATATTTCAGCGCATATAAAAACAATGAAACTAGTTCTTGAATGCCTTTGTATAAATTAGGAGAAAGAAATAAAATGAATAAATTTACTTTCTTGGGTGTTGCAGAATTGCTGCCTGCTCACATTCAAACAACTGAATGGCAAGTGAATATTTCCTTCCCTCACCTACATGAATGAAAGTGTAACTCCAATATTTAATGTAATGAGTAGGTAAAATACAGAAGTAATGATCAATAATGTTCTAGCAATACTTCGGTTGAAAATCAGTTTAATGTAACCAAAAGAATCCCTATAAACACTGGGAGAGGTGGGTGTGCTCAAAACTACTTTTATGGGGACGTTCATGAAACCTTTGAAAGTATCAACAGTATTGATCTAGAAAGTGTTGAATACAAGAATTAAATAATTTGTGGTAGTAGCAGCTAGAGAGGAGACATTCCCATTGGGTAAGTATAGTAAAGGAAGATCATATGGGCTTGTCAAATGCACATATAAATCTGCATGTGCTTTGGTTTCATATGTATGTCAGTCACATCTGGTCAGTGGTGGATCTTCATGCTCTGGCACCGGGGGGCAGGGTGTGCTGCCCGCAGGGGCAGGGCGCAGGCAGCCACGGTGGCACCCCACTGGGATTGCACCGCCAGGGGCGGTGCGTTTCCTCTGCCAGTGCACCTGGTGAAATCTAGTGTTAGCCTATGTGTGTGAAAATCAAGACTATCTCTTTTCACCCAAGTACTGCAGGACCAAGTGTGACTTTAAGGGAAGAATGGCTTTTCAGGGATAAAGGTATGTAAAAACTTATGCAGACAAAGCATTTGCTGGATTGGGGCATAAAGGTAGAAATGGTTATCGTTTATCTGAATTAAGCTTTTGCTGGCACTACAAAAGTGTTAAAAAGTGGTTTGTGACTACCACAGATTTTTTTGGAAGTGACCTAACACAGTCAAAGTCAGATGATGCTACATATTTAGATTTTCTTTGCAAACTCTAATATTAAAGAATCAAATTCACAGAGGAAGTTTGAACCTACTGGGGTTTTTGTATCTTAGAGGATTTCTCTTTCTTTCATAGCACCTTCTTAGTTGAGTGTTTCATTAAAATATATATAAAACTCATTTCCCCCTTCATTAGCATCTTTTGTAAAAAATAAAAAGCTATTTTACAATTTGATACTGCATTACATTAAGCTTAAACATTCACTGCTTGGAAAAATTTCCCTTTTCAAATCCCCAAACAGTTTGTGCAATACTTCTAATAAAAATGTATTATTGAATACACTGCAAAAGGGCATGCAAGTGTACATTTAAAAAGACTTTAATAAAATAAACTCTTCTATATTACATGTTTTAAAAGTGCTAGTAAATAAAATGTTTTTTTAAAACACAAATTTCAATTCTATTCAAAGATCAACTGCATATTCTGCTCTTAAATTAGGCATCTTGATTGCATGAGAGAAGGACTGATTACTTGTCAATTAACCCAGCTTCTTTAATTTTTGTGTAGAAGAATTTCTCCAATATATTGGCACACTTGTAGTATTCACTTTCAGGAGGGTTGTACTCTCTGCAGTTAGTAAAGACTCGCTGCAGATCTGCCATGAATAACTTCTTGGACACGTAGTACCTGTTCTTCAGTCGCTCACTCATCGTTTTCAGATCTGTATAAAAACAGAAAAATCAAGTCTTGTTCCAACAATATTAATATATCCTAGACTTGATTTTTTTTACTATTGTCATCCTCCCCACCCTGTGCTTCTTTAGTGAAAAGGTCCTGTTTCAAAAGTGCCCTTACAGACCTCCTAATTCCTATTTTAAAACGTACACGCTGAAAATAGGCTGGTGGTGAGAGCTCTTTCCCCCATTTTTATTTTAAACCTTGGCCTATGGTGATGACCAGACTACAGTTGGAATCATTCCAGCAAATATGAATTATGAGAAATGGGGGGACACAGTGGCCAGAGTTGTGATATTACTGCCACTATGGGCTACAGTTTGAAAAGTATATAAAAAAAACACACCATCATGGTAAGTGCCCCCCCACCAGCCAGACCTGCAGCTCCCATCCCCTGAAATTAAATCATCTGGGTCGATGAAAATCTCAGTAGTGAAAACTTGTACTTATTTGGAGGGTAGGGCAAAGGTGTCAATGTAAGCTATACATAAAACACTTTTCTACTATCCAAAGTTCTGTTACTACAAGTAATTTCCACTTACACAGAAGGACTAGGGTAGTCTTTATCTTAAGGGAAAGGTTTGATCCCTGGTATCTGCAGGTAGAGGTGGGAATATCCCTGTTTAAAATCCTGGAGAGCCACTGCCAGTAGGTGAAGATAATACTGAACTAGAGAGACAAATGTTCTGACTCAGTATATGGCAGCTTCCTTTTCCTGTTTCCTTTTGTACTATAAATGCAAGAACTGCTGCACTGTTGCAGTGCACTGCAAGAAACTACAGGCGTTTGTGCAAGATTTCATGGAGCAGTATAAATAAACTTCCCCCCTCTTTTACTCTTGGTTTCTGGGAGCAAAGCCTATATACTCAATTTGCTTCTGGTTCATTGAATGCTCTACTTTTTAAAAAGTTGATGGCCTTACCCATGGGGAACCTTATAACTTCATAATATCCAGGAGCTTCTGTTCTCTTCACTGGTTCCATGAATGGCCAAGCGCTTTGATGGCTCTGGTAGATGGGAGAAAATACACTCATGTAACAACGCTCCATAGCGGAAAAGGTTTTCAAAATATTTACAGAAAATGAATGCTCACCTTGACCTGCTGCAGAATGTTTTTTAGTGTGCTGTAAAGTTGATCTGGATCTTTGGGTTCTTTACTTGAAAAAAAAGAAAAGTAGACAAGATTAAAATGTATGATTTGTTCAGTTGCGTAATGCTCTTTAATTAATAAAAAGCAATCGGCCACAAATTAAAAATGTACTTTAGTTACTTAGCAATTGTGCAACACATATCAATGCTTCACAGGCTTTCTTCATTGCCAAAAACAACGCTTACCCTTTTTCTTTACTGCTTGGTTTCCAGCCAGTATCTCCTATATAGCAAACAAAAGTGAAGCATTTAAGAATAAATTACATTAGATTACAAAGTAACTGAGTTGGTATGGCCCTATCATAGAATTATATTGCATCCTTACTGAAATACCAATCAAAAGTAACAGCTACAGTAATTCCAAGTCCACCCAGTTTGCTTTAGTCAGCATTCAAATATTCAATTATATGTTCAAGTATGTCTAAGTAGGATAAACCACAAAATCCTGTGGACCGCCCCGAGATCTTTTTGAAGGGCAGTATACAAATCTGATGAAGAAATATTTTTTTAAAAAACTGACTAATTTATCTATTCATCCTACTTTAGTAAAAATAATCTAATCCTACATGCCCAATGCTGCCCCCTCCCCAGGCTATGTGGCAAACCGCTTTTGAAACAGAGGACTTTCAAACACAGTTTGGAGTATGGCATGGGGTTCTGCTATTCAAAGGTGGGGAGAGTAACAACTGCAATTCTATTCAGTTATTTAGGAGTATGTCCCATCACACTAATTTATTCAGATGCAAATCCCAAAGGACAGCATCCATTGCTGCTTTCTGCAAGCTGTAGCCCGTGTCTATTTAGAGACCTTTCTTGAATTCTTCCCAACCTCCTGAAAAAGGTTTTTAGGGGGGCGTATGGGGACTGCAGCGTAGAGGAAGGGGCAGGAGCTGCTTGCTCTGTTGCAGAAGCAGGCTTCGTGTGTAACTGGATGCTTGCTAACAATCCCATGTGGATTTTCTTTACAGAATTGAGCTGCAGTCTGTGGGACCTACTTCTGAGTAGGTTTAGGACTGCACTGAAAATCTGTAGAGGCAATGATCATTTTGCGCAGCGGTTCCTGACAGAGGCAGAGCACACATAAGCCCACCCCCTTTTCTGGCCACTTCCGCATTGCAACAATGTGCACATTGTGCATATACTGGAGAAGCATAAAACAGTCATTGCCTGCACTAGATAGCAGAACACAAAAAATCTGATGGAGAAAGCACTGGCTGCACAGTACGGCATAAAAGCCTGTGGCTACAAAAATAAACCCAACATGTGCATATAACATCACAGAGCCTCAGATTCAAATATAATCAACTACTTTTAATGCATTATTTCAAAAGTGGTATAGAATTGTTATGAACAACTAGAAGCAAGTCACTTCAACAAAAGAAAACCCAATATTCTCAAGTTTAAACTGAAAAAGAATGAACCCAATGATAACTGATGTACATACTAATTCCGGGAATGCTTTCTATGGGAATCTGCCGTACACCATCTTTGAAACAAGAAAGGCCGGGATAAACTTTCCGAATCTGAGCTTGCTTCCTTTCGATCAACTTTTTAATAATCTGCAATGAAAGTAACATGGAAATTATACTTTTGGGGTGAAGGAAGTAGGTACTGCACCAACAGGCATAGATGAGTAAAGGGGTATGAGAGGTGCTTACGATTTCTATGGATCTAGGTGGCCTTCTCACACATTAGGAGCAGGGTTGAGACACATCACCGTCTGCAGTGTGATGCTTATCCATGCTCTACTGAAAGCACACTTGTTGCACAAAACCAGTCGCCTCCAGCTAAAGATGAACCACAACTAGGGACTTCACTTAGGTGTGTTTATACATCTCAACTTTCTTCCATCATGGAACTCAAGGTGGCAAGCATGTGGTTCCCAGGTAGTCTCCCATCACTCAACCTCTGACCATGCTACGGGACACTGGCATTAGAGGACTTTTGTACATCAAATTAAAAACAGGTTACACTGTCAGATTAAAAATTACGTAAGAATGTTCCGCTTTTCATTTTAAAAGCTGCTCTTTTATTGCTACGAGTCAGCCTTTGGTGGTAGGCCTACCTGGTCCATGGAGCCACTATGCTAGGCATGGCTAACCTCTGCCCCTGCCTCAAAGACCCCTGAGAATTTGGTGGTTGCGGGGCCACAAAAAAACCCTTCACCCTCCCTCACCAACAGCACGGGGGCTCTGTTGTTGAAAGATGGAGCATTTGGCATAGGCTTCTGTTGCTGGGATGGGTGGAGAGTTGTCCTGAGATTGCCAATTGGGGGTCATGGGTTCAAATCCCACTCCTGCCATTATTTTTGTATATGTGCTAAAGTAGAGTGGACGGTTTTTCATCACAAACTTTTTTGACCGCTGCTATGTGGCTCTCACGAGAGGTCCCCAGAAGGAAACGCTGGTTGAAAAAAGGTTAGCCACCCCTGTTCTACATTATATGCTGTGAACAGGCAGAGCAATCCTATCCATGCTTACTCAGAAGGAAATCCCATTGTGCTCAATCGAGCTTACTCCCAGGAAAGTGTGCATAGGATTGGAGCCTTAAATAGAAAACAATATTTATAAACAGTGGGGGCGGGGTTGGTGTCAAAAATTCTAGTAAAACCTTTTTATTTGTCCAGGCTTTTTGAATTACTGTATTTTTTTTACCTGGCTAAATTATTTTATTCTTCTCACTTTTCATCAGTCTCATTCTGACAGCACTGCAGGGGCTGACAGTGACCCAACAGGATCAAATTTGAGCTACTGGGGCCAATTCAGGGTGGAATATAATTCAACAAATAAATAAATGTTGCTGTATTTTTGTATAGTTGATCTGTGTTGTTTTAATGTTGTATAGCAGATAAAAAAAATCTCTTGAATGAAGGTGCAATTTATATATTCTTCTAATAAAGTAAGGCTGGCTTGTAACACAGTGAGAAGAAAACCCACATTTGTCAACCAAACTGCCAAATTAACACTTCACTACTTTCCATTTCTAACAAATATCGTTCCATACATCAATTTTTTTTGCCTGTAATAAAAGGAATGTTTTCCCATTTCCAAAGCTACTCAGAACAAGCCCCTCTGTCAAAGTTGTACAAGAAACCTTATCTCTAAGAAATACTTGCGGGGCAGGTACTAGTAATTTGTGTTTTAAAAAATAATAAAAGAAAATAAACATTTGGTTTACATATTTTTTTTTACCTCTTTCTGCTTCTTAATGATGACTGAGAATTCAGTGTAAGGGATCCTTGGGTTTAGTTCACATCCCATTAAAGTTGCTCCTTCATAATCCTTGATATAGCCAACGTATTTTGCTTTTGGTACTTTTATGTCTTTTGAAAACCCCTAAGGGAAAGAAGAGTCATTGTCAATGTGCTTTGTTCACCTGCTTTCCAGCAGCCTTCTGGAACCACTGTGAGGTACGTCCGTCGTCGTCCCCACCCCCCACCCCCATGGAAGCACAGAGTGACCTTTTGCCTTGTGGGCTTTCAAACCACAACTCTGCAGCCCAAATGAACCCAGATGAATACATAGTTCACCAACTTACACACTACTGAAATACACATATGCCTGCAGTCACACTATATACCACAGGGCCCCTTTTAGATTGAGTTCACTATCTACCTCAGATTTTCAAAGTTGCCCTGCAAGCTACATAGGGCCTCAGGAAGACCTCAAAAAGGAAACAATGAAAGAAACCCAAATGGCATATAGATGTTCCAAAAACCTGTGCAATAAAATTAAAGGGGAAAGATCCCTGATGGAACTTCAATAGATGTGGATATGGTGCCTACGACTGACACTTCTACAAGGAAGGAGAGGTGAATAAGTTGAGTGCCCAAAGGCAGAGACAAAAATCCTGCACTGGTTCAGCTGCCCTCTCGATTTTTTGAAATGGAATGCATTAACTGCTACTCTCATGTGCATATTCTTGACATATGCTTTGAAGAATTAGAGTATATATCCAGTCCCTGTTTGGAGGAAGGAGAGCGGTCACTCAACACATTTTTTTTCAATGTAACAGCATGATTTCAACAGGGAAGTTTGGCATTAGGTCATCATTCTACTGCATAAGAGCAAGCATGATACCCTTTTAAAAATGTAAATGCCCTGCAAATTGTGGATGGGGTATTGCTTGTTAACAACATTGGCCTAAGGCTGTAACCCTATACATTAATTATCTGGGATTGAATTCAGTGGAATATACTTCCAGGTAGATATACTGTACACAGGATTGTGCAGTAAATTAAATGTGTGTTTGGGAAATTCGTTCAAAATACAGAATGCTCCATTAATAATGTTCTCTGCCATTCCTTGGAAAACCTACTTATTAACAATATTTCTAATCGGACCTAACAAAAATGTTTGCAGGACACTTTACAAAATATTAGGAACACAGGAATAAAATAATTCTGTGGAACAGGAAAAAATGCAAAATGTGAAACTATGTGATAGCAACAGTACAATCTCCAGTTAATTCTGGAGCTAATTCCTGTTAATCCTCCAGTTAATAGCTGGTGGGACACAAATTCCTTCCTCCCAGTTGTCTTTTGAGAAGCAGGTGAAAACATACAGGTCTCTGAGGGAAGTGTATCCCATAATTCTGTGGCTGCCACAAAAAAAAATAATCCTGGCAGATTACAACCTTAACCTCCTTAGAGAATGAAGTCCAATTTATGGCTCTGGCTATAGGAGGAGAACATAAACGCCACGTCACCAGCATAATAGTGGCTTCTTTAGGATGATTTTCCATCGCCACCCAGTGATGTCTAGTACTGGTTACTAATTGACTGTTCCCTACCAGTCCCAGATACCCTGTTGGGTGTATGGGACTGGTGCTAAAACTTTATCGAGTGCAGAAGAGTCACATGATAGCTACACTAGACAATAAAGCTCATGAATGGCTTTAGGAAGCAGGCAAAGCATGGGTTTACATGCACCACTCTTCAGATTCAAGGAATAACATCGTTTTCCGCTCAAACATTTGGTCACCGTCCACCTGAAAGACTTCTCCATCTTTGCAAACCATTCTTAAAATTTCAGTCCCTCGCACAGGATTAAAAGCACTGTCTCAGGGCTACTCACTTGCTTCTTGAAGTAGCCAATTGCATATTCATCTGCATATGTGAGGAAGTTGAGAATATTGTGCTTAATGTGGTACTCCTTCAGGTGATTCATTAGGTGAGTTCCATATCCCTGCACAGAAATTAGTAGGACAATTTATTTTCTGCGAAATGCAACAATCAAAGAAACATTGGCACACCAGGAATGCTTTGTGGGCGCCAGCATAACATGCTTCCTACTTCCAGGGCGAAGGGTTGCTGATTTTCCCTGTGCAACTTCACATGTACACTGAATTCTGCCTCAGAGCCCAGCCTCTCGAGAAGCTTCAGGGTAGAAGCTCTCAGGCCCTGCAATGGGAAGGGAAGTTTAAATGTTCTGCTGTGTGTGCCAAGTCTGCACAAAGGCCTTTGGGCCCCAGACTGAATATTTAGACCTGGAATCAACTACCATAATAAAAATTATTATTATTATTACCCTGTTCTGCTGGCAGAAGCCAGTGCAAGGACTCCCGCTAGTTCAATAGGGCTTTCCCTGCTCTCAGAACTGATGGAAGGATCTCCTCAGCACTACACTGAAATCCATCCTAAAAGTTTTTCCTGGGTGTTCAAAGTGCATCACATATATTATTTCAGTAATCATTTCAAAAGAAGCTACCCCCATATTTCTGGTGGAGGCTGAGACTGACAGAATAGCGATTTCATGGCTAAAGTCGAGATTACAACCAGGGATTTTCCAGTTTTGCAGTCTATAATTATCATGAAGTCTCTCTCCGCTATGAATACATTTTTTCTGCAAAAGATGTCCTATTTAAAGGGGTTTTTTATTTTGGGTATGTATCAGCTAAAATGAACAGCAATAACAAAAACAACAACATTCTAATGGTGCATATTATTTTCCTGCTTAATGCTCCCACCCACCACCTAAGTAATCTGCAGTGACTGAGGAGAAAACAGAATAATTTCCGTGGGTTAAGAAAGGGTTAACTTGGTTGGGTAATGATCATGAGCTATGACAAAGGCAGGAGAGCAGAACTGTGGAACCAGTGACTGACACAGAAACTTACTTACATGTACATTAGTTGTGGCAAGCTCCACGTGTTGCTGAAGTAAAATTCCCATCATCCCTGGCCATTGGCCATGCTTGATGGGGATGATGGAAGCTGAAGTCCAGCAACATCTGGAGGGCCAAAGGTTCCCCACATCTGGTGGGGAAGGACAAAGAACAGATGTCGGCGGTTCCTGCCCTAAAAGGCTCACAATCTAAGATACATGCAAGCAAGCATCAGAGGAAGGTGGGGAACAGAGGTGAGGGCAGAAGAATATGCAACTAGTTCAGTTACACTGACATTGACTTCGTTACATGACTAAAAGGCATTCCAGAAAAGGTGAATTCTGAGTTCCTCCTATGTGGTTCATTTCATGTGATAAGAGGCACAGCTGAATGCCTCTTAAGAGATGCATGGATTCATGGTTCTGGCTCTCTGCTGATAGCCAGACTACACTTAGGAGAATAGCATAATGGTTGAGACAAAAACGCAACACGTTTTCTTCTTTTTACAAGCTGAATTTCCGGGCGTTTTTAAATTTGGCCACCTTTCTACAGCTGGCGTTTATTTCTGCATCCAGGCACTTTTTGGCATGAGCCTGCTGTGGGAGCGCCCTCGCCGCCTATGGGGCAGATGTGCAGTTGTTTCTGTTGGCTCAAAGTCAGGGGAAAGGCTGTGTGCTAATCAAATGGGATGTGCCCCTACACAATCCAATTATGCCTGCATAATTGTGAATTTTGTGCCTTTCCGTACCACTGACTTTGTCCTTACCTTGACTTGTTCGTTAGAAGTCACAGCGCAGAAAACTATTTCTGTAAATCCTTGAGATGGGAACATTCGGAAGCAGATGCCGCCAATCACACGGCCGTCTTTGATCAATGCAAGGGTCTTGTGTTTCCTGGAGTTATATACATTTTATGTCAGGCTTGTTTCACAGCGAGTGATGTATAAGCATTAGCATATCTCACATCCACAGCTAGAGCAGCAATAAATAATAAAAGCATTTGATGCAAAGACCTGACGCCAACTTCATGCTCTGCACAGTCAGTAAATACAAGATCTTAGCAATATGTTACATTAAAGAGAAATAAAGCTGCTGATTCACTTTATTTAAAAAGTAAAGATGCCCAGGAAATTGGGCCATTTCTTACTGAAGTTGGTAATAACACTGAAGTAGTTATTACCGCGTTTTCCAACCCCCTTCCAAACAAATATCTGAACACCCTATCATACAGTTTTCTACATTATAGAAGAATTACTTGTTTCTTCAAACTGAGAAACAGTTTTGAATTCCCAACACAAAATTATCATTGTAACAACCACAGGTGCACATACAAAAAACAACAATATATTAACAGTGGGGCAGGTTTTTGAAAACCCAAGTTTGGTGAAGATATTAGACTCCAAAAATAATAAAGAAATACAGATGCCATTAAGCAGGTGGAAAGAGGCTTTCAAAGAACAGCTAAGGAGACATTTTTATTGGCTGATATTAGAGAACCATAATCTGCAATGGAGTAATATCTAAAATAGACAAATATTAATTTATATGAATCAATGGCCTGGTTCTTACATAATGCTAGCAATGGTTTGTCTAGTGCAAGTGTGATATGTTTGAATGCCTGAATCCAGTCCAAAATGGTTTCTTTATCTTGCAACAAACCATAATGTGAAGTCAAGGTTTGCTATTTGCTTAAGAACCATGGATTATTTGGGCTATAGTTTGGGACTGTGCCTGAATCTAACAACCTTGTTTAACCAGATACGGGTGCTTAAGCCTTACTTTTCAGTCTAGCCAAGCTTTGTGGGATTGGTCTATTTTATTACTGACTTTTTCCATTCTTTTATGTTGGCAGAAGCCACCTGATATATCAAGCTTTCTTTGCTCATTTCCTACAAATTTCATTATATCATAAATAAAAATGGAGAACTGTATTTTTTCATGTTGTGAACTGCCTTTCATATCTGGCGGACCTGCTTTTATTGTTCATCTTTACCTTTCTTTTTCTGCTCTGAAGATTGCATCCACGCAGCACATAAAATCTGAAAGCATGCTTTTTCTAGAAGCCAAATTTATCCAATATAAAGTATTGCCTTTCTCAATCTACCTTTCCCATGGAGAGGGGAGGAAAAACTTACGGATCAAAGACTAGACGAGTAATATACTCTTTCGGCATTCTGGGTAGCTGATGTGAGAATACATTCTGTAAGCCAACCAGCCACATCATGATTTTCTTATTTGGCTTTTGATTTAGGGAATTTCCAACTACGTGAAATTCAATCACTCCCCTGCGCTCTTCCATCCTCGCTGCTTCATCCCGGGCTGAGTGTGCAGATAGAAAATTAGTCTGCTTTATGAAAGGAAGAAGAAAAAAGAAAAAAGGTTCAGTATACATTTGAGAATTTTGGCTACTTTGTTTTCACAGTCAGGCACACAGCACACCTGGAAATCTGTTCCATCTGTTTTGATAGAATACATTTCTAAGTGTGTTAGAAATTCCACTGAGAAACAACACAATTTGATTACAATGGGACTAATTTCACTGGATCTTTCTCCATGTGATTAGAGACATGGTGTGATCCCGTGACTTATCTTGATAAGGTGAACTAATCAGCTCCCTTTCTACATAAAGTGGTACCTTGGTTCTCGAACTTAATCCGTTCTGGGAGTCTGTTTGACTCCCGAAACTGTTCAAAAACCAAGGCGTGGCTTCTGATTGGCTGCAGGAGCTTCCTGCACTCAATCGGAAGCCACGGAAGCCGCGTCAGACGTTCGGCTTCTGAACAACGTTCGCAAACCGGAACACTTACTTCTGGGTTTGTGGCATTTGGGAGACGATTTGTTCGACAACTAAGCCGTTTAGGAACCAAGGTACCACTGTATTAGCAATGTTGTTGTTTCGTTTTAAATGAGCTCTGATGAAATTCAGAATTCACACTTAAAGATTTTACCATTCCACACCACCTATTCTATAAGAGAAGCCTTTTTTACTTAAAGCATTTCTTAGTTGCTATTTCCAGGAAAGGTATCAGTTTGTGATAACAGGAAGAACATCATGGCAGGGAGGGAGCTGCTGTTAATCCATGTGAAAAACACTCAGCTGTATGGACCAATGGTTTAATTCGGTTTAAGGCAGCTTCCTATTCTGTAGGCAGTATTACATGTCACACTGAATTATGATATTCTGTTGGGAAAGGGAACAAATGAATTGCTTGAAATAAAAGGAAGCTAGGCGTGACAAAACCTACAGACAACTTCTAGTTCAGAGGTTGCCAACCTTATGAGGCTGATGGGCACATTTGCAAACTGGAGAAAACTACATGTCTCACCTCTGGACCGAGCATTGCAGCTGGATCTGTAATGGTTGACATAACTTCGTTGATGAGTTCAATAGGAATGTCTCCTACAACTCTTGGCTTCTTAGCATCCTCCACAGAATAAGGCTCATTGCTTTTTCTCTTCTCCCCTGGATAATATAGCAACAGCAATTGAAATAATAATCTAAACTACTGAAGAAGCTATAACTCTGTCAAATGGCAGACATTCAAAGAATGGAAAAATTATGTTACTCATAAGAAATGCAATAAATCAATATTTTAGTGTGACAGCATCCACACTTTGCAACTCAATCAGGTGCCTTCGCTGGACCCTTCTGGGTTCTGCCTTCTCCATGGAAATAAAAAGCCTCTGAGCAGCTATCGGTTTATGATACCAGGATGAACACCCCAGCAGATTAGAGGGCCAGCCTAGCCCAGTCCAAAGGAGAAAGTTTGCTTCTCCAACCCAAAAAGAACATTCAGCTCTAACGGCCAGTTTCCCTGGCCCCATCTGACACCAGGGTAACTCACAGCTTCTGGATTGTGTGGGTTTGATTACATCCATGTGCATTATTGAAATCCATTCTAAGGTGCCTTAAGTAGAAGATGAGTTACACTTCTTATAAATATGGACAAATGACAGTTTTGGGTTGCTGTGGTTTTTTTAAGTGTATATAAACACCTACATGTTGTGCAACACAAATTTAAAAATAAACATTATCACTACTTTGCACAAAGCGGGGTGTTATAGCCAATGCCAGTCCTGCTCTGCATAGGCCCACTGGAAGTAACAAACACCACAAACTCATATCCATTAATTTCAATGGCTCTACTCTAAGTAGGACTAGCCCTGGATAACACCCCAAGTTCTTGTCCCGTGGAGTATACAGGCATTTCCTATTTGTGTCAATGTGACAAAAGTTGCTTGTCTCCAAGTCTGCCTTTTCCCTCTGTGATGTAAGAGAAGTTGCACACAGAACTATGTGTAGTTATTTGATTCTTTTCTCATTTTCCCAACCCCCAATACAGGGCAGCTGCTGAGATGGAAGATGAGTATGGATGAACAGCTCCTGAACCCTATTCTCCCTGTACTTCTTTCCCATTGAAAATGCTTCTTCCTGCCTCCCTCCCTCTCTGCAGCTGCATTTATCCCAGCTGAAGGAAAAGATACAGATATATGACTGCATTAAGAGTAGATGTCTCTTCTGGTTCATGAATCAACAAAAATGGCAGTTAAGCTTCCATTGTATAACGTTTTGCACATATGGCATTAAAAGCTGCAAGGAGACAGATTGGCACTTTAGGGCCAGGATCAGCTAAAAATAGCCGCATTTTGACTTGCTTCATTAACTGCTGGGCAGGGGGGCGTGTTGCAGAATCAAATAACTTGGAAGGGGGGAAGCGCTTTGTCAATTCAGAATGGAAATTTTTAGATGAGCTTTGATTTTCCAAATTGCTCTTGAACAAAACATGGGCTTCAGAAGGTGCTTACTGGAGGCACACAAAACATGTATGTGCTTGAAGTCATGTCACTTGGAGAAGCAACAAGCATCTACCACACCTCTCTGGACAATTTCAGTTGAATTCTTGCAGCCCAGTCCTTGTTTCACAACGTTCAATAGGCCATACCTCACAGCAAGCCTTCTTAGAGATTGCGGAGTTCAGATTTGCCTGGGCTGCGAAGGGCATCCTTTGTCTCTTATCTCCAACAGGTATTTCAAATGTATGGGGGCTAATATCTGCTGAGGGAAAGTCACTCTGCACACACGCAGCGCTTATCTACTGTTACCTTTCACCCTGCAATTTCCAGGCAGAGATCTGCACTTTAATGCTCTGTGTCTGAGCATCCTCTCCCCTGAACTTTCCCCACCAAAACCCGCTCTTTAAAACTGAATCAGAGCAAACGTCAATTTGAGTTTTCTGCGGATTGGTGTCTACACTGGTAGGACACACAGAGACCTGGAAAGCCCAGACCACGGCTGGAAAGAGCGGGTAAGTGTGGATAAGCCCTCATTTAATTGCTTCACATGTCTGAGGGTTGAGCCCTGCCAAAGGGGTAAAGGTAAAGGTAAAGGACCCCTGGACGGTTCAGTCCAGTCAAAGGTGACTATGGGGTTGCAGCACCCATCTCGCTTTCAGGCCGAGGGAGCCGGCATTTGTCCACAGACAGCTTTTTGGGGCATATGGCCAGCATGACTAAACCGCTTCTGGCACAATGGAACACCGTGACAGAAACCAGAGCGCACAGAAACACCATTTACCTTCCTGCCATAGTGGTACCTATTCATCTACTTGCACTGGTGTGCTTTTGAACTGCTAGGTTGGCAGGAGCTGGGATAGAGCAACGGGAGCTCACCCAGTTGCATGGATTAGAACTGCAGACCTTCTGATCAGCAAACCCAAGAGGCTCAGCGGTTTGGACCACAGCGCCACCCGCGTCCCCTACCTGCCAAAGAGACTGGGTTTCCGAGTTGGGTCCTGGTCAACCCGATTGATAGTTAAGCCCTCTAAATAGCATGAAGCAAAACTAACAGCAGACACCAACACTGTAGAACAATGGCTAGAACCTTTTTTGTTGCATAACCTATCAATGTGGGGCATCTCCGACAGCTTTATCTTGCTCAACTCTCATTCTATTCAATGGGGCTTGCTCAGCAGAAATACCATGCAGATTCCCTAGCCTGAGCACAAAAAAAGCTAGAAGCCCACTGCTCTTCACGTTACCTAGATTGGGGTCCAGACTAGAAGCAGCCTTGCAAGCAGGACTCATACTTCCACCACTAGGTTGCTCTAGAGAGGAGGGGCTTGCACTGTAAGGAACAGACCTTACCACAGGAGGGCGGCTGATAACTGCAAGGAGACAGAAAGAAAACAACAGTGAATACAGGAATGATCAGCACTAAGTAGAGCCCCCCTGAAGCTATTTGCATGTTCAGGGAATCCTGCAGTTGGTGTTAATGGGAGCTTTCCTTGAAATGCAAATAGCAGCTTCAGAGAGGGGATTGTAGTCAGGAAGAGAAAGGGTGAATTTTCCCACTCCCCACCCCACAGGCAGCTCAGGCTGTCCCAACAGCTGCTGTTTGCATAGCATCCATGTCTAATTTGACTTTCATTCTGTCCTGCACCTCATTACATTTACCTGTCTGGATGCCTAGCTGGGCGCTTCGAGAAGAAGATGCTATGAAATCTGGATCCCAGATAGGAGAACTTTGACTGTACACCTCTTCCTCCAGCATGGACAGGAACCTTAACACAGGAATTGAGGCAGCATTAATAGATGGGAGTTTTATCTACCAAGAAAAACATACCTTGCTTTATGATAATAATAATTTCAGAAAGCTATCAAAACAGGAACAAGCTGAACAAACAAAAAACACTTTTGGAAAAATGCTCCGTTGCAAATTTCTGATGAAACCTAATAACAGTTGAGAGAAAAAGCACAGTACTGATGTGAAATCATTTGCTTATATATCTAATGCCTTTGTTAGATGCTTATAGAAATTCTTGAGCTACTCTAGCTGGCGTTACTACTCATCACAACTGCTGACAATTGTTGTCACCGCCGTGCGTTTTTTTTAATTCCCCCCCTTCTCTACATTGTATAAAGTCATTTACAGTACGATACTATCCTTGTCTACTCAGGAGTAAGTACATTTCAGTTCAATAGGGCTGACTCCCAAGTAAGTGGGTACAGGGCTGCAGCCTTAGAAGCTCACAAGTTTGTTTTGGAGTATTTTCTATACCAGGGATGAGGAACCTGAAGCACTCTAGATGTCATTGGGCTCTAACTGCCGTCAACTTCAGCCAGCACGGCCAGTTCTCAAGGACTGGAGTTGTAGTCCATTAGCATGAGGTGGGGGGCTTGGGCTTCTCATTCCTGCTTCAGAACCATTAGAAGTGAGCTTTTACTTCTGTCCTGTCCCATCCCATTGCCTGGGGCTCGTTCACGACGGTGCTGCCTTTAAGGTCACAACAGAAAATCTAGGAACATTTATGCTAGAAGATACTGGAAAGCCTTCACTATAAATAGCTAAAAAATATATGAACATCACTTAAAAGAAGTTTATGCTGCCATTATGCAGATCCTGCTAGGCAACAGATCACATTTCATGAATAATACTATAGAGCTTCCTTTGAAACATCGAAATATCTGACCGGGCTATGCATTAAGATGATAATCATGCAATATTAGAAAACCCTCATACTATTAAGGATATGCCAGCTTAATCCTTTCCCTGAGGTCTGTTGAGAATTCTGCTTTGAAAAATAAGAACTCGCTCAGAATTCTAAACCGAAGTTTGACCAGCTGAGTCACTCGTTTTGTGTGGAAATATTGCTCACAGCAAGAATGGTTATTTTTTAAAAAATGATTTAACATTCATGTGAGGCTGCAAGCCCCAGCAAACTCAGTGGGGCTTCTTTTTAAATAGATATTGCATGGGATTGCACTAAACCATGGTTTATGACAACAGGAGAATGATATTTACCGCATGTCCTACCTGTGGCCTTCCAAATGGCTTCTCTTTGGCCACTGGCGATGCTGGACTAGAGAGGTCTTTGATATGATCCAGCACAGCTCTTCTTATTACATCTGGACTACAGACCTCTGATTTAAAATCGGTTAAAACACACCAGGGCTATAAACCCGGGTTGCATGGTTCAGATGTAAGACTGAACTCTGGATTAATATAAACCAAGCTCTCCACACCAAACCCAGCACATGAAAGCAGAGCAAAATGTGCTCATTTACAGCTTCATGTGCCATGGTTTTACGAAATCCTCAATGATTGTCTGAACTGGGCCAATCTGTCTCTGATGCAAAGCCAACAAAAGCACATTACTAACACAACATTGTGACAGTCTCATTCAGGTTGATTTGCAGCGTAATTCCAAGATGCATTAGTCAACTATAATTGCCTTCAGTGTGGTGGAAATATGGCACTAGTTGTGATTATGTCACTGTGATCAGACTCAGGTACACCCTAACTAATTCCCAGTCCAGTCTTTCCCCAACCTGGTGTTTTCCAGATGTTCTGAACTCCAACTCCCATCAGCCTCAGCCATCAAGATCAATGGTCAGGGATGGTGGGAGTTGTAGTCCAAAACATCTGGAGGGCACCAGGGTGGGGAAGGCTCCCTTAGACTCTCAAAGAACAAGTGGATATAAACAAATTCTGAAAGAGAAAGAAACTGTTCCATGAGATGGCGCAAAAACAGCCAGCTCATCAAAAATGACATAGGGCTTGTTATTTTAAAAAGAAAAACCCTTAATAATTCTCATAGAACAGTTTCTTTCACTTTCACAATCTTTGTTCCCACACCCTTAATTCTAAGAGAAGCAAGCCTAGATAGACAGGCATAAAGATCTCTCTTTATCTTTATCCTTATCCTATTTGTTCTCTGAAAGATTCGAGTGTGTGGAAGCTTTGCAACATTAGATATTTAACTCATCTCATCAGAGACACTACTTTGCCAATGTTTCTTCATGATGAAGCAGTCACTATTAAAGAGCTGCAAGTTACTGCTGAGCAATTTGTTCTTTGCTAAACCGGCAGCTTAAAAAAAAGGTAATTACATGGTACCTTTTGCTATTGTCCCACTAATGTGTTTGAAATGCAAGCAGTCATGAATAAATTATTCCTGTTACAGTACAATTATTATGTAAACTGACATCTTCATGGCTTTCCCCACCAAGCTGCACGGCAAGACACACTACTTATAAAGTCACAAGCTATGTAATGCACTGCAGTGTGTTGATAGGTCTAAAAATGCAAGCGAGTAGCTTCTGCTAAATTATTGAAAATGAAATCAAGGGAAACAATAGATACTAGAACTCATTAGGTTACAAAAGACCACTTTCAAATCCTACCACACAGACACATAAACTAATACAGCATAAAATATTTATATTAAATGATAAATCTTTTGAATAACTCTATAAATTTTAAAATATACAATGAAATGCAGTCTGTAAAAGGCTAAAGCGAATTAGCCTCACACACATTAAACCACAACTATGGTTTAAGATGGTGTGGCGAAGCTGGCAAATTGCTGTCCACCCATGAAGTTTTGGACCTTTGGAGCTCATTTTGAGTCCTGAACAGAAACAATTTCAATCCAATCCTTGTGGAGTTAAATCTTGGGTTATGAGTTTCATCAACTTTAACAGCAGGTCAGCTCCAGACATGCCTGGCTTGGGGTATACATTTTTGCTCAGTGAACAGAAGGAGCTTCTGTTCACTGCAGGACCACTTTCCAACAAGCGGAAGCTTTCTCCAGCCACACAGTGAAAACTCAGGTTCTGAGCCAATGTTTATCACATAACACATTCATTATGCGTATCTTAAGAAATTCATTAAGATCACTTAATTGAAAGCTAGACCAAATTTCACTGAGATTTTTTTAAATATTTGTTTCACTGCATTCTTATCCTGCTTTTCTGCCTATGCCCAAACAGAACCGCATACAAAGGCCCACTTCACATGTAATGCTAAGCCAAACATATCTTAGTGTAAATGGGGGAAAGGGGGATTCCCAGAGCTAAGATAGCAGCCACAGCCTTCTTTCCCAAGGTCCTGGCACTACTCAAAGCTAAGCTATGGTTTGATGCAGCGCTACTTCCAAACCCAGCCTCATGGATTGTCTCTTGCAAACCACAAAAGGCAACATGTACATTTCTATTGCATGACTACTGCCGTGTGTTGTGCATAGGGCTGCCTCTGAAGATGGTACGGAAACTTGAGCTCGTGCAGAATTCAGTGGCCAGGTTCCTCAATGGAACAAGACAGTTTGAGCATATTGCACCAATGCTGGCCTGACAGCACTGGCTGCCAATTAGTTCCCAGGCGCAATTCAAAGAGCTGGTTTTGACCTATAAAGCCTTAAACGGCTCAGGACTGCAATACTTCAAGGACCGCCTCTCTCCATGTGAACCAACCTGGACCCTGAGATCAACATCTGAGGCCTTCTTTGTGTTCTGCCAGTGTTTGAAAAGGAAAAGGTTTTGACTTCCTTTGCCTGGTCCTCAGACCCTAGTCGGCACAAAGAGTACTTTGCAGAATGCTGATTTTATTCTAAAAAAAAGGCTTCTCCAACTACGACCGACCGCCTTATACATATCAAACGCAGCCAACTTCCTACCATTCAACCAACCCACAACACACACAATCAATGACCACTCTATATATTTATAGACATAGGTAGATAAAGGTTTGCATGAGTCATGTAGGCTTTGCCGATTCATTGTAGGCCGCTGACTCAGTTCCTTTTGTATTAAAGAAGGGGCGGCTAATTTTAAGCCGTGACATGTTCTTCCTCCTCAAGAGGGCTGGAGGGTGTCAACATGAGAAAGGGCCTTTTCTGCTGTGGCTCTCCATTTGTGGAACACTTTCCCCAGAGAGGTTTGGCTTTCATGATACACCTTTAAGTGCCAGGCAAAAACATTCCTCTTCAACCAGGCCTTTGGCTGATTAACATCTGATACCCTTTTAAATGTTTTGTGGGAGGTGGAGTTTATCGGTCTGTTTTTGTTTTTACTATGTATTTTGTGCTTTTATATTATATTTTTATGTTGTGAACCGCCCTGAGATCTGCGGGTGAAGGGCGGTATACAAATTTTAATAATAATAATAATAATAATAATAAATATACATTTTAAGTTAATCAGAAAGTTCACAATAAAAGCAAAATTACTTAGGGAAATGTGTGAGTATTAGCGTTCGTTTCTCAGGTGGAAGCTTGTCCTTTTCCTGTCTTGCGTGTTCTAGGAGTTGCCTTCTCATGACAGTAAAGACAGATCGCAGCAGTGTTCTCCCAAAAACTTGTGTGGTTTCGTATCGAGGTAGACTGTCACAAAACTGGGGGACGTTGCAGTAACACAACCACCTGCGAAGGGGGAAATATTAAGATAGAATAAACCCAGGCAACGGATCCAAACTAATATGAAAAATTATCTCCTTTCAAAACCTAACTACACTATTCACATCAATTCACCTTAGAGAAAGAATTTACTGCATCCTCTTAAGAAAAGTATATTTAATTAATATCCAGAATCACGACATTTGCCGCAAAGAATCTGGTTAGAAAACACATTAAAATTCTGTAGCTACACGCACACTAGAAAACGTCTAGCAGGTCCAAATTGTAAAATAAGAATTGCAAAACTGGGTCAAAAGTAAGTCACTAGCTCTTCCAGCTCAGGCATCTACTGACATGTAAACAAATGTAGACTGACAAATCATAGAATTGTGGTCCTGTAAATGTCCAAAATGTATTTTGTATGGTTAAGTTTTTACCTCTATCTTCAGTACATTTTATTTTATTTTATTGCTATGGCATCTGATGATGATGATGATGGTCACCTAGTCCAATCCCCAGCAATGCAGGCACCTCAGCGAACGTGATATTCTCTAGATGCAAGATGTTTGCACCCTTCCCTGGAGAAATTTCAGGGAACAGAATGGGCCCTGAGGTGTGCAAAGCCTTCCTTGCCCCCACTAAGCCAGGTTTGATATTGCAGAGGAACAGGACCTTTGCAAGAGGTACTAAAATGTGTCAAGAGGTGAATCGTTTTAGGAAGATTGTGCAGAAATTTCCCTTTCCCTGGCAGCTGACTCTAGGTAGTGTAGCAATCATGTTGCTTGCCAAATCCTGTCCAAAATGCTGGGAATATGCACACAGTAAGCAGGTTACTCACACAGAACTTGCACCTGATTACCTGCAAAGCAAATTCATTAGCAACCTCCTAAAGGCTTGGCCACAAAACCATAGACATCTGAAACAGGAACATTGTTAGGCAGCACCAAAAGACAGGGCAAAATAAGGACGGCCTCAACAAGAGCAAGAAAATATTTTATCGAGGAATGGTGGCAATATCCTAGCCCTGCTGCCCGTTCCCTAGCTTCTGGTCATCACAGGTATATTGCATTGGAACTCGTAGGTTGTGCTTTTGTCTACAGCTTGACCCTACGAACAGACTTTCCCTCCATGTATTTATCTGATCCAGTCTAAATCAAGTCAATAAATGTGAAGTCAAGAATATTGGTCCCAACACTGTACGTAATAGGGAAAGGGCAAACAGCACCCACTACCCACCGGAACTGATCCTACAGGTACAAATGAATACCTGAAACAAGACATTGTTACCTTGTGTAGTTCACTTTGTAGCTGGCAATGTCGTCATTAGGTGACCTCTGTCTTCGCTGAGAAGGTGTCTCCAGGTGCCAGTAGTTGATGCGATTCAGGAACATTTTAGCCAGCTCTACTATCGTTTGCCTCTCTTTCGATGGTAAGTGACTAAATTTGTATTGCACAAAATTATTAACTCCCTTAAAAAGAGAGGACAAATAAATAAGACCATTTGTAAATCAAAAGGAAGACGAGGCTCTAAATACATATTTAGGGTTTTATTTATTTTAAGTGATGAATTAATATGTTTAATTCCATAAGGTGAAGATTTAAGGATGTCAATGTCTAAGTTAAATTTTATAAGAATTGGGATTTGGAAAACCGTTAAAAGGACATGCAATGAAATTCAACCACGGGGAAGTGAGGAAGTCACTTAACAAAGTTAATAAGTGAAATTTTCAATAAGGCTATGATTTATGTTTGTTTGTCTTATGTGTTTGTTTGTTTGTTTGTTTATAATACTGTGAAAACTAATAAAAAATATTTGGGGGGGGGGACTAAATGCATATTTCCTATTTAATGACTGCATTCTCTCTAGTGGCTGGTTGAGGTCCACTTCACATTTTATCTTTTTCAAAATCCAAACAGCACAGGTGACATGTGTAAGTAAATCTCTGGAAGAGAAACCGAAACCACCTCTTAAATAAAAGCAAGGACTTTCTCCCACAGATGTAGCTTGTCGAATGACCATGCCACTGGCTGTCACAGATTATCTTAACAGTCAAAGGAATTTGGAATCTACTTTTACCCAGACTCTACTGAAAAGCAAAGTGTGTGTTTGTTTGTGTGTGTTTTGTCTGTCTGTCAGCTGTGACCTAGAGAATAGACGCAACAAGACAGGGCAGTGCAGACTCTCTGTCAAAATTCCAAATGTGCCCAAAAAGGTTTGCACTCCCTGATTTAGTACAACTGAGGGCCGTAAGTAGGGTTTTAAGCTCCCCACTTCAAGAGGCAGACTAGCCTCCACCGCTGGTAACTCACAAAAAGTCTCTTAGCAAAGCCAGGGAAACCATCTAAAGCAGTAGCTTTAAAGACAGGATGGGCAACTGTCTAAATGAAATTGCAGAAGTGTGAAAGGGGGCAGGGGGTCTTTCCTAACTGCAGTCCAGAGGTGCATTATGTGCTCCCATTGGTAAGCATGGAAACCACAGCTGAGTGAGTGTTCCCAATAACACGGAAGCCCCACTTTTGCACACAAATCGAATCTGCACCAGCCAAGCTAACTTCAGTCAACTAGCATGGCATAGCTAGTCTGCAGACCTTGTTTCTCACTGGGTACTTGATCTATAACACCACCTAATATTCCTAAAAGTCTTTAGTCATCATTTTTAGCCCCAAGTCAGCAAGACTCTTCATATACTAATAGGAGATGCCTCTGTATAGATGTACTTTACCTGTTCAATACTAGGTTTCTCAAATGGGGGGCTCTCCAAAGATCCTTCTACAACTGGTTTTCCCATCTGTAATATACATTTCCTCAAAAGCTGTTGAAAAGAGATTTTTAAAAAATAAATAAATTAAAAAGGTTACTAACTAGGGCTGGATGATAACTGGTTTTCAATATTGCGATATATCACCAGGTAAACATCGCAATGTATCAATATATCACGATATCTGAAATAAGGAAGGAACTACGCAGGGGCAAACAGGACAATGTCCTGGCGACTGCTGCTACTTACGGGTCTAAAAGTGATAAATGTTTAAATTATCTATCACCTCATGGTCACTTTCAGTGAGCCAGTGTGGTGTAGTGGTTAAGAGCGGTAGTCTCGTAATCTGGGGAACTGGGTTCGCGTCTCCGCTCCTCCACATGCAGCTGCTGGGTGACCTTGGGCCAGTCACACTTCTTTCAAGTCTCTCAGCCCCACTCACCTCACAGAGTGTTTGTTGTGGGGGAGGAAAGGAAAGGAGAATGTTAGCCGCTTTGAGACTCCTGAAGGGGAGTGAAAGGCGGGATATCAAATCCAATCCAAATCCAAACTTTCAGCAGCAGGCAAGCCAAAATGCATCCAAATGAGACTTTTGGTTTTGGGCTTGGCTAATCTGACAGTTCCAGATTATTTGTATTCACTATGACTCAGCACCATACTTTGGATTGTCCTGAATATCACCATTTGGTACTCCAAGACCAAAGTATCCAATGAAGCCATCCTGTTTGTGCAAGAACTTCTGCTTGTGCAACGGAACTTTCCCCTCCCCCTCCTCCCCACATGCCCCAAATCTGTTCTGCAGGTTCCCTGAGGCCTCTGGAGGAGATCTGCAGGGGGCATGTGGCAAGAGGAGAGGGAGGGGAAGAGATCCGTGCACCAAAGGAATGTCTTCACTGGATAGAATCTATGGTTTGCAACTATAACAATTATACAATAATATAATAACAAATTTTCAGCCAAGGCCGGGCTCAGGGCGGCTAGCACCAAATATGAATTACAATAAAATGTAATAGAAAAACAACAACAGCAACAACAATAACAACAAACAGTTAATTAAAATACGCTTAAAATACTGCTTAAAATGCAGCCTCATTTTAGTAGTAGCCCATAAATCAAGACCATAAAGGGAGGAAACATCAGATCTTCACCCGAGCCAGCTATCCATGCTGGTCCTACATGGGCCAGCAAAAAAGCCAAGGGAAAATTTATATACCAAATCCCATATGAGGGGTCAGAGTGAGTCTAAGCCGAAGGCCAGGCGGAACAGCTCCGTCTTGCAGGCCCTGCAGAAAGATGTCAAATCCCGCAGGGCCCTAGTCTCTTGTGACAGAGCATTCCACCACGTCGGAGCCAGTGCTGAAAAGGCCCTGGCCCGACTTGAAACCAATCTAACCTCCTTGAGGCTTGGGACCTCCAAAGTGTTGTTATTTATGGACCTTAAGGTCCTCTGTGGGGCATTACCTACAGACTCTATCATATATAGAGGAAAGGCACTACGTCTTGTATGAGTCAAGCCCAGAATTACTGTCATACTGGATCCAAGCCAAATACAGTGCACTAATTGATGGTAACATTGCTCAGTTTTTGCATCAATCTCTACGGATGTTTTACGCAAGATAACAGCAGCACTGAACGTATTCCGGGAAACAAAAGAAAAACCAGCAACTTGCCTTGAACAAGTAAAAGTAGACTTGCTTGGTATCTGCATCTTCTTCCTTGTGAACACAGGCAAAGAGATACTCGACATCCAGCACAATCCCTAAGAGCCTGTTCATTTCGTCTTCAGATACATTCTCCAAATGGGAAACGTGAGCAGCTAAACAAACAAGAAAATCCAAAGCTTAACGGGAAAGACCTGAACAAATGGAAGCATTTATCTGTTCTTTGTTAAATTGGCCTGTCTCGGGAATGGGCAACCGACACACATAAGCCAAAGCGAACTCATGGAGAATCTTTTTTTCAACCCGCTAGAGATGCTATCACAGACACTACTAACACAACAAGTATTTTCCACATCCAAACAGCTACTGTCAGATTTGCACCCTGCTGTGTTAACCTAAAATCAGTATTTGATGCGGCAAAAGCTGTATTATTATTTTCAATTCTTTATTTAACACTTGAAACAATGACAAAATTTGAAATACAAAAAAACCACACAATTAATATTGACTCCCCTTCCCCCCCCCACTTCCATGGTGCATTTTATTGCATTCTTTTCCACCACATATTCTAATTTCTCCCCATTTTATATCTCAGTATTTTTAACTGCTGAATTTATTCTATTACTGTTAACTTTTTTTAAAGTGCTTGCAATATTTCTCCAAATAATCTATAAAACATTTCCAATCTTCCTTGAATGTTTTTTTTAGTCCTGATCTCTTACTCTTATCTGTCCATCTTGCCCTTTCTATATACAGTGGTACCTCGGGTTAAGTACTTAATTTGTTCCAGAGGTCCGTTCTTAACCTGAAACTGATCTTAACCTGAAGCACCACTTTAGCTAATGGGGCCTCTGCTGCTGCCGTGCCGCCAGAGCACGATTTCTGTTCTCATCCTGAAGCAAAGTTCTTAACCCAAGGTACTATTTCTGGGTTAGCGGCGTCTGTAACCTGAAGCGTATGTAACCTGAAGCATATGTAACCCGAGGTACCACTGTATTCTATTAGCTTCATCTACCATTCTTCCTTCACTGGTATTATATCTTCCCTCCAATTCTGAGCCCACACCATTTGTGCTGCTGCAAAAACTGTATTAGCAGTGGCTGATGACATGTTGAGGTGGCGACATTCATCTGACCTCCGGTCAGTCATGTTGCTGTGTCTTACAGAGAAAGAACAGGGCAAGATAGCAGCGAGGCCAGTGCAGAGCGCACACAGTGGTGAATCCCATTTGTGGCTCCTGTAGGGCGTTTGCACTGTGCTGACCTCCCTGCCACCCTACTGCTCTACCTCCCAGTAAGCCACAGCAACATGACCAACCACAGGGCAGGTGAACACTACCATCCCACCACACTGTCCGCTGCTGATTATTAACCATTATGTGTATTAAACTATAGAGTAGGGCATGAATCAGTCCTGTTTTCTTCTTCCTGTTTCAGAAAATGTTATCTCTCCTGTCCTTTACAGTGTGCCATTTAGATTCTCCATAGCTGAGAACACACTGATTATCTACTGTGTTGATAGGGCTGGGCGATATAGTGATATATCATCCTAAACCTGTTTGAAGTCCACATTGTGATATTGGTTTCATAATTTTTGACGTGGCAATATATCACAAACCATGATGTGTGTGTGTATGCTACACAAAAATCACAATGTGGGGAAAACTGTGAAGCAAGCCAAAGCTTCCGTTGATTCCTGCAGCCCCTGTTAACTCTGCTGGCTCAGCTCTTCCCTTCCTCTTGCAAGGAGGCAGAGAATCACAATGCAGGAAAAACTGTGAAGCCAGCCAATGCCTCTACAGAGCTCCATCCTTAGTTCAGACATTGTGATATATTGCACTGTTTAGCTGGTGATATATCACAATGCTGAAAACCAGATATTGCCGAGCCCTATTGTATGATGTATCTTTGCTATGAGAACGTTCCTAACAAATTCATATGTGAGAGATTTCTGTATGTCTGCTAGTAGGAAAGCGATCCGGTTACAGTTTAGATATGTGAGGAGTCCCCAAACCTCTCCGGAATAATATTGTCAATCCGAGATTTCTCACTTATTTCATTCTATGGCGCATTTAGGTCTCAGGGATTTGCAAAAGATTATTTGCAAGATCTCTGGTGTAACTTTGTTGGAACAAATTAGTTCTCCTAAATGTCATCAGGCTACCCCAAGAACGCACAGGTGCTATAGTGTAAAAACTTGGAGCAAAATTGTTTCCTAGGCTCCCTGAGAACCGAAGAAAAGCAAATGCTTCAATGTCTTAGAAGCTTAATAAATGGCAGTTGTAACCATCTAACAGCAGGAGGCTAATTGGGAAATTAGTTACACTGTCATTTTAATGACAGCAGGGTCTGAACTGTGAAGACGCTTCTGTTATCAGCTCCTATTCTCAATAGATTATCTATTCTCTCCAAAGGAGAGAGAAAGGAGTCCGACATTTCTGAGCCTGTTCAGACTCAAGGTCTTATTGTCCCTGCAGATCTAACCAAATGTATTCAGTGGCCCTGTGCTGCTATAAGAAAGCCATTCTGTTTTCCATTCTACGGTATTTAAACTTACCTCTAATCCTCACAAATAAAGGGAATATTAGAGAATACCTTACTACATAGATATTCAGCAATCATTAGCATACTAGTCATAGAAAGCTGTTTTAAGTTTTAATATATTTATGTTTGGGGTACGGCAATATTGAATTTTAGCAAACTTGTACATTTTGCAGCTTTCTTGTGGAGCTCTGGCTATCAGGTTTTGGTACAAAATTGCCTCCCTAGATCTGCTGAAGAAACTGCTACCAAACAACAGCAGAATGACATGACATATCTTTTAATCCTGCTTCTTTGATACTTCTTGTTTTCCATACTTAGTTGAGCCGCGCAGGTATATGCATAATCTTCAGATTTATTTTGTTTTTGCAGCTGAACACATCTTGAGTCATTTAAATGTATTTTGTTCACATTTCTGTGACGTGACAGCAAAACACTGTTCCAAGAGTCTGATCTGGGAAAGCTATTTCATGCACTGAAATCCTGAATCCGTACCCAAATCCAGGTTGATAGATATAGCAAAACAAGCAGCCATGGAGGGCGTTACATTTGAAGAATAAGAAGAAAAACCCTATATATGTAATTTGACTTCTTGGATCAGCTATTTTTGCTTTAAGGTTTCAAACTGCAGCCTTGAAAATAACTTTGGAAACTGACCCATACCGTAAAGTTATTTATGGAGCTCCCCCCCCCCACCTCTTTGGTTATTACAAAGAATTTTGAAGTGCTACATGAATCAGGTATTTCATCTTCCTAAAAAATAAAATAAAAAAAAATGTGCAGGTGAGTTATGTCCATGTGCTGCACAACTGCACATAAACGCATATATGTAACAACAAAAATAGGATTTTTGCCCCTCACAGCACATTATCATAATAATTATGAATCTAGAACAACAATAATAATAATGTGTTTTCCACGTAAGGAATTCTGAGTGCAGAACTTGAGAGCCACAATACATTAGAGGCTTTTGTTGTTGTTTTTAAAAAATAATTTTACTACTATCCAGAGTAGTAGCAATAGATAACCATAAATTGGGAAATTCTACTTGAAAATGTTTGCATTACATTCTCTTTATATAATGATTTTACTTTAAAATTGTTTAATTGTAAGAATACCAACAAATATTAATAGAAAAAAGGAGAAGAATGATAACTAAAAAGAGAACAAAAATTTATGCATTGTCTCTGCAGAACTACTGAATATCTGGTCTTGGTTCTACCCTTGTGCTCAGCTTTAGCATGTTTTCAAATACACAGTATATTTAGGTCCATTTGTTTTTTCTTAATTTACTCAATTTACTGTTACCTTCCCCGAACCTTTGGAACTGGGTAGGCTATGAACTTCAATTAAGTGCACCTTGGGAGTGCAGAGAAATACCAGTACCCGAAACTTTACTGTCGGTCAACTTTCGTATTTGGTTTGCATTTATGTGCTTAAGCCAAAATTGTTGTTTTGTTTTGTTTTATTGCAATAACTGAATTTATCCTGTATTTGCTTAATTTCTGGATTTTGTTATTTTGAATAATAACAATTCTGAATAATATTTGTGGGTTTTTTATGTTTCTCCATTTTAATGTTGCAAATGGGTTTGCTGTGAGACGCTTTTGGGCACAGCTTACTGTGGGGAAAGCGGCGTATAAGTAGTAAATAAATAAACAGAAATTCCAGAAGAAAATGCTACAAAACCTACCTAGTGCATGATTACAGCTACGACATGGTTCGTTAAGACTCACAACCGCCTGCTGTAGTTCTGCTCTGGGTGGAGTTGGAGGTGGGTTAGGGTTTTTCCAGCCATTACATTTACAAGATTCCTCAGCCTGTAATTTTAAGAAAGTGGGGTGGGGAGATAGGGAGACAGAGAGAGAGAGATCGTATGAGTTTAAAGAATGTATAAACATTCCCCATATTACTAGTAATGCTAGGAAAGGAGAGCTTTTACATTGCCACAACACAGCTATTTTCTTGACTACTGTAAGATGCACTTGTGTTTATACACAAATACAGAAGAACAACATAAGGAAAATCCTTCTGGATCAAACCAGAAATGAAATCCAGTATCCCTGTTCTCAGTGGCCAACCACATTCATATGGGAAACCTGAAAAGCAAGACCTGAGCCCAAGGGTCAGCAATCTTTTTCAGCCGTGGGCCGGTCCACCGTCCCTCAGAGCTTGTGGTGGGCCGGACTATATTGGGGGAGGGGGGAATGAACGAATTCCTATGCCCCACAAACAACCCAGAGATGCATTTTAAATAAAAGCATACATTCTACTCATGTAAAAACACGCTGATTCCCTGACCGTCCGCAGGCTGGATTGAGAAGGAGATTAGGCCGCATCCGGCCTCCGGACCTTTAGCTTGCCTACCCCTGCCTGAGCCCAACAGCTCTCAACCCACTTGTGATTCCAACAACTGGAATTCACTGCCTCTGACAATGGAGATAAAAGCATAGCCGTCATTGGTAGTAGCCATCTTCTATGGCTATAAAGACAGAATATTACTCTATGCTCCTGCTCACATAAGGGGGAAGAAGGTGATATTCACCACCATTCCACAAACATCTGCTACGAAGGGCTGGAGGAGCCTGACGGAAAATAAGTAAAACTCACTTCCCTGCCATCTATCGTGAATGGAAGCCTCTGCTGGATCGTAGCCCCTTCACAAAAGAGTAACTCTGGATCTAAGCCATTCTATAAAGATTACATACAGTATATTCTATATGCAAATTATACATTAGATGTGGAAGAAGTACTAGCTGCAAAAAAGTAGGCAACATCGTCAAAGGATCATTCTCCTAGCCATTAATGAACCAAAAGCTACAGTGCAGTTCTGAGCATGCATTACATCTAATCATGATGTTATAGGTCAATGTTTTCTCACCCTTAAATGATTACACGTGCCCGAAATACTGTGGATTTCTACTGGGAAATTCCCATACATTTTTAATGAAAACTTCCACAAAGGTTAACATTAAACCTTTCATTTGTTTTTGTTTTTCCTGGAGGCCACCATCATTCCCGCTATCCCAAACGTAACATGCAGACAAAGCCTGGCATTGCTACGGAAGTAATTCAGTATTTTTTAAATTAATAAAACACATCATAACACACAACGCCATAGTTTTAGAGATATACATTACTGCAAAATTTCCTATTAATATTTTAGTAGCTTGGACTATGCTATTTATGCTAGTAATGTGCTTTCGAACATACTACATATATTACAGGAATCTGCAAATGCCACACACAAAACGACGATCTTGCAGTCTTTCATGTCTCAATAAGATCAGGCTTTCCCTCTGATCGACGTTTGGATTTTGTTACCTCCCAGTTTAGGAGTTCTAACAGAAAGATCACTGGAATCTGTAACCTTTCATGTTTCAGAACAGAACATATCCGAAAGTTGTGCCAAAGCAACTTCTTTCCAACAGCCATTTGATTTATTTCCCTTGCATGACAAATCTGTTGAACATCACAATGTGTTCATTTATTTATCTGCCCTTGGTATGAACTCTGTGTATGTGTATGATTGTTTTTGTGTGTGTGGAGGGGATTTGTTTGTTTGTTTTACTAAGTATGCCTGTTTCTCAGAAAAACATTGGAAGAGTTGCTGCCCAGGTTTGTAAAAGGTAAGCTTGCTGCTGTGGATCTGTAAATCATTGCTGTAAGAAAAATAAATTTAAAAGCCTCTGTAGGGCGTGCGAGCGCACGCACACACACACACACAGTTTCTCCCAAATATGAATAAGCACTTGATTTTAGAACACTGTGCCATAATTATCCCAGAGCCCCAAACCCATAAAGACTGAGTACCTACACAAAAATGTAGCACTGCACACTAATTAGCATCAGAGATGCAAACAGATGTACCAACATTGTAGTCGGAAGAGCTAAACTGCCAGGAATGAATACCAACCCTCCTACAGGAACGGAGAAAAAAGTGTTTTGTTTTGCTGGCAGGCATTCGTTGCAGCTCTCAGTTTTATTTCTAGCAAGCTAATTCTTGTTAAACAACCAATCTCGGGTTCCGAAAAGGAAGGGATTCGGAGCAGAGATGCTTGTATGCTTCCGAAGGCATCCTGTATCGAGGCCACTAAGGGCTTTAAAGATGAAAAGGAGCACTTTGAATGGTGCTAGGAAACAAACTGGAAGCCAGTAAGGTTCTTTCAGCACAGGTGCTTCCACCAGCTAAGAAAAAAAGCCGCTGCGTTTTGTTTCTGAGTGGTTTTCAAAGGCAGCAAATGGCATTCAGATCCAGCATTCTTGCTGAGGCCGTATGCCTTCTGTTCTTGACCCCAGCAGTGAAAATATTTTGCCCTCAATAGTGAGTGCAGCATTCCTAAGGAGTTCAAATTACACCCCGCTGGGTGGCTTTTGAGTCTTTTGCAATGTTTCCTCTCTCATGCAACTCAATAAAATGTCACTCCTCTGCTTTTCATTAGGAAAGAATGTATGAAATTACCTCTTTTGAGAACTTGAGAGTGATGGGAAGGCGCTGGGGAGAGTAGTTAAAAAATATTTAGTGCCAACGTTATGAAACATTGTGCAAATTGTACAGTATGTATATGAGGTTAAGAAAGGAAGGCTGTGGGTGCTTAATAGCAGGGGTAGACAACGTGGTGCCCTCCAGATTTTTGGACTCCAATTCAAGAGAGCCAGCCTGTCTCCTCACGTTGCACAAGCTAGAAGCAAGAGGTGCAGATAACTTTGCTGTTGATTCAGCTCATGCAGGAGATAGCTCAGTTGGTCAGAGTGCAGTGCTGATAACGTCAAGGTTGCAGGTTCGATCTCTGTATGGGACAGCTGCATATTCCTGCACTGTAGGGGGTTGGACTAGAAGATGATTCTCAGGGTCCCTTCCAACGTTCTATGATTCTATGTACATTCCACCGGTAAGTACGGCATAAAAATAAGATACAACAAACTCTGTAGGGCACTGAATTGACTATGTGCGCTTTAGAGTGTTCCAGAGTTCACTCCACTTGGGCAATGATCGCCCGCCCTGTGGAACGCTCTCCCATCAGATGTCAAAGAGATAAACAATTACCTGACATTCAGAAGACATCTTAAGGCAGCCCTGTTCAGGGAAGTTTTTAATATGTAACGCTGTACTGTTTTTAACACTTGATTGGGAGCCGCCCAGAGTGGCTGGGGAAACTCAGCCAGATGGGCGGGGTATAAATAATAAATTATTATTATTATTATTATTATTATTATTATTATTATTATATCATCACTCTCTTAAACAAAGGAAGATTTGTCATGCTAAGGGATGATCACACAGACAAGGAACCATTGCTGAAAATGGCTCCCCTGTGTTGAGCTCCCCTCCACTCCCTCAGAATACGCCAGGTGATTCATGCTTCGAGGTCACCACATTGTGAATTTCTGACCCATGTTGGTAGGAAAATGTAGGACATAATTATGACAGCAGAATAAGAGCAAGCGATCCTACATGTTTGGGGAAAACTCAACAGGATAATGTCATTTGGGAAGTGGAGTGTAATGTGTTGTTCAGCCCTCAGCATTCAGCCCACGAACTCAGTCAAGCCAAAGTACTTAGCTGAGCACGTCTTTGTTTTCTATAATTTACCAATTAACTGGATCATTGTGTAACTTTGCATTACTACCTCCCCTAAACTGAAACTCTAATCAATGAGGAGTCTTGGCTCTCATGAGTCGCCCACATTGGAAAATAAATTACTGTATGGATTTGGTTTATGATGAACATTTTTCTAATGATATGTGCTAGCACAATATATGGATTGCAGATTATATACACCACTCTCAAAGACCACTGTGATTAATCTATATATCCGCCACATGTCTAATTATATCTACTGCCCTTTCTTCTAATAAATAGTAAACAGTGAAGTGCTAATAATTAGGAAGATTAATGTAATAATGTTTTGGCTGTGATCCAGAAAGCTGTGAATCTACTTCTGTAAGCACAGAAGGACTGTATTTCTTGCCTGACAAGCTGCTCTTGAAAACCAGAGAGTTTCAGAATGAGTAGGTGCTGCTGCTGCACCGAAGAGAGATTTAAGTGGTGAATTCAGGCTTGCCCAAAGAAACTCTCAATATCACAGTCTCCGAAGGTGTTTACGACAACAGGGATATTCAGTTTCCATTGAGATAGACACACAAATAAGGAGACAGAGAGCACAAGTATTCAATTACTATCTTTCACATCTGAGACCTCCTGTACCGAAGTGCATAAGCTCCGTGCACAGAGTCCTCAGTCCAACTCCAAAGGTCAAACTACAAGTGCACTGTTGGAAATCACGTCAAGAGTTATACAATTCAGAATCACAGGCTTGGGTGGGCATTATTTAACATGCGGATGAGGGACCTTTTATCATGCCATGGGCTTTATTCCCATCTCAGTCACATGCCAGTGGTGTTGAGAGCCAAACGCAAATGTGGTTAAAGCAACAAATGTGATTTTTTTTACCTTTGGACAGTAGGCTCATTTCTATATACATCTCTCTCTATCCTCCATCCAGGCAAGAAAAAAAAATGGATTTTTGTTGTTTTAAGAAACACTTCCAAAAATGAACATTCCCAGTATCTTCAGGACTGTTCGTACATCACCAAATGGGCCTGATTCCTTATCTGCACCCATCCAACCATTTGCCATCTGCCCCAGTTTTTCCTGTAATTTTCCGATCCCTTCAGCCCTAACTGATGCTTCCAATTTGTTAAAAGTAAGCAAGTTATGCAGTTGCAAAGATTAATTCTTCATATTAATTACTGCTGTCAAACAAACGGCATAAAGAGGGATGAGATGTGGCTATGCATGGACGAGAGAGAAGCAGACTCATGTTAAACTGTGCAACATGACAAATAGAGACACTTGGAAATCAGACGCAAAGTATAAGATTAGATAGATAGATGATTAGATAGATAGATAGATGATAGATAGATTCCCCTTTCTGCCATTACATTTATGGCTATGTGAATGCTTGGGAGGGTAGCAGAGATTAGTCTGGGACACAGGTGGCGCTGTGGGTTAAACCACAGAGCCTAGGGCTTGCCGATCAGAAGGTCGGCGGTTCGAATCCCTGCGATGGGGTGAACTCCCATTGCTCAGTCCCTGCTCCTGCCAACCTAGCAGTTCGAAAGCACGTCAAAGTACAAGTAGATAAATAGGTACCGCTCTGGCAGGGAGGTAAACGGCGTTTCCGTGCGCTGCTCTGGTTCGCCAGAAGCGGCTTAGTCATGCTGGCCACATGACCCGGAAGCTGTATGCCGGTTCCCTCGGCCAATAAAGTGAGATGAGCGCCACAACCCCAGAGTCAGCCATGACTGGACCTAATGGTCAGGGGTCCCTTTACCTTTATTTAAATGCTTGGGAGGGTAGCAGAGATTAGTTTGGTAGGTCTGCCCCCATTGATGTTCTGGTCGCGCTCTAATTTGGGGAAGATTATCTTCTAGAGTGTGAAGCCTTCTATATTCAAAGAAGCTCTCCAAACACATTTTAGAACCCTAGAAACTCAGGGTTCTAAAATGTGTTGGGAACCTCCATAAGGATTGGAGGCCCCCCACTTCAGAGCCGGCCCCCAAAGTTGGAGGGCAATGGAAACAGTGGCAGGGTGGAGCTATTGTTTTTATCCCTGCTGGTCCCCCTCAAGTGTTTACCTAACTACAAAGCTAACCCCCTAAAGAGGGCTAAAAGACAAACTGCATTCATTTACATCATAGTTTATGCTTAATGCGTGAACAAAAATAAACTCTCGGATCTGAGAACTTTTGCAATCAGTCTACAAAGGAGCCAGTGGGCTATACTCTCAAGAGTAGACCCCCCCCCCATCAAATTAAGTTACTCCACTGATTCCAATGGATCTACTCTTGAGTATGACTTACAACCTGCTGGTTATTTTTATTTCTAATCCTCTTAAAATATTATGCAGAAACCTCCAAATGCATGCCAGTTATTTAAAAAAAAAACAGAAACAGTGGCATTTACTTTCAGGCTTGCTTACAAAGGAGCAGTTTAAAAGGATTTTCTGATTTGAAATTTACCCTTTGACACTGAAGAGCATTTGGAGACATTGTACACTGAACCACTCTAATCTAAGAGGAGTGAACTCCATTATGTAAAGTTCACAGGAAATATTAGTTCCCAAACACAGGAACATATCAGTACCCCAACACTACAGCACTTTTAAGGCTTATGTTCAGAGGAAGCCAACACAGTGCTGTCCAGATGTTGTAGACTACAACTTCCATCATCCCTGACCATTGGCCATGCTGGCTGAGGCTAATGTGATTTGTAGTCCATCAACATCTAAAGGGAACCAGAGTGCGCTGGTGACTAGAGTGAAATTCCCAGCCAATTCAATACAAATTACTTTTAATCAAACTTGTTCAGAGATGCGTTGCAAGTGTACAAATGTTTTAACAAACAGTTTCCTCTATTCAACCTCACAACATAGGGTTGTTTCATGGACTAATTTATCAATGGAAAACTTTTGTCCCTGTTCTAGCAGCATGATTATTATTACTCCTATTACCCATAGACTATTACTGCATGACTCAGGGTATTGGAATGACAGGAGGCAGAGAGAGTTCCAGCAGGAACTTGCATCTTTTGAAGTATTATTTCCACTATTGGAATGTAGGGGATCAAAGCCGAATTATTTAAATTCTCATCCCCTATTGTAACTAAGCTTGTATAATCTAAGTCTAAATCTAACCAAAACTGTTCCCTATTTACACCCCCCCATCTGTTGTTTCCTCTACATTTTAGGTTGTACGCTACTTGGAACAGAGAGCAGTATACCATGTAAGCAATGTGCAAAATGATGACATATATGTATATGCATGATTTAAAGGCATTATTCTGCCAGTTTTACTAGCTCCTAATGCCTCATTGCCCTTATCGCCACTCTAAATATTACTGGTTAGAGGGACATGATGAGGTTAACTCTTCATTTTCTTACTTTTGTGCGCAGAGCACAGGGATTAGGCAGCAACTTCTAATGAAGTGCCTAATCTTATGATGATTTGGCCATTTTTAACAAGCAGGTCATGCTGTACACATTATCAGTGTTAAAAACAATTCCAATCAAAGAACGACTTTTTTATTTTTAGAAACTTCAGAGTACTAAAATGTTTCATAGCAAATTCTGAGGGTCAAACTATACCTTAAATACACGGTGTACAGCTAGTATTTAAATTAATAGTAGGTGTATGTGGAGGGACGTTGTAACCCAGAATTCATGACACAGGGAGGGGGGATTACACCCTTCCTCACATCCTGACAGAATGCATCCCTCCCTCATGGGTGACGCTGTGGTCTAAACCACTGAACCTCTTGGGCTTGCTGATCAGAAGGTTGGCGGTTCGAATCCCGTTGCGCTGTCCCAGCTCCTGCCAACCTAGCAGTTCGGAAGCACACTGGTGCAAGTATATAAAAAGGTACCACTGTGGTGTAAATGGCATTTCCATGCACTCTGGTTTCTGTCATGCTGTTTCATTGCACCAGAAGTGGTTTAGTCATGCTGGCTACGTGACCCAGAAAGCTGTCTTTGGACAAACACCAGCTCCCTTGGCCTGAAAGCGAGATGAGCGCCGCAACTCCATAGTCGCCTTTGACTGGACTTGACTGTCCAGAGGTCCTTTACCTTTTATACCTTTTTTTTTTTTTTAGCTTGGCAGGGGGAGGGGAGCTGTCAGTGGGAACTGGGCAGTGGCAAGGACTTTTATTGGGAATGCTGGGAAAAGGTCTTTATAATCTTATCTTCAGATTGCAGAGGGGATGAAGGCCACACCCAAGCACAAAGAAGATGCTGTCAATCTTATCTCGCTAGAGAATATACAGTGGTACCTCAGGTTAAGTACTTAATTCATTCCGGAGGTCTGTTCTTAACCTGAAACTGTTCTTAACCTGAAGCACCACTTTAGCTAATGGGGCCTCCTGCTGCTGCCGCACCGCCAGAGCCCGATTTCTGTTCTTATCCTGAACCAAAGTTCTTAACCTGAAGCACTATTTCTGGGTTAGCGGAGTGTGTACCTGAAGCGTATGTAACCCGAGGTACCACTGTACTGTGTATTCCAAATATGCTTGTTTCATTCACACATTGCAATATGAGGTATACAAACCTAGCCTTAGATGTAGCCTTGAGTGTTTGCAAACCAGTGTGATAAAGTGGGTTCGAATACAGGACTAAGACTTCGGAGAAATTGAACCCCACCCCCCTCACAGACTGCAATTGGGCCAGACACCTACTTTAGTTACGCTGTTCTAAGGATAAAATGGGCAAGGAGGAAGATGCACCACGATGAGTTTCCTGGAGAGAGAAAATTGTAAAAATAAAATAAATAATTTCCAAATTATTCATGGTTCAAGCTCGGTTTTACTGTAGTAAAGGAGAAGAGCAGGGGAAGATCCTTCACCTGTGCTCTCCTGAGGCTGAGCTTCGAGCTTCTCATACTATTGGTAATCTGGGTTTCCCGTCAGCTACAGGCTGCAAAAAAGGAACAAGCCACAGTCTCCACCTCCTTCAGCTGTCATCCTGTCAAAACAAAGCCTCTGTTGCCAAGATCAGGCAGAGGGAAAGGGGGGGGGAGCTTGGGAGGAGTTACAGCTCAAAGCGCCCAATCCAAGCTTCTCCTTCTCCACTCTCCTCCCCAAGTACACTGGCACTGCACACAACTGGATACAGAGTGCTGGAATGGCTTTCTTGTGCAAACAAAAAAAGAAAGAAAGGGGGGGATTGTTTATCTCTTCAAACAGACACACACAGCAGGCACTTAAAGGAGTTTGTCTCTGTGCTCAATCCTGTGTTTACATGACAAGCAGCTGGGGCACCATTTTACCAAGCAAATAATAGAGTAAAAACAACGGCTGGCATAACCTGCTGGGCCTGAGTATTCTTTTCTTCTGAAAACACAATGTTCTCCCTGCTTCCCCCCCCTCTCCATATCACTTTCTCCAAAAAGATGCACTGACATCTTGCCTTTTTGACATGCATTCTCAATCCTGTGTTGCCTTACAGCTGCCTGCAAATTGGTTCTTCTTCCTCCCTGTGCAGAGAACTGTGGAACATCTCCACTTAAACACTGTACACACATTGCAACCTTCAGTCTTGCCATGGTGCTTCCTTAAAAACAGAGCAGGGCAAGTAAGGGGCTTTTTTGGAAAGACCTTCCATTGGGCTGTCAAGTAGAAATGAGTCATACAGAAACTGAAGGCAGACAAAGTACAGGGAAGGCTGAATTTCACCCAGTTCTGAAAGATGTCTCTCTTGCCAAGCCTGGGACATACGGTGCAAAAGCAAAGAACTGAGCAGCTCTAGCCATGCACAAAGTGCAAAGTACTCCCCTTCCCTTAAGTAATCACAACCTGTCCCACAATATGGATTGGGGAAAGGGTTTGGTTTGGATTATACCTTCGGGCGCCCTCCAAGTCTGTGGTTTTATATCTGTACAATGGGAGCCTGGTCAAGTATAAATGTATTGCCATAGAAACAATTTGTTAGTGATGCCTCCAGCCCCTAGAGAACGATAGGCCTGGGGTGGATAGCTCAGTTGGTTAGAGCACGGTGCTGATAATGCCAAGGTTGCAGGTTCGACCCCAGTAGGGGACAGCTGCATATTCCTGCATTGCAGGGGGTTGGACTAGATGATCCCCAGGGTCACTTCCAGCTCTACAATTCTATTCTGGGATAGACTTGTATGGAGCTGGGAAAATACAGAGGCTTGACTTGCTCTCTGTGCTGCAACCAAAGCTAGGAGGGAAGGGTCCCTGGAGACCTAATGGGGTATTAAGATCTGCTGGAATGTTAAAGCTGTGAGTCCTTCTATCTTACGCTCAGGTTGTGTAAATGTGGAGGGAAAGCTATATTTCAAAAAGACACCACAGTGATCTTCATGCCAAAGAAACCAAACCCAAGATAAGCTCTGGCACTCAAGTATCCCACTGCTCAGAGACTGATTGTGTGTGTGTTATTATAATTACAATTACTGTAATGAATTATTTGCATTCTAAACCAACATTTCAAGACAATTTACACTTATGATAATTGATAACAGTTAAAACATATACACACACACACACATATATATATGACTAAAATACTAACAAGAGGGCACTCGTGGTAAAGAACCCTTCACCCAGCTGGGAAAGGCTGTTGGAACAAAAATGTGTCCAACTCTTTCCATAAACTGCAGATAATACGCACCTGTCATATCCACAGGACAGGGCAACCACACAAAACACCCTGTTCCAAGTTACTGGGGAGTGCGCTTCTGAGAGCTTTGGAACTTGCAGGAGAAACTGTCCCACAGACTGCAGCAATCTACTGGGAGTATAAGAAATAAGGCAGTCTCTCAAGGAACCTGGTCCTGAGCTGTACAGGGACTTATGTGCATATCAACACCTTGAACTTGGCCCAGTAGCAGATTGGCAGCTGGTGCAAATCCCTCATGCAAGGTGTCACATGTTGGCAGTAGTTTGTCTCCAACCTCGGCAACCACATTCTGCACCAGCTGCAGCCTCCAGGCCAACCCAGAGGGCAGCCCCACACAGAGCGCATTGCAGTAATCCAACCGCATGACAACATAATACTGTGTTGCATCACTGCACCCTGAGCCAGTTAACCCACAATAACTACCAACCCCAACCACAGTTAACAACGGAGCTTGCAGGAGCTAATGGGAAATTATCCTTCTTTTTTCTTTTCAGCTACGCTGGCATGCATGCACGCATGCATGAACTAATCCGAATCAGGCGATCGCGCAACGAAACATAGCTACAGGTCAGGAAGAAGAAAATTAAGCAAATCGCTGCTTCCCCAGCGAGCAACCTGTTGCCAGGCTGCCTTAAGTGGGAGAGACAGGAATGAAAACACCCGTTTGCGCGTGCGTGCACATCCACACACACACCCCTCCCCGCACACGCACCCACCGGTGCAGTCGTTCCCTTTTTTAAGGGCCTCCTATTCGCTCCGTTTTCCAAACGGGCCGAAAGAGTAGCCCGGCCGGCAGCTCCCGCGCCTCCCCTTCTAACGGCAACAGCGGCAACGCTGGACGCCCCCTGGGGGCGGCAAGGGAACAGAGCGACGTCTATGGATGGATGCCGCTGCCGAGTCCCTTATTATTATTAATTATTATTACTACAACTATTACTGTGTTTTTTTCGTTTCCGCAGCGCCCCCCCAAAAAAAACCCCGTCCCGAGCGGCTTACCTTGCAGGCGGAGTAGACGCCCAGCTTCTCCAGCTTCTTGGCGCGCGGCGCGGCGCGGAGCTGCGCCTTCTTCCCTACGACGCGAGCCGAGCCAGGGCCGCCGCTGCCCGGGCCGCCGCCGCCGCCGCCGCCTCCCGCTGCAGCGGCAGCTGCTGCTGCAGCGGGGCTCTCGGCAGTCGCGGCGGCGGCGGCGGCGACCACAGCCCGGACGGGTCCGCAAGCGGCTAGCCCTCCGGCGGCCGGGGAGCCCTGCTGCAGCGCTCCGTTGCCGCCGCCGCCGCCGTTCCCCGCCGCCGCCGCCGACCGCGGCTGCTGTGGTGGCGGAGGACGCCGCGGCGGCGGCTCCCGCCCCGGCCGCGCCAGCCTCAGCCATGCCGCAGCCCGGCCGGCACGACGAGGCTCGCCGCCAGGCTCCTCGCCCAGTGCCCGTCGAGCGAGCGCGCTGGATGGAGCCTCCCCTTTTCCCCGCTGCCGCCGCCGCCGCCGCCGGCTGCTCCCTCCGGAGGGAGGGAAGGAGGGGACAGGGCCGCACCGCGGGCGGGTCCTGCTGGGCGGAGAGGAGGAGGAGGAGGCGCCGCTAAGAAGAAGCCAGCGGGGAGGAGGGGAAGGCGACGGACATGTTGTTGCCGCCAGCGAGCCTGGCTTCGGCTGTCACCGCCCGGCAGCCCAGGAGGAGGAGGAGGAGGGAAGCCGGGCGGCCGCGCGGCCTGCCTGGCCCTTCCTTCCCTCCTCGCCTGGGAAGCGGCGCAGTGGCGTCTCCGCCGGTCCTGGCCATAAAGCGCGCCAAGTGCCTCAGCAGCTCAGATTTGCCCGTCCGGGTCGCGCCTCTTCGGGGCCCCGCGGAAGAATTTAGCAACAGTTCCAGAGGGCATCTCTCTCTGAGGAGAAGTGGCGGCGTGTGTCTGTGCGCGCCACTGCGGTGTCCCCTCAGGGCAAGTCATAAGGAGGAAGCAGAAGAGTCCTCCTCCGGCACTTAAGAAATAATAAAATAAAGCAACATATAAGTCCGTCAGGCTTTCAAGCGCACAGAGCTCTGGAGCGGCGGGCGGGTCTCCTCTTTTGCCAAGCGGCTTCTCCCGCTTCCGTCGGAGCGCGCTTGCAGATGCGATTCATGGGGGAAGGAGGACGGCGACTCGGGGAAGCCGCCAATCCTACAATGCAAAGCCGCCCCCCGACGTGATTCTAGGGTTAGGCGAGCGCGAGTGGCGTCGAAGCGCGCCCGCTTTCCTTTTCCTTTCCCTCGAGGGCATTGCAGTTTTTGGGACCGGGGAAGGAAGAAGGGGCCTTTTTATTTTATTTTTTTAAAAGCACTCCGCTCGTTGTTATTTGTTATTTTATCTTCAACCAAGTAGTTTTAAAGCTGGGCTCTTCGCAAACTTGCAGGGAAGGAAATGGGCTCTTTAGACGGGTCGCAGCAGCGAATTGGGGAGAGAGGACTCAACCTGCCCTTTACTGTAGAGTTCAAAGTGAACTCTATTGGGAGTTCATTGCCTCTAAAGGTAGACTTCCAAAAATAATAATTATAATTAATAATAATAATCATCATGCCAATGGCCCACCTACAGCATCCTATTCTCACAGTAGCTGACCAGATGCCTGTGGGAATCCTGGAAGCAGGATTCTAGCACAAGAGACTCTCTCTTCCTCTGTCTACCAGTGACTAGTATTCAGAATCATTGCTGCCTCCAGTTGTGGAGACAAAGTATAGCCATCGGCTAGTAACCATCCATAAGCCTCTCCACCAAGAATTTGTCTAATCCCCCTTTAAAGCCATCCAAGATGGTAGCCATCACTGCCTCCTGATGGAGCGAGTTCCATAGCTCAGCTATGTGCTGTGTGAATAAAATAAAGTACAGTACAGTACTTCCTTTTATCTGTCCGAAGTCTTCCAACATTCAGCATCATTGGATGTCCCCAATTTCTGGTGTTCTGACAAAGGGTTTAGCTGAGATTCCTGTGTTGCAGGGGGTTGGACTAGATGACCCGTGGGATCCCTTCCAACCATAGCTGTCAACTTTCAGATTTGAAAATAAGAGATCAGCAGCCTCGAAAATAAGGGATCAGCAGCCTCACCTGTCCCAGGGACAATCTATGGGATATCTAACAATCCGGGATAGCAGCAGGAAAAAACGGGAAACGACGCTGGAATAAGGGAATTTCCCGCAAAAAGAGGGACGGTTGACAGCTATGCTTCCAACTCTACTATTCAATGATAACTTCTCTATCAACTTTTGCCATGCCATGCATTTTTTTAAAAACCCACTGCCCAGTACCTGCTGTTCAGCTTCTCATGGCGTTAGTTGTATCTGGAAACAGCTGTTTCACACAAGCACAACACAGTATGTGCAGTTATCTATGGAGAAATGCCGCAGTTTAAATAAATCAAAAAGAGGTACACTCTTTGCTCTGAGTAAATTGGCATGAAATAGAGAACAAAACAAACTGGCTGTAATGTGATATTGCGAAGTGAAAACGATCCTGTGCATTTATTTAAAAGATGTACATGCCTCCCACCAGCAAAGCTTTGCGGGGACATTCACAGAAACATAGTAAAATACAAAAGTCAAAAGAGAGTAGAATAAATCACAACGTTTTTAACAATATGTTAAGACTGCAATCATGGTGTTAAAAGTTGGGGGTGGGTGGATTATAGCTTTGGGAATCCTGGTCTTGTGGTTTTGTATCTATTAGGCAGGAGTCTGTAGTTGAAGGAAGTGTTGAAGTGATGAAACCAGTCTTAGTTAAGCTAGCGCTGATATGAGTCCATTTTACAAATCTAAACAACTAGCTAGTGATATTTGCAGAAAAAGGAGGTAAGACAGAAGTTAGTCTCTTCTGGACTTGGGAAGACCTTCAGGCTTGGCTTGCTGAAACCCAAGATATGACTTGGGGGGGACTCCCTGGAAAACATGGGTGTAGCCAGGGTTTATTTTAGGGGGACAGGCTTTATGTTGGGGGACAGAACTGAGATATCCATGATGCAATTGGTCAGTTAGTTAAGTATTTTTATTTATTTACTTGATGGGGGGGCAGCTGCACCCCCTGGCTACGTCCATGCTGGAAACCTAATGGGGGAGCAACTTCTATTGGCGTTTTAATGCTGTGAGTCCTTCCATCTCATTCTTAGGTTGTATACATGTGTAAATAGAGCAATATTACAAAAAACAAACCAACCACCACAGTCTCCAGGGACCATTACAAGGAAATCTAAACCAAAGTAGGTGCCAGCACCCCTGAAATCTCTCACAATTTGCATGTGTGTGTGTGTGTAACAATATGCATACTTAGGTGTAAGGTCCATTGAATTTAAGAGACTTTTTAGGATTGCATTCTAATCTTAGGATGCCACGGACTTTATCTCATATGAGGATGATGGAACAGAGCTTTGATACAATGGCAGGTTAATAATGCTCAGGTTAATGCAGAAGCAAACATTCCTTCAGCTACCTGCATAGGGATTTTAAGGTAAACACCAACTCTTGAATTGGACTCTTACATGGACCGGAAGCCACTGGAGTTCTCAAAGTGCTTATACAATATATTTAGTCTCAGTTTATACAATATGCAATTGCAGTTTCATTGTCACAGTGAATTAATCAACATTAATTGGTTTGATCAGTATGAAACAGAAGGAGAAACGGTCATAGAGTGGTACCTCGGTTTAAGAACAGTCTGCTTTAAGAACGATTTGGTTTACAAACTCCGCAAAACCGGAAATAGTGTCCTGGTTTGAGAACTTTGCCTCGGTCTAAGAACGGAATCCAAACAGTGGAAGGGCACTGGTGGTGGGAGGCCTTATTAGGGAAAGCACGCCTCGGTTTAAGAACAGTTTTGGTTTAAGAACGGACTTCCGGAACGGATTAAGTTCATAAACCAAGGTACTTGGTTTTATAGTGATTTGTAAGTGGCATTACAGCTAACAGTGTAAAAGACGAAATGTAAGTTCCATTACATTATGACAAAAAGTACAATATAGCAGAGCGATACTGAATTGACATCACTCCCTCATTTTGAGGTGGTGATGATTGTAACCAACATGTGCTGAGGACTATGACACAGCATGCTTCAAGACCTGTTCACAAGACAACTGCAACAGGACTGTTGTTTTTGCTGGGGCATGTCTTGATCACATTCCTTGGAAAATACAGAGGCTCTGTAGCACCACCCACACCTTTTAATCTTGATTCTTAGACAAACCAGAACAGCATCTTAGTGGCTAAGATACGGTTACTATAGTAATAACTGTAAACACTGGAAAGGCGCCGCCAATCCTGTCCCAGCGTTCCAATAGCAACAGAGGGAAATGGCTTCCAAAGAATCCACAACTTCCTAGGAGTCAAAGGTATACTTTTTACAGAATTTCATTAAGTAAAACTTTATTATTTATTATACTTTTCAGATATATACATTTCACTGATTTTACAATCATTTTGACATTTTAAATCTTAACTTCCTCCCCCCCCTTTCTGCAGTTCCTTAAATTTATTTTCAATATCTTCTGCATATCCAAATTAACTTGACTTACTCATTTGTTTATCTTCTTTAAGTATATACTCTTATGTAACTGCAGGTTACTACAATAATCCTGCCAGTGTTTTTATCTGTTTACAATTTATCTGTAATATTCAATAAACCATTTCCATTCTTTATAAAAAGTTTGTTATCTTGATTTCTTATTCTCCTGGTAAGTTTCACCATTTCTGCATAATCCATAAGTTTTGTATCCATTGTTCCTTTGCTGGGACTTCTGCTTCTTTCCATTTGGGGGCAAGTAACATTCTTGCCGCTGTAGTCGCATATATGAATAAATTTCTATACGATTTAAGTAGTTCTATCCCTGTAATTCCCAAGAGAAAGGATTCTGGGGTTTTTTTACAAATGTTATTTTAAACATCCTTTTCATTTCATTGTATATCATTTCCCATTGAGTAAAACTTTAAACAAAAAAAAAAGAATGAATGTAAGCAAAGTTGTGATTTAGCACATGCTGAGCAAACAATGTCAACTGAGGTCTGAAGACACCTTAGCACAAAGGCATAAATGAGGATCAGAAAAATCATTGTACGTGGAACAGGAAGACTGAAGAGATATCGTAAAAAGTCTTTTTAGGAGAACCTTTCTAACTAAGCTAAAAAGTGGCTCATCCCAAAGGCAGCGACCAATACAAACCATAATAAAATAGGTTTATTTAAAGTAACTGTTTCCAGATGTTCAAGTTCCCTGGACTTGCTTGCAGTTCAGGAGGTGGTCCCTGGGAATTGTCTTGCCCAAGGTTCCTTCAAGATCTGGAAATGACACTAACTTTTGGACTTGTATGGGGATACCTTTGAAGCCCCACTTCTCATGAAGGTAATTTTGAATCAGTCAATACAGACTCAGCTTAAACCATCCTTCCATTGCTTATTCAGTTCCCCATAGTTTGCTCTTGATTTCTTCTAGTTAGAGCATCACTATTTAATCAATTAGGTTATTTATTTTTATTTTAAAGAACCCTTTCATAAAATTGGAAGGGGTCCTCAGGGTCACTTTTTCAAACGCCCTGCAATGCAGGAATCGCAAATAAAGAATCCCTGACCGATGGCCACCCAACCTCTGTTTAAAAACCTCCAAGGAAGGGGACTCCACCACCTTTCAAGGTAATCCATTCCACAATCGAGCAGAAAGCTCTTCCTAAAGTTTAGTCAGAATCTTCTTTCTTGTCATTTGGCTCCATCGGTCGAGTCCTACCTTCTGAAGCAGCAGAAAACAAACTTTCTCTGTCTTCCACGTGGCAGCCCTTCAACTAAAAAATGCCACAGTTAAAAAGACAGTACATTAAAAAAAAAATATTAAGATGACTTTAAAAATTAAGCACTACTTTAAAAAGGTCATTTTGTCTTTCACATACAGGAGAATTATCTTCCAAGATGAAGCCTGCTACAATATACAGGCACATGATCTAAGAACAAGAAATGTATGGTTCCCCCACACACACCTTCAGTATGATATTCCCACCCCCTTATATGCTGATTTGTGCAAATTCAATTGATTCATTAATATTTCCTTCATTTGTTGCAGCCCTAGTTTCTACGCTTCCTGAGGTGAACTATTTCCCAATTCATCAGACAAGTAAGTACATATTCCATGTTCTGTCCTCAGTTGCCGACCAAGTGGCCATCAAGGAAATTATCCAAATGTGGAGTCCATAGACCATGAAACAGCCGACTGTGGAGAGCAGTTACTAATGTGAAGGATCCTTTAAGCAGCCTCCCCCTGGCATGTTTATTCTGTGTGAGGTTTGTTATGTACTGAAGTTCTCACCCTGGGCCAGCAGGGGGTCACTGTAGATAGTTTTCACTCAGGTCCACATATGCAAATAAGGGATTGAAAGTGACTTTCAGTGATTGGATAGTTACAGAAAATTGTTACAGTTGTGTTGTAGTGGAGCTCTAATAAGCAGGCTGGCTGAACCCTTCAGTTCAGTTCAGTTCTGGCCTGTGAATAAACAAGAGCTGTTTGAAGAATTGCTGTGTCGTTTGATATGTTCAACCACAACTTAACAAGGTTCCTTCTCCTGCTGAAAGGAAAAGCCCTAAGATTGCATCAAATATTATCGTATTTGGAGTTACCAAAATCTTTCTATATCTGAAACAAAAATAATTCAAACACTTCATATGGTTGTACAGTATCTTAAGCTTGAAAGGATAGGGCAACTTTATCACTGTTGTTGTTCTGCTCTTCTTGCAAAACTTTACAAAGGAGCTCTGCTCAGCTCAGTTACGGAAAAGCTAGCTCCCCCCACCCCCATTGCCAGTCACTTTGTTGGGGGGGGGGAGAGACTCTAATTTATTCTGGGGAAATAGCCCTGTTGACACACCATGTAAATATGCCCTGTTACAATATAAAGACAGCAATGCCCCACAACTTCACAGATATTTTTCATTTGAAATTGTGCACTCCCACTGAGCATATCTCTCTCCGTCATTTATTTATTTTTAAAAGTGAACAGTAAATACATAGGGTTGCCATATTTCAAAAAGTGAAAATTCGGACAGAAAAGTTGTTTACCTTTTGGGGGGGGCGGGATTGCCAAAAAATCAACACTATGTCCGGGAAATTACGGATGTTTGGCAGCCACATACATACATACATAATTTTATTTGTATGCCACCTTTCCACAGTTCAAATCATGCTCCAGGCGGCTTACTACAGGGAAAAAATATACAGTGGTACCTCGGGTTAAGTACTTAATTCGTTCCAGAGATCCATTCTGAACCTAAAACTGTTCTTAACCTGAAGCACCACTTTAGCTAATGGGGCCTCCTGCTGCTGCCGCGCTGCCAGAGCACAATTTCTGTTCTCATCCTGAAGCAAAGTTCTTAACCTGAAGCACTATTTCTGGGTTAGCAGAGTGTGTAACCTGAAGCGTATGTAACCTGAAGCGTATGTAACCTGAGGTACCACTGTAACTACAACATAACAAAAGAAGCCATAAACAATAAATAAAACGTTAAAAATATACAATCAGACCAAATGATTTTCACATGAATCACAACAAGATCTACAATAAAGATACAAAAAAAAAAAAACCCAACAGCAACAACCCCCTCCCCAACAACAACCAAAAAACCCCAAACAATACCCCAGCTCAAGAGTCTGTTCAGCAGCCTCAGTTTTTGTAGCTGGAGTCAGTCAGGGTCCCGCTCTCCCAGGCCAGGTAGAAAAAGGCCTGCAAGGCAGACATCAGGTCTTACAGTACTCACAGCCAATATGGTATCTGGCCTCTTCAGCAGCCTCAGGGTTGTCGCATGGAAAAGTTATCAAACTACATGTGCCATATCTACATTACAGTGCTACCTCTGGTTACGTACTTAATTCGTTGTGGAGGTCCGTTCTTAACCTGAAACTGTTCTTAACCTGAAGCACCACTTTAGCTAATGGGGCCTCCCGCTGCCGCCACCCCGCTACCACGCGATTTCTGTTCTCATCCTGAAGCAAAGTTCTTAACCCAAGGTACTATTTCTGGGTTAGCAGCGTATGTAACCTGAAGCGTATGTAACCTGAGGTACCACTGTACTGTATGTTCATGACAGTATGGTGTGTGGGTGTGTTGTAGTTGGGGGTGAGAGAGATAACCTGGAACGTTAGTCTGGAACATTTAGCTGAGATTCCCCTTACCAGGACGTAATGCAATTACAGTGGAACCTCGGTTTTCGAGCGTCTCGGAAGCCGAACGTTTCGGTTTTCGAACGCTGAAAACACGGAAGTAATTGCTTCTGTGCCTCAGAAGTTGAACAGCTTCCGCTGCGTGTTTTTCAATTTTTCCAATTAAACTTGCAGCCAGCGCTTTGTGCCTTGGTTTTTTAACATTTCGGAAGTCAAATGGTCTTCTGGAACGGATTACATTTGAGAACTGAGGGAACACTCTACTGTGTTGCCCAGGCATATGGCTACCCATGTTGGAAATTTCATTTTTTCCAGAGATTTTGCAAAAAAATAATAATAAATAGCCCCCCCCTAAAAACTCAACAACTTTGCCCAAAAAAGTGTCCTTCAGTAAAACAACTAACTTCCTCTCTTGTCTCCTCTCTACAGATGAAGGGCGTTTTAATTTCTGTCCAAACAGGTATTGGCTAACTCTCACCATGATTGGGCAGAACAACTACATGAGAAGACGAATTTGATGGCTGATTCGATCAGAAATTTCAAACAGGCAGTGGGAAATTTTGAACAGGCAGTGGGAAAATATGTGGAGCCCACCCAGGAATTAAATCAGGAGTGTGCCCTGACAGAACAGAAGAGGGAAGAGGATGTTGCTGAATCTTGGGCGCCAGAGATGGAGGGAGCTGTGGCCCAACAGGAACATGAGCTTTCGGATTTGACAAATGAACTTGGAAAAAGCCAGATTTGGAAAGAAAAAGTTTGGTTTGGTTTGGAAATGGGGGGCTGGATAGACCCCCCTATGCAGGGATGTTTGGACTTTTCAAGTGTGGCAATGGGCCGTGAGATGTTTGGGATTGTGGGGGCTCCTAATTTTGGAGGGATTTTGAAACATGTTCTTAAATACCACATGGAGTTTAGTGTGGATTATGGAAAAGGGGCTGATCTGTCGAGAAGGGTCAAAAATATTGTTAAGCTGGAGTTCCCACGAGTGAAACGAGCAGGAGACAAGGGAAAATACAGTTATGAAGAAGAGCTGCGGAAGGGACATGGAAGAGACTTAAGGGCCTCGGATATAAGGTTACCAGGTTAATGCACTAGATCGATGGGATGATAAGGACTGACAAAACCCGGGACCAGGAGGAAGGGACGCTGGATGAAGATTGGATTGTTTTTATTTCTTTTTCTACTACTAGGATTGTTTTATAAAATTGATGAATGTTAGAAAAATGTTGGAATGAAATTACTTGGCTTTAGTAAAAATGTTTAAAGAATTATGTAAGAATATTATGGTTATGAGAAGTTGGTAAAAATAAGATTTAAGTTTTAAGTTTCAAGGTTTTTTATAGTAAGATAAGATTAAAATAGTTTAAGGTAATGTAATGACAGAATATTATGAAATATGGAAAGGATTTGCTGCAACAATTAACAACTAGGATACAAAAAAAGGGAGGAGGAGGAGGTCAAAGAAAGAAGGTAATGACAGTTGAGGATTTGAGAATAACGGATTTGTTTTTAAATGTTTGTGGTGTATTTTTGTTTTTTTTTTAATTGGTATTGTTTGATGTGGTTTGTTTTTTCTTTGCTCTTTCTTTTTTCTTTTTCTACTTTGTTTTCTTTTGTAACTTAAAAAAAAAATTTCCAATAAATATCATTTAAAATAAAAATAAAAATATTTTATTATCCCTTTGGAGCTTTCTTTCCAGGCTGTGACGTTTTATGGTTTACAGTTTGATTTTTAAAAGATTTTTAAAACATATTTTTCTTTTTGTTATGTTTGCACTTGTTTTTTTTGTTAACAAAGCAATAGAATTAAAAAAGGAAAAAAATATTTCCTCTCTACCTGCATTCCATATCAGATGGCTTTGAAACTCTTTGAGAAGCAGTTGATCATATTGTATGCAGGCTATCAGAAAAACGCAATCCTAGAGCCCCATTTGGCATGTAAAACAAATTGCAAGGTTCTTTTATGAGTATTTCTTGGTTTCGTTTGAGAAGGATAGTTGAAACACATTTTACTTTTCTTTGTTTTTATAGAATGTCGTGGGGAAAAGGATCTCCGCAATGTAAATCCGACAAATCTGAAGAAGATCCCACAAAGGTAGTTAAGATTGACTTCAAGAAAGTTGACAAACTCGATATTACAGTACTTTGCTCCATATGCCAACAAACGGTACACATTAGCGAAATTCTTTTCCATAAAAAAGTCCACCAGGCTCTGGCAGTACTGGATTATCGCCGGCCATGGGTGGAATCAATAGATGTAAATAAAATAGTTCTTCAGAGAAAACGTCTGCTTTTAAAAATGAAAAAATATAAGACTCCGAAGTATGTTGAACGAAAGACGGAGAAGATTGGCTGTTCGTTTGATCTCCTTAAAGAAAGCATGAAGCCTACTCCATATTTTTGCATTGATAATATTGCTCAAAGTTCTGTGCACGTTGAAGAAGTTACCAGTCCGCTGATAAAAGCCATCGCAATATGTCAAGACAAAAATGCTCGTTGGCATGAAAACTTGGAAGACGTATTTGTCGTATTAGACAATTATGGGAACAGGGCAGGTACGTGCTTTCTTGGGGTTTTTGATGGAAGCAATGGAATCTCTGCTGCAGAGACGACGTCCGTGGAACTTCCCGTTTTACTCCTTGACCAGCTTTCTCACGAAGATCCCTCCTACCAGGTGAGTGAAGCTGGGAAAGAATTCATAGATTCATTCTGCACCGTCTTCAGGGCAGATTACAAAGTAAGGGAGAGACTTTTCACCCAGAAGGGCGCCAGAGGTAAGAAGTCTTGGCCAGGTGATTATGAATGGATTCACAGAGCATATGCTAAGTCTTTCTGGCGTATGGACAGGCTTTTGCGGCTCGGGAGAAACGAAGTTTCCAGAGTCTGCTGGAGCAGTTGTACAGCTGCCACCTGTATAATAGAAAATATAAGCAACGAAAAGGAAAGCCAACAAGAAGAAGAGGAGGAGAAAACACTTGAAAAGGTAACTGATGAAGAGGAACAGAACGTCAGACAACAGAACGAGGAGGAGATGCCTAAAAGGATATTCATAGCAAAGAAAAAAGTTGACGCAGAGCAGGGAGTGGCTCTGCTTATAACTAAGAAAGAGAGGGGCAGTGTCACAGAACAGCAGCCAGAGGAGCCACTTGGAGGAACCAACGACAAAAAGGAAAGCAGCACAGTAGAGTCAGAAAACAATGAGCAGGTTGCCAATAATAAGGATGTGATTCAGGAAGAGAATCTGCTTGAAAGCAAGGAACAGCAGCAAGAAGAATCACTTGAAAGAACAGATGATCATGCCAGAGAGGCAGGAGACAATGTGCAGATTGCTGATCATATAGATGAGAGCCAGGAAGAGGGTTTGCTTGAAAACATGGGACAGCAACAAGGAGAGTCACCTGAAAGAACAGATGATCACATTGGAGAACCAGGAGACACTGTGCATGTTGCTGATCATATAGATGAGAGCCAGGAAGAGAGTCTTCTTGAAAACATGGGACAACAGCAAGGAGAGTTGTCTGAAAGAACAAATTATCACACTGAAGAGCTAGGAAACACTGTTCATGTTGCTGATCATATAGATGGGGGCCAGGAAGAGGGTCTCCTTGAAAACACGGAACAGCAGCAAGGTGAGTCTTCTGAAAGAACAAATGATCTCACCGCAGAGCATGTGGCAGATAGCATAGATGGGAGTCAGGAAGAGGAAGAGCTTAAAGGCGACAATAGTTCTGCACCGACAGAAGAAAAATTTGGACTCATGCATATTGCTAATATTGGTATGTATGGAATGTATGTTACCATTTCCCACTACCCTACCCCATTTTAAAATTTTGGCCTGTTAGTTTTGAATGATACAGCAAGTGCCTGCAATTTAATTCAATACTGCATAGCCTTGGGTCCTAACTCACTCTCTCTGGAGCGTCTTCACCTCCATCGTTCTGCCCGGACACTGAGGTCCAGCGCCGAGGACCTTCTGGCGGTTCCCTCGCTGCGAGAAGCCAAGTTACAGGGAACCAGGCAGAGGGCCTTCTCGGTAGTGGCGCCCTCCCTGTGGAACGCCCTCCTACCAGATGTCAAAGGGAAAAATAACTACCAAACTTTTAGAAGACATCTAAAGGCAGCCCTGTTTAGGGAAGCTTTTAATGTTTAATAGATTATTGTATTTTAGTGTTTTGTTGGAAGCCATTCAGAGTGGCTGGGGAAACCCAGCCAGATGGGCAGGGTATAAATAATAAATTATTATTATTACTATTATTATTATTATTAACAGAAGGGCTCTTTCCACTGGCAGAGGAAATCGGGCTCCAGCATAGGTTTTTGCCTGAGTACAGGGTGGCGTGTTTTGGTTTTTTTGTGTTTTTTTTGTCTCTCACCCCACTCTCTAGAGCAGATTTTCCCTCCCTTTTAAGCAAAGGGGCTTATGAAAAAAGGGGAAAGGGGATATGAACAAAGAATGTCACACAGACCTTCCACACGGTGGGAGTATCTTATTAGCAGAATTCCATTCGCAGAATATTCTCGCCAGCAGAACCTTAGGATCTACCGTAAGTCAACATTTGCAAGATGAAGCACTTTTCAACTATCTCAGCACCAAAAAAATAAAGAGTGGGAAAAAGACACGTCAATATGGCATGCAATAATTTTGAATAACAGATATCTTCTTTAATGGGATTGTTCTCACCTAAACTTTGAACTGAAATAGGAACAATAAGTCTGTATTCCTAAACTGTAACAAGCTTCCCTTCCCAAATATTTTTTTTGTCATTGGTCTGTTCCTTTGTTATGTTCAACAAACACAATCTCTCAGCAAACCATAGTTTAGCCAGTTCCTAATTCAGATGCAATAGACTATTGTTACAGACAGGGTATGTGCAAAATGGATCATCACGTGAAAAACAGATACCATCTATCTGTCTTAGCTATATTTACAAATGCCTTGGAGAAGTCAGATGGCTAATGGCTCTTTTTTGGGGGGAAGAAATAAGACCTGGCAGGTTGGACATACCCCTTCAGTCAATTTATCTCCTTTTTAACGTTTTCCTTTTCCTCATATGAGAAAACCAGCCTCAGTCGAAGAAACATCAGCTTATTTAGGAACCAGAAGGTTGATCACTCATCTGTGGATATGGGGAGTAGAAATAGCTGTGATATTATGTGTGAACTGGGTTGTTGACTTGTTGAAAGAGGGGGGAAATACTATTGGTAAAATCCTATCAAATGCATTTCATGAAAAACTGCTTAGCTGAAATCCTCAGTAATTTAAGCAGAAATACTGACGCAAGCTTATGGTAGGAAGATTACCCTTCCTGCCAACCCTTGTATTTTAATTTGTATCTCTCATAAACCTTTTCTGTCAGATGTCACAAGGAACATGCCCACTTTACTTACATAATTGCTTCATTCTTTTATTCCATAATTGTATTCATCATTTGCAGCTGTAGAAATGGTGAAATTCCATGATAGGGATAATTAGGAAAGGGGTTGAAAATAAAACTGCCAATATATTAAAGCTGTTATACAAATCTGTGGTGTGGCTGTACTTGGAATACTATATACAATTCTGGTCACCACACATAAAAAGGATATGGTAGAGCTGTAAAAGCTTCAGAAAAGGACAACGATGACGGGGATGAATCAACTGCCGCATGAGGAAAGATGATGATGATATTTATATGCCACCCATCCTACTGGGTTGTCCCTGCCACTCTGGGCGGCTTCCAACAAAATATTAAAATACTGTAATACGTCAAACATTAAAAGCTTCCCTAAACAGGGTGGCCTTCAGATGTCTTTTTAAAGTCTGGTAGTTGTTGTTCTCTTTGACATCTAGTGGGAGGGTGTTCCACAGGGTGGGCGCCACTACCGAGAAGGCCCTCTGCCTGGTTCCCTGTAACTTGGCTTGTCGCAGTGAGGGAACCGCCAGAAGGCTCTCAGCGCTGGACCTCAGTGTCCGGGTAGAACGATGGGGGTGGAGACGCTCCTTCAGATATACAGGACCGAGGCCGTTTAGGGCTTTAAAGGTCAGCACCAACACTTTGAATTGTGCTCAGAAACATAAGGGAAGTCCCCCCCACCCACCTCCAATCATACTACAGTGGTTTACAACCATCCATTCTGGAGGTCCGGTTGTAAACCAAAACAGGTTGTAACCCAAGGCACGCTTTCGCCAATGGGGCCTCAAAAAAAAAACACACAAAAAAACAAACGGGTTGCAATCCAAAAAAAGGGACATGCACTTCCAGGTTGATGTGTTTGTAATCCAAAATGGTTGTAATCCAAAATGGTTGCAAACCAAGGTACCACTGTACAACCCAGGGTTATCTATTGGACTGACAAAAGGAGGTACTTCTTTACACCGTACTAGGGTTGTCATATGTCTGGAATTTCCTGGACATACCCGGAGTACTGAAGCCAGAAGCAGTGTCTGGGCAGAAATCAGCTAAATGTCCAGGAAAATCTGGACGTATGGCAACCCATGTCAGCAGTGTCATTTTTGCCAATTTCCCTTAAAAATAGCTCAAAAACTTCCTGTTATTTCATTATTTTTTTTTAGCTTTTGCCCAAAAGCTCAGCAACTGTCTGGATTTCCACTTCTTGATATATGGCAACCTTGTACACAGTACATAACTGTAATATGTAGTACTGGTCACCAACTTGGATGGCTTTAAAATGAGTTTAAACAAATTCGTGGAGGTTAAAGCTATCGGTGGCTACTAGCTATTATATCTCTCTACTACCTCCAATTCCAGAGGCATTGTTGGGGAGCGCAAGTGGAGAGAGTTGCTTTTACACTCATGCCGTTCTTTTGGGTGGCCACCATGAGAACGGGATGCTGAACTGAATATCAAAGCCTTTGGCTCTTCTTAAATGACTGCTGCCGCGTCTTATGGACATAACCTCGGCTCCAAAGAGATAAATATTTGCGCTTGACTCAAAATGATCCAGAGTCTTTTACTACCTGAGTTCTAAATCCAGTCTGTTGAAAAGTTGCCCTCTAAGATCCAACATGTTTTACTTGCACACACTTTCATTTGGAACCAGATATTATTATTTTTGAACAAATGAGATATTTTTTTGGCAGTGACTGGCATCTGGGAGGTATCCAGCTATAGATGTGACAGAAGCTGCATAGCAGACATGGAAAACAGCAGCCCTAATGATCTCATAATTTTCAGGGAAGACAAGTGTAGCTACTAGGCGTGATGCCTTTGCTCTGCCTCCATAGATGAAGTAATGCTTCTGAATACCAGTTGCTGGAAGCACAGAAGAGGGGAGTGCTATTGTGCATGGGTCCTGTTTGCCCACTTCCCACAGCCATATACCTGAAGGAGCATCTCCACCCCCACCAAGGGCCTTCTGGTGGTTCCCTCCCTGCGAGAAGTGAGGTTACAGGGAACCAGGCAGAGGGCCTTCTCGGTAGTGGCGCCCGCCCTGTGGAACACCCTCCCATCAGATGTCAAGGAAACAAACAACTATCTGACTTTTGTAAGACATCTGAAGGCAGTCCTGTTTAGGGAAGTTTTGAATGTTTGATGTTTTGTCGTGTTTTTAATATTCTGTTGGGAGCCGCCCAGAGTAGCTGGGGAGGCCCGGCCAGATGGGCGGGGTATAAGTAAATTGTCATCATCATCATCATCTAGGTGTCCACTGAGAACAGATTGGCTTGATCCAGCAATCCTTATATCTAATTGTACAAAGCCTATTGCCATGTCACTGTACTGCACATTTGTCTCCCCTCATTGGACACTGAGAATCTCCATGCAATTGTGATCCGACAGAAGTGTATGTGGTGTTAGGGGAGGGGTAGTACCTCTGGTGAGGGACACACCGTGCTCCTTCTAGGGTAGTTTGTCCACCTTTGGTCCCTACCCTCCACTCAGCTCTCATCTGTGACTCATAGAAGCTGTCAGCATGTGGCAGTGGCCACATCCTGGGAATGACTTTGACTGGATGTAGGCAAGGGCTCTCAAACCCTCAGCGAGTTAAGGACATCCCTTGCATGCGAAGACAGGTTGAGCAGAGACCAATGGTCAAGAAGGTGGTTTCTGCACGGGCCGCAGAGGGAAGTGAGGGGCAGATGGGGCTCATCAAGCTGGGAAGGCAGCCCATCTAGGAAAAGGAAAACTGATCCTAAACTTCCGCTGCCTTGCGTGGTATTTTTGGGAGAAGGCTAAGGAATAAACACAAATCTGGAGCGCAGTGCCCAATATGGTTGGATAGTGCCTTGCACGCCTCCTTCTGACAACAACTGCAGCCAGGTTGGTGCCAAACGTATAGCTGTGATTTCCTTTGGACTACATCAGAGAGGGCGAGAAGGGGGTCTTGTTGTCTGGGCAGCCCAGGACGACTTCCATACACACTGCCTGGAGAGGTCACTTCGGTGCTGCTAACACAGTGGTTTTGACTTCACCCCTAGAAGTGCGCTCCACTGTCTCTTGAGACAGATGGATGCAAACTATTTTGCACAACTAAAACAGCCTTCCCCAAATGTGTTCCCTCCAGGTGCCTTACACTACACAACTCCCATCATCCCTAAGCATTGGGACCATGCTGTCTTGAGCCAGTGGGGTGTTTTAGCTTAATGCATCTGGAGAATATCAGGATGGAGAGAGCCTTACTAGATATTGCCAGTGGAACTTGCTCCAGCCATGTTTGCATCTAGGGTACTGCAAGATGTACAAATGATTTGATCAGGAAAATCCACCACCACTCTTCCCATTTTTCTTCTCCAACTTCACACTTTCTATGCTTCTCACAGGCCAACCAATAAGCACACCCAGTCCTCATGGGGCTATTTGAGCTTTTTGCTATTTTGGTTTTGTAAACGGATGTGACATTTCTACATACTTCATGGCTCTCTTCTAATATGCCAGTACACCCTCATTTCTTAGCAGCCCTGTTTTGTATCCAAACCTATCGGCATTGAACCACCCGAGTTTGCTATTCGTCAAAATGGTAAGATGGATCAAATTTGCCACTTGCGTCCCACGGGCTCTCACTGTCTAGTTTCAGCCTATGGATGTAGTAATTTAGGTCTGTAGAAAGTGGCACTTGACTTGGAATCGTGGGAGAAGGGTAGGTAAGATAAACTGAGCACTTGGAACTCAGCTAGACTTGTAAAGAAAAAGTGATTTATATGCGTTGTATGTGCGATATAACATTGTGCCACCAGATGGTGACACAAGAGGCCCGTTTTTCTCTACCTGCTTTCCCTGTTTAAATTTACAATGCTTTGAACTGAAATGCTTCTTTGATGTGCCTAGAATCCAGCTTTAGACTGGTTATCTCCATGAATGATGAAAGATGGCAGAACATGAATTGTGTATAGAATCTGCACAGCATAACGTGTAGAGGAAAAGCAACAGCTGAAGTTTTAAGTGCTTTCAAAGATCAATTCAGTTACGTTATACAGTGATAAGTTGTGTGTGTGTTTTTTAATTGTAGGCAATGTTCATGCTGTTTTATGCAAAAATGGGAAAAGCTATTGGGTTACTAAAGAACACAGCACTTATTCTAGAGAAGAAAGGATCCGTGTTCTTAAGAATGGTGGCTGTATCAGCAACAATGAACCCAAAGGACTGATAGAAGGACTTATCAAAAGCACTCGGGGCCTTGGCCACCACGGCAATCCAAAGCTGAAAAATACTGTCATTCCTGTACCACATACAATCTCCTTTCCTGTTGACGATTCATGCCAATTTCTTATTTTAGCTTCTAATGGACTCTGGGAAGTTCTGGATAAAAGTGAAGCAGTACTATTGACATTAACAATGTTTTCTGCTTATCTGGAAAAGTATCAGCGCTCCCAACTGAAGAAAGCCCGCATGTCCAAAGGCTCCGAGTTACCTTCGAATGATTTGGAAACTGAATTCTATTCATGGTATTTAAATAAAGATTTTTTGGCAGATATTGACTTACAAAATTTAAGGTCCTCAAGTAGCGTTGTGCAAGAAGAGATGGTTCAGTCAGGTTCCTCAGCAGAGCAAGAATCAGAAGCAGAGGAAGAATCAGAAGCAGCGGAAGAATCAGAAGCAGAGGAAAAATCAGAAGCAGATGAGGAAGAAGCCGCAGAAGAAGAAGCAGAGGAAGAAGCAGCAGCAGCAGAGGAAGAAGAAGAAGAAGAGGAGGAGGAGGAGGAGGAGGAGGAAGAATCAGAAACCACTTTAGAAGTTTCTGGCTCATGGGACTTAAGTGATGATACAACTCATGAAAGCACAGAACAAACTCTAACCCCAGAGTTTGCGATAAATGTAGAAGAACCTGAACCTGAAAGTTCTGAATCTTCACAAATATCAGAAGATTCAGAAATCAATTCCAGGACATTTTATGCCCTTGCAGCTAAGTATATTAGTAAGCACCTTGTAGAAGCTGCACTAAAAGCAGGTTCCAGAGATAATATTACTGTTCTGATAGCACTCTTAAATGGATGTGATAAAATACCCACTTATATTTAGCATGTATACTGTGGTTAGGAGGATAGTTCAAGTGAATAGTAGTTCATCCATTTTATGATAAAAGAAACTGCCACAATAAATTCACAAAGTGAGTTATTTTGTATAAAAAAAAGACTGATTACAATTATTTCCTTTTTTATACCACTTTATTCAAACCTGAGCACCTCAATATAAAACTAAACACTGGTGAACTGTCATTTTCCTTGCTAAGCCCAATTACTGCAAATTTACAATCTGCACATGTAAGTTTCTGCTAGCAGTTCAACATTTAAATAGATTAAATCATCTTTTCTGACACTTGGTAGATTTCATATAATGAAAATAACTAAAGAATTAGTGCAATATACTGGACAGATCAAAATAAAATGGACTTTGGAAAACAAAGTTGCAGATTTCATTACAGACAGACAGTAGTACTTATGTTACATGTACAGGAGCATCATTTATTACTGTTCTAGCCATTAAGGAAGAACTTAATCCCCTTGAGATGTGGGGAAAAGAAATGTTAGCTCTTGAAAGTAACTGTACATTTTGTATACTTTTAAGCAACTCTTAAATAGTACAGAGTATTAAACAGATGTAGACTACAATGCAGTACCCTATTTACAGTACATTAATATCCCAATTTAAAATCAAGTTGAATGTACATAATTGTTAGTGCACTGACTGATTTTATTCTTAGGGGAAAGATAATTGTGTTATGGTCAACAGTGATTAAAACCAAAATCACAATATCTAGTTTTTGTTGGACATGTCTCAATAGTTTATGATGAGGGAAATTTTGCATTAGATGTTGAATTCATTAGCTGTGCCATTTTATAAACAGGGGAAAAATTGAATTAAACTTGATTTTTACTTTAAACTGGGTTGACACATTTACATATAGTGGAACAACTAAAAACCAATTGTTCTGCAAGCACAGGATCCATAAAATTGTTAATGCTGCACATATTTTGCAGTTACATTATGGAAATGTGGAATGTATATTTAAATGGTAGATACCCACATAAACAACATTTTGCATAAATACTGTGAATAAGCTTATAGGATCTTTAGAAGGTGTGTTATAGTTAGGGTTTTCCCCCCATACCACAAAGGGAGAATCCCAATTCTATTTCACTAACAGTAACCAATATCCAAAGCTTAAGGAACTAACCAGTTAGCTGCAGACCCATGGAGTAGTTCAGTCTCTATCCCTAATGACATGTGATACAGTTTATAAACCTTTCAACTGAAGCAAGTCTATCCAGCTTCCATTTCCCCCCTCTTTTGCTGAAACGTAACAGCCAGTGATACATGCATGTTATTAAAAATTAGGACAAAGTCGTTTCTAATACAGAATGATTATTTTGTAAGTCTCTTCGATTTTGGAAGCTGTATTGGGCCAGGTTAAACACTCCAAATTCCTTCGTTATTAACAAGTTAGGAAGCAGAAGAATATTCAAGACAGTTTAAAGCAGCTGAAGGTTTAGTTACTACAGCATTGACTCTTAGTTGGTTGTGTTGGTTCAGTAAGATCTACTCCTCTTCCTCGGACAGAGTTGGCCCCTGCATTCTGTTGTTCATTCTTCGGCAACTTTTTAGCTGCAAGGAAAGGTAATTTTTAAAAACTAGCATTAAAACTTTTTCTGTAAGCGTTTCCTACATACATCCGCATCTAATAAATGACAATTCTATACAAGCACATAAGGGTATGCACGGGATCCTAAGTAAAATCAGGCCAATTTGGAGAGGTATGTGACTCACTGCGCCAAAGTGAGACCGCTCTGAATCACCCCCCAAACCAAATCAGGGACCTCCAAAGTCACCTGGACCTTAAAAAACGGCAGTGTGTCTGCAGAAACCATAGGGTGGTATACAAACCTGCTGTTCTACTTGTACAATGGAACTTTTCCCTTTCATTTCCCCTTCAGCCTCAAAATCTTGGGGAGATTTGGGGGCATAAGGGTGAAGGAGAAAACCTACTGAACACAATCCACTTCTCCCAAACCTTGCCATGTATGGAAAACATCAGGGCTGGGAGAGACAGTTCTTGTGGCTGATAGGGGAGCTTCTAATCAGAGGGAATAAATTTACCAGGCCTTTGAGGAAGACATGATGAAGCGATGTACAATATTGTTCCTGTCTGTTCTGTACTCTTTTGCTGGTTCTGCAATGGTGCTTGCTTAGAAAATTCTAGATATTCAAGTCCTTCTGCCTCTGCGCCACATGCCCATATTCATGTCAAATCAACTTTGCACTTAATAGTTTCTGTGAATTTTGGTGCCAACTGACCAGAACACAAGCTTAAAGTCTGTCTCTCTCTCTCTCTTCCCCACCCCCCCCATCCAATCTATCCTAACTATAGTTCCTGCATCTATCTTGCTGGTTACTCTCCAAGGGGCACCATTGATACACCATTTTTTATACTAAAATGAATTGCTGCCCACAAAAACCACGGAGTGGGGAAGCCTGCTTTCATCCCACCCACCCCAAATCAACTTTTCAGATACCTAGTATAAAAACTACTCCGCTCTTCTGAAATGTGGCGGGGTTTTTTTTAACCTATAGGCACTTCTCTAATGCTTGCCATTTTCCTACAAATTGCTCACAGAATAGGGGAAATTAAGGAAATGCTTTTTTAACCACTGCCTACTCCAAGGAATCAAATAAAATGAGGGCAGAATAAAATGGAAAACATATATGTGACTTTCTATTTCACTAGCTCCAATGAGCAGAGGAAAAACACTGTACTCTTGGCTTATCCCACCAGTATGGAGAAGTTATCCCGCAACGTGGACAATGTGTTTTGGTTCTGTTTAAATCAAACGTGAGCAAACACAGTGTCTCAATAAAGAAGTTCAGAGTTTATCTGGATTTAATGAAAAACGTGTGGTGGTCCCCACAGGCAACAGGCTTTCCCACCCTGCTTTCCACAGCTGCCCTATATGCTCTATAAAAAGCCACTAATGAGGGTTCGGAAAACCCACAAAATGTGCATACAATGTAGCCTGCAACCATATAAGGGCAAATCAGCACCTCAAATGCAAAAACAGCAGAAATGCCTTCCACATTCAAGGGGCATTAGGGATTTAAGCCACGGTTTAGTAAAATACAAGCTGACAACATATACTTCATTCTGCAGATGATACAAAATGTACTGTTTTCTGGTAGACTCAAAAGAATTGGGGGCTGAAAACCAGTTGTGTCATAACTCTGAGGTCCTTAAATCTACATTTCTTTTCAATATTCTGCATTCCCCTGATATTACTAAATAAAGCTTTTCAGATTTGTACATTCCTTCACAATATTCTAATTTTGCTCAACACTGCCATTTATCTTGTTTGTTCATTGTAAAAGGTCAAACAATGTATGATTTAGAATGGCAAAAGCTTACTGAGTAAACAAATCAGTGCTCAGAAACAATGGGTCCATTAAGCACTACTATCAGATAACTTGTTTGGTGAATGCTATTAAGTCCCACACTCTTCAATGAAGCACATACAAACATGTTTTAAAAATGTACCTTCCATTAAAGCTTTACTTACCAATTGCCATGAATATTTCATTTACATTCATTGATGTTTTAGCCGACGTCTCCATGAACAATAAACTGTTGTCATCCGCATAAGACTGTGCTTCCTGTAAATTAAGCATACCAGTTTATTATTTCTTCATATAGTTGTGGACTATACACAGCATTTTTTTTTTGCTGCCAGCTTAGAATCTACTTTTCCTTTTCAAAGGCTAAATGTCACCATGCCAAGTGTGATAAGCTCTTTTCCCTGCCCCCTAAAAAATAAATAAATCAGTCTTTAGGGTTTGAAAATGCTACTGCACAAATCTGTACCAACACAAAAATACTGCAAATCACAAATCTAAACAATTCTGGTGTAATAAAAATGACAGGTGAGTATGAAAATGTGCAGCAATTGTGGGAATGAAAAATAGTAGTAAAACTTAAAAAACAACAACCAACACTGACAAGTAACCTTTCCAGAACCCAGAAAAGCTCATCATCTTAATGCTGGAATCTAGAGCTATAGGACTATGCAGTAAGATCAGTGTCAGTTATTCAGAAATCTTAAAATAGGAGCAGAAAACAAGCTTTTCATGAATGCAAAGTCTCTCCACACTACTATTTTTATTATGGAAAAGGCATGTTATGATCACAGCAACTTTAGAAGACAAAGACATCATTACAGTGCTGCCTGTGTCGGAAAACATCCAACTTGCACAACAGGACTTCAGGATCCTCTACTTCCTGCCTCCAATCCTCTACTTCCTGCTTCCAACCAAAGAAAGAAGTACCTTTACATAAATTAGTTATCTTTCTGGCTCAGAATGCATCTTAAAAGAAATGCACTTTGCAGAGTTAAGTGGGCCTTCACTAAAATACAATGAAAGAGAAACCAGCTTATGCTGAATAACACACCATCCATGAATATCTTCAGCTCCAAAGACAACGTAAGCCTGGAGCAGTCACTACTTGTGTCAGTTCTGCAAAAGTCATGTTTCTAACATTTGTGGCTACAAATACAGGTTTGGAAAGGAGACTGAAGGCTAGCAGTAACATTATCCAGAGAGGCAAGTCTAAAGTCAAACTAACTATTCTCAACATATAAATATTTGACAAAACACTGAAATTTTTCCTAAAATTGCCCATTTTAGGAAAGAATATTGTAGAAGACACACAACTTGACCACTAGCAAATTTGCTATTTGCTAAATTCATGAATATATTTTGCATGTATTCAAATTAGCAACGAACTTGCATTTCTCAATCTAATGTTGATGCTTCCCTCAGTAATAAATTGTCCACCCTTCCTTTAAAGCAGTTAGTAGAAGGAGCCATATAAATGCTTACATAGGGAATGAAAGAAGGATGTGCCCCTCCCATAACCACTGTGCGTGCAGGGACATTTTCCAGGTTTTTACGGCTTGAAATTTTTCAGAATAAGGCTCAGTGGTAGAGTATCTGCTTTGCATGCACAGGGTCCCAGATTCAATCCCTGGCATTCCAGTGTATGCACTGGGGTAGCAGTATCAGACCCAACCAATATTGTTTTCACTAAACATATTGCGTTTATATTCAAATTAAAAGTTAACACACAGGTATTTCCCCCCTTTTCCATACATTCAATAACCTTGTTAGGCAGACTGTGATGTTTAAACAGGCCCACTATCTGCTTCATGAATGAATGGAGCCTTAACTCCAGATCCTCGTACAAACATAATGTTCAACTTACCCCACTGCAAACTGCCATCCCTTCTAGTAGCTCCACAGGAGAACACTATACTCTTCAGATCTGCCTACACCATTATATATTGATTTATGTGAGAAAGAAGGTTGTGCTGCCCCCCTTCACTTGTAACATACACATAAATTATCTGGTAGAATAAATCCTTAAAACAGCTTGCTTTCTAAACCACTTGCATTCCCAAGTTTGTGTGTGTGGTTTCCAAAGCTAGCGAAGTAGGAACAACACAAGTTAACAAAATAAAAGGTCAGTGCTGCCAAAGACCTGCAGCAAAACAATAGCATGACTGAGAGGGCTTTAAAGTTCTGTATAATATTCCAGAAAAACCAGAACTTCTGATCAAATATAAGAGACATAACTTACCTGAAAATCTACAGCCCTTTTGTTAGCTAAATCAGCTTTATTTCCTGCTAAAGCTATTACAATGTTAGGACTTGCTTGCCTCTGGAGTTCTTTTACCCAATTTTTTGCTCTTGCAAAGGATTCCTGTTAATCATTTAAAGAAAGGGAAAAAAGCTCATTTATTCTTTTCCACCTTCATTGGTTTATACCACAATCAGAATTTAGAAAAAGAGCAATGGTGGGCGCTCATTACCCAAAAGCACATTATAATATTATCCCTTCTCTCCATACCCCTTTTGTTACAACAATTTTAATTAGCAAACCCCTAAATTTTACTTATATTTACTTGAGGAGGAAATCCTCTTTGCATCAATTGAATTTTGAAGATAACTAAAGATTACTATTTAGATAAAGCTTCATAATGCAGCCTTTAAATTATGATTATTTTACTTTATACAAAATCAAAACAGGATTCAACAAATTTAAAATAAAATACGAGTTTTAAAACAATCCATGAAACTCTGCTAAAGAATCAACCTACATTATGAAAGGTATACCAAAAATATAGTTATCCCAAAACAAACAAACAAACAAAAACAAATCAGTCAGCCAGAAACTGGCCGTAAATTGAACTTAGAACATAAAAACAGAACTATTAAGAATTTCCCCTTTTAAAAAACAATTCACGAATACCTCAATAACAAATGCAACACTAAAAAACTAAGCAGATTCATTCAGTTTAGTTCACACATTACCTCGTTGGTAATATCATATACAACTATAGCTGCTTGGGCTCCTCTGTAATACATTGGTGCCAAACTGTGATATCTTTCTTGACCAGCTGTGTCCCAAATCTCAAATTTTACTGTTGTGTCATCAAGACATACGGTCTGTGTTAGAAAAGCAGCTAAAGAGAAAAGAAAGCAATAGGATTTGTGACTCTACGTATGCTCATTACTTTTTATTTTATCTGGAAACCACTTAACGTTAAAAAACATCTGAAGTGTACAACATACAATAAATCACAATCCCACATCGCAGTAGAAAACGAAAGAAATGTTTTCATATGTAGAACATTCTTTTTTTCTTTTTCTTTTTGCCAGGAGATGAATATAGTGAGTGGAATTCAGATGTTGACTCCCAACTCCCATCAACTGCAGTATATATGAGCAATGGTGAGGGAAAGAGGTAGCAAAATCACAAGAGCCACAGATTCCCACCCCCAATGCAGCCCCCAGTGCTACTCCAAATCAGTTCAGGATCTGCAGGAACAGATTTGAAGGGGACACTGTGGGCTGCAGGGAGGAAGGAGCAGTAGGGGTAACAGGTATGCAAAATTGTGGCTCTCCAGATGTTAGAAACTGAGACATGAAAGCTAGGAGCTAAACTGCACCTAGATGGTTATGGATGCAACAATGGAATGTCTAGGTGTGCTTTTTATAACAAGAATACAAAGCTGGAAATGAATGAATGAACTGAACTAAAATCTTATGTTCATTATGTACATTTTTATGGTCTAGTCGTCTGAAGACTGCAAAAAACAAAGCCAAGAAAAAACAATTAGGTAGGATACTACAGTTGCTCTAATCAGGAAAGCCTGGTCACATATACAACATACAAGCCTTAAGTCTGAGAGGTATGATGGGTTCTTGAAACAGACAAAGCCTTCTGGCAGAGTTTAAATATCTTGGGAAGTACAAGTTAGCCACAAATCACCTCACAAATGCTGTTGTATATCGTAGAATCATAGAACTGTAGCGTTAGAAGGGACCTCAAGGATCATCTAGCAATACAGGAATATGCAGCTGGTTCATATAGAGATTGAACCTGTGACCTTGGCGTTATATAGTGGTTGGCATACAGAGGGCAGCACAACAGGACTGCAGACTTACAGCTGTTTTCAGGAACACAATGAACAGCATACCAACAAACGCTCGACCTGAAGCAAGATGAGTGCCACACCCCTTAGATGCCTTTGACTGGACTCAACCATCCAGGGGTCCTTTACCTTTTTTTACAGGTGTTAGGCAGCATCTAGTTTCAAATAAGCTGAATACGAATTAAAGTAGATATGAGCTCATATACCCATGCCACAACTAGCCCAGATCTTTATGCAGAAGCTGTAGTTCCTTAATGAAGGAGGCAACTGCTTTTAAAAGAAAGAACAATACTACATTTTGCACACAAAGCACCACCTCACACTTTACTAGGAAATTTTCTATCTTACTATCTATGAGTGAGCTATTAAACCCATTTACCCCTGTCTTTCAAAAACTTTAATGCAAGTATCTGTTGTCAGCTGTAGATTGGCTTCAACAACCTGGCGCCCTCCATGTCTTCAACCCCGCAGCCAGGACACACTAGGGGGCATCACAATGGGGAAGAGTGCTGTATGTGTACACCTTGATTTCGACACAACTCAAGCTTACACAAACCTGTTACAGCAGAAGCTTAAATAAAATTAAAAGTTACCTTTCGATCAACAGAAAAATTCAAGAATATGCAATATTCACAACATAACAAAAATATGGGACAAATAAAAATAACTAAAGCACTGGATAAAATACAACAGGTCCGCCTTGCCTTCAAAACAAGAAATCTTTGATGGAATGTCCCCCACATTAAAATCTGCTTTGGATGGCCTTCTAGAGCAAATTTGGTGGCATGGGGAGGATTACAGTGGTGCCTCGCAAGACGAAATTAATCCGTTCCGCAAGTCTCTTCGTCTTGCGGTTTTTTCGTCTTGCGAAGCACGGCTATTAGCGGCTTAGCGGCTATTAACGGCTTAGCGGCTTAAAGAAAAAGGAAACAAACTCGCAAGACGTTTCGTCTTGCGAAGCAAGCCCATAGGGAAATTCGTCTTGTGGAACGACTCAAAAAACGGAAAACTCTTTCGTCTAGCGAGGCATTCGTCTTGCGGGGCACCACTGTACAGCAAGGGAGGAGAGAGAAGGGGAAGTTTGCTTGTGCAATGTTTGCAGCAGTAACAATTGACAGCAGTAACAATTCCCAATAAATATACAGTAATATACATAGATACACAACATTTTCTCACCTCCAATCGTACTCTCTTGAAACTCATGAAACTGGCCTTTTACAAAACGAAGCACCAGACTTGATTTGCCGACTGCAGATTCTCCCAGAAGAACTAACTTGAATTGACATATTTTATTTCCAGCATTAGGCCCATTGGGTCTAGTTGCTCCTCGGTTGGCCATGTCCAAACTAGAAAGGAGTCCCTTGTTTCAGATTCTTAAAAAGACGATTCCAGGATGTGAACCTCGATGTGCCTTCAACTCAAATAACCTGTTTCACAAAACAGTATTCAGAAATTAGTGACCACATTTTTGTTGTTGTTTCGCAATAAAATTGTTAGGCACATTTGTTAGGCAATAAAATATATCCATCCAAATTAGGTATGCGTCTACTCCAGGGGTGCCCAAACCTTTTTCAAAGAGGGCCAGATTTGATGAAGTGAACATGCGTGAGAGTTGTTGAGCTTTTTTTAGGATTGAAGTTGTTGAGGGGGCGAAATACTACCACGGGGGCCGGATTAAATCGACCGGCAGGCCGGATTAGGCCCCCCAAACGGACTTTGGACATGCCTTGCCTTGCCTGGTCTACTCTACTCTGTTCATGTTCACAGCAATTCATAAACTGACTGTTACATTTTAGCAGTCCTCAGAAGAGAATGATCCCCCCCAGCATAGATAGATTATCTCAATTATGCTGAACATTGTATCCCTCATAGTAGATGGAATTAAGGTTCATCATATAACCATAATGTGCCAACTAACAACCTCACAACTAAGGAAGCTCTTGTGACCCGTTAACTATTTTATTCACATTAAAAATAGCTTCAGGCACACTAATGCAGACCTTGACTGTCTCTGTGGATAGCAGTGGTGCCTATCTGGTGGACTCCACAGGCTGTATTGTCACTGGGACTGGAATACACAAAATAGCTAAGAAATCTTTCTCTAATGCACATGTTATAGCACTGACCATTTCAGCTTGCCCAACAACAGAGGCTGATGAGTATGTGCTAGGAATAGGGTAGAATAAGGAGATAAAGAGTTGGGTAGGTTGGTCTGGGAGTCTCTCATCTTTTGACAGGCTGAAGTCAACTGACCATGAACTTCAATAACTCAGCCCTCTACAAGTGGTATTCCAAGGGAATGTACTTGGCAGAGGACCAAGAATGTTTATGGGAGGACCAATAATGTTAAGGGGGGTGGATGATCTGTTAATTCCCCTCTCCTTTGGCCCAAATGTGGCTCAACCTGAATTGCTATGCCACACCATTTATCAGGTCTCTTTGCAAGTTGATCCAACAGAGCTGGTTTGCACAGGAACTTATCAGTTGCTGCAACAAGCCTGCTTTATCGTAGATTTCAGACACAGCAACTGCTGGGTTTTTGTGTACTAACCAAAAACCCTGTTAGAGACATTTGGCGAAAGACTTGAGTAAGCAAAGAGATAGCAAGTTTTTCACTGACCACATTCCCTCCACCCCCTGCGTGTTAGTACAGGTTTCCAGTTTGTCTGCTACAATAACTCCAACTGAATTCTACCTGCTCTACATAGCAACTTCTACAGAAATACCCACTTTCTCCCCTAACTCATCAGTCATTGTCTACCCTCTGGTTACCAATTCTCACGCATGCCCCAACTTTAAAAAAGATAATTCACAAGAATAATAATTTGTTGATCTAAGAAACAGTATCAAATTCAAATCCTAATTGTTTTAATGCAGCCTGCAACTTTAAATACTGTGTGAACCAATATATAAATTGTTTCTGCAATATATTCACAGAACGACAACAGTTTCAACAAGTGTTTGTTCAAAATCCAGATGATCACATTCAAAGTGCTTCCACAAACATGCTAGGAGGGAGTAGAAATAGTTGCCCCTTGCCCATGAATATTAGGTGGCATTTCCTAAAGTGTGTGGGGCTGCCACATTTGTGTGATGACAAGCATTCTATATGTCACATCCGCACAGTAACCCTGCATAACAGTCACAACACAATCCAGATCAGGATTCTAACTTGTACAGCAAGTCTCCACACGTACGGCAGAATGCCTGCCACAGACACTTGTCCTCCAACATGTAGAGGGCAGCAAGAACGTGAAAAATGAGGTAGAGCCAGCTAGTCATTCTAATTATACCCCTACCTACATAAGGTTTCTTTATGATACTATGTCACTGCAAACAAGAAAATACAAGGTCATGTTTAACATGTCTGCCAAATTTGAAAACAGCAACCATGAGGACCAAGCCCATCCTCGCTGTTCTGTGGTGCCAACAAGGTTCTCATCTTTGCCTAAACCCAGCTAATATTCACTACCATTTTCATGTGGACTGTGGTATGCTCTGGATCCTGGATTGGTCATCATCAGCTACCTTTTAAAACACACACAGCTATTTGTGACTAAATATTCGTGAGGATGGAAGGCCCATTCATTGTACTTAAATCCTGCCTACTAACTGAACTTGCTGAAGTGGTTTACAGTATATTTAAAATACTTTAAAAAGGCGATAATTTTTAGGGCAAGGCAAAGGTGTATATGGTTTTATCTCTAGTTCTTATATATTCCAATTTCACTGTGTAGCTGAATCTCCTACAAATTACTGATTAAGAGTAGTTGGATATTAGGTCTCACATAGGCCAGGGCTTCCTCACAGGACTGCTGCTTTGGTCTCTCACAGCTTTTCTCTGTTGCTGGGTATACAAACTGCTGTCAAAAAAGTGCTACAAGCATTCCCCTAGTTCTAAAATCTTTTAACTGCCACTCTGATGCTGAACCTCTGGACCACAGCAGGTCTCTTAGGAAATAATATTGGTATACAAGTGCCTAAGTAGCCTGATGTTAAGTCCTTTACAGCACAGAGTTTCCTCATGGGACTGCTTATGTCTCCGACAGCCTCTGGCGGTAAATGCTGGAAGGACACTTACCATTTAAACATTTAATGCAGTGGGACATATTCAGAGTCAACATAAACACTGCATATAAATCCTGTCTGACTGCTTAAGAATTTCCTCAGAATTATTCCACTGGATCGTCAACTATTTCACATCCTGTTCTGCATTAATCAGGCCTTACTCAGCTCAGTGGCACCTTTCTATATCCTGGACAAAATGAAACTGATACTATACTGAAAGGATGGGTGTAACAAGACTCTGGTTGCTTCTCCACTTATCGTAATGGTTACTTGTAACTTTGAAAGAATGAAATGGTTTCCTCAACCTCAAACAACATTTTCCTTTATATAGCTTCATCCTTGTCAAGCAGGTTAGCAAAACCCAGCTCACCTGAGAAACATCTATTCAGCTCCAACATAGAAGTTTCCCATTAAAAACATGAATAGCTTAGCTGTTTTCTATCTGGATTTCTAGACCATACTACAAATTTCTATACTAATACAGATAATAATTTTAAGAGCTCAGAGTTTATTGTTTGACAAATGAGTACTGCAACATTGGAAATAGGGCTTTAAAAACCTATGGTATATGGCGGTATATAAATTCAATAAATAAATAAAAAGATATCTTTCTTGCGTGTATGGATTTCAATTAAGACTGCTATAAGTCTTACACCTAAAAGTTTGTGTTGCCTTATTCATTCCTACTTTCAAAATGCACAAAACAAGCTTACACTTGGAAGGAGCAATGATCAGCAAATACTGCAACTTGAGGGGTAAAAATAATAATAGATAGTATTCAATCCTCCTAGTTATATAGATTCTCAGCTGTGGGTGCTCTTGGAGCCATCACTGAATCACAAAGTCCAGACTGCAGAAACATACTTTTACACAATGTGCCTGGTGAATGGTTGTGAACATCTCTAAGATATGGATTAGGTCAACAATCATCATTCATAGGTCACTAGTTTGGTGTAGTGGGTAGAGTGTTGGACCAGTACCAAGAAAACCCAGATTCAGCCTCCACTCAACGATAAACTTACACTGATTAAGTTTGAAGAAACAAGGGCTGAGAATGGCAACCCTGTATGCAGCCCAAAGTTCTGATAAGGTGAAATAAAAATGTAATAAGTGATGCCTTTATAACCATGAGAATTGACGACTGTAGCTTGTTTTATATGAAACTGCCCTTAAAAACCATTCCAGTCCAACCCTCTCGATGTGGACAAGTTGCTGAGAGTACATCACCCCATGGTTCATCATCTGTACACAGTCCAGTGCCAGAAGCTCAGATATATAAGCTAGGCACCAAATGGCTCCTTAAACAGGTTTACAGATGCCAAAATGGAATAGCTATTTGCCAATCTGGGGCCAGACAGCTTGAAAACCGTATTTTTCAATACAACTTTTTGGTTCCTGAAATTCATTCTGATTGTGCAGATAAAATATAATGGATAGAATTCTACAGGATCTGTTGCTAGTGTGTGAAAACTGACAAGAGCCAAGGATCCCCAGGCATGCACCTCCAGATAGCGGAGTGTTCAGGCACCACCATCCTGTCATACGTTATTGACACAAATCAAGGTTCATGTTTTGATTTCAAGTAATATAACAAGCTTGAATCCTATTACTACCTTCTGCCCTTCGCCTGATCACTGTCTTAGCTTACATACAACATACATCTAACAAGTCCGAATACCACATAAAAGTAGCATTCCCAGTGGGTGGAAACCTTTGTCCCAAGCTCCACCAATGTTCCAAGTGTGCATGTATTCTGGCGATACCATAAAACTTTCTACTTTGGCTAAACTGGTTATTCCTGCAGCATTTTAAAATGCTTACTAAATATTTTACAATTTCTTGCTAACTTCTGTTTCCATAAAATTGGTTGCTCCACCTTAAACTGATGGGAGGTGTGGTCCAACAACATCTGGAGGGCCGTGGGTTGTGTACCCTTGACTTAGATGATGCCCTGAACCCACATAGAGTGGAACTAAATTACAACATTTTCTAAGACAATGATGTTTCATAAAAAGAAACAAAATATCTGGACTTACAGATGTACTAGTTCTAATTTCAGATATACTTCGGCATTCATATGAATGCCAAACGTTCTCCATATATTGGGAAAATAAATATTTTTATAACGTTATCATGATTTAGGATTACAATACAACTGTCAGTTATTAGCTTGCAAGATTTTACACTCATTTGCTTATTTATTCATGAGGCTGATGGATAATTGAGAACTCCATCTCTCCTTTGCAAGCCCCCTTAGAAGTAAAAAGCAGGTTAGTAAAATCATTTGCACTTTATAAATGCAATCACCTGGTGGGGGAGGGGACATAATGTTACCTGCCTCATCCACCAGCCCTCTTCATTTCTATGCTGGACATGTGATGACTGGGAAGGAAGAGGATTCATGGAAGCCAAGCAAGCTGGTAAAGGAGGAACATGGTATTCTATGTCCCTTCTCCACTTTCTTGCTCTTTCCTGCTGGCCAAGGAATAAGTGGCTTCGCTTCCTTTGTGGCCAGCATGGAGACCAAGCAAGTGGCAGATAAAGGACAGAAGAGGCCATTCTTCCTCCATCAACCCACAGCCTGACCTGCATGGAATATCTGGCAAGTAGTTAAAATGAAAAGCTGCTGTAACTCTTATCAAAATGTCCAGCTTTAATATTAGTTTACTTGTTAATGCAGCATTGAATACTTCTTAACTCTTTTCAAGTTTAAATACATATATGAAAATAATAACCAAACTGTGATAAATCAATCAGTACTGTACACTACATCATAAAATAGCAGGAGGACCCTCTGATAATACCATTTCATTGAGGGACAAAAAACAATGGGATTCCTGTGTGTAAGAAAATAGATATAAATAGGGGCCCAAGTTGGAGGGATACATGAAAGAATTTTCATCCAAATTCACTAAAACGTTGGTGCTATGCAACCTAATCTTATGCATTTTTATTCAGAAGTCAGTTTCAAGCAATTCAGTCTTTACTGTACATGTGATTGCTACCTAAGTGTGTTTAGGAAGATATCATTTGTTGTTTATTTAATATATGGAATTGTTCAGTAAGGTATGAAATTGTAACTTTATTATTTCTGTGCTTTGTATATGTTCTAAATTATTTCTCAATATTTTAACTCTCAAAGAATTACTAGTTTATTAGAGTAGTGCTTCACATTGTTATTTGTGGTAAATTTTACTGCATACAAAATGAGTTTGTATGGGAAAACGAAGTGCGCGCCCAACAAGTTATCAACTACTCAATACTTTTACATAGATATCTAATGCATTTGTCTGCTGACTATTCACATACACATTGCATTGTAGCTGCAGACTCCTTATTGCACAGAAACAAATCTTTACATAAATTAACAGATTTGAACAGCACAAAGTATCTGAAACAGTTTAAAATAAAGGGATTTCCACTTAAGCTGTTTTAAACATTACTGCACTTTACATGTACATCCCAGACATTGATCAACCAACCAACCAACCAACCAAAGAAGTGGGTGACACATATTAATCCTAAGTGCTCAAATTTAACGATTTGCCTCCAATTCAGTCATTAACTGATGGACAGCTATATAAATGACATAGTAAGGAACTGGAAGTGATGATGTTGTAACTACCTGTGCTACATTCAAATTGCTCAAGCCTTAAATTTTCTTTCAAGCAGCTTTAAAAGATGAAGCCAACGTTAATACCTACTAGTCTCTATCTGCACATGTTAAGAACTGTTCAGGAGATCGTGCCCCCGATACACCTGGAATTGCTTGGATTTAAAAAACACACACACAAAAACAAGTTTTTCTTACCCTGATCTCACACTGCCACCACAGGATAATCAAACCAGGACCGCAAAGCGTCCACAGAGATAAAACAAACAAGCTACTTTCTTAATTCTATCTCCACCTAGACACCTTTTGCACATCAAAATTCGCCACAAGCGTGGGAAACCTGAAAGGAAGGAGTTGCCTTTCCCTCCCGGCCAGTCTGCAGAGCGAAACACGCCGCTTTTTCTTTTTAACTCTTTCCTGGAGAGGCCCCGTAAGCCAGCCTTCCCTCCCTCCCTCGCTTTGCTCTCTGCTAGCCGGGATGGCTGCGTCGGCCTCCCCGCACCCCGAAATCCAACCCTTCAGTCGCTCCCGGACCGGGCGGCCCTCCCCATTCATTCCTCCAGCCGACTCTCCCACCGGCCCCGCCTCACTCGCTGGCCCGGGAATAAGAGGAAGTGGGAGAAACGGGGGCGCCATTTTGAGGGTGGAAAGGAGAATCCGGCCGACTTAAAAACGACGACACCGCCGGATTCGGGGCGCCGCTGTCGGAAGGAAGGGGCGGTGAGGAGAAAATGAGGAAGGAGCGAAAAGCGCGCGCGGAGGGGGGGGGGTCCCGGCCTCTTTCGTTAAGGCCTTTCCGTCTCTTCCCCCACGCCCCGCCATACCGCACCCCGGCCGGCCGGCCCCACCGAGTCGTTACCTGGCCCTGACGGGAAGCTGCGGCCTCCTCGCCACTTCCGCCCCCCGGCGAGTGTCTGACTGAAGGGGAGCCGGCGAGCGCCTGGTCCTTCCGGTTGCGGGTGGGTAAGGTGAGGGGATATGAGGGCTTTAGGATGCTCCGGTACCTCACGGTGCGCTGAGGCTGCTGAGGGGGGGAAAGGAGGGGATGCGGCCTCCAACTTCCGTCTTTCCCTCCTCCTCCTGGACCAAAACACAAAAGCACGCAACTTCCTGCGCCTGCGCAGCCGCCGCCGCTTGCCACGTCACCGCGCCCGCCCTCGTATCACTTCCTGCTCTGCGCTGTCACGCGACCCCCGACAGGCCGTTGCTGCCGGAGGGAGGCGCTCCAGGAGGGCTCGCGCTAGGGAGTGTGGGAGGAGGGGCGCCGAGAAACCGGCCTCTCTGGCTTCGGATGACGTCACGACGCGGGGCCTGGCGCCTGTTTCCCCAATCTCGTTTCATCAGCTTCCCTGGAGGCCCAGCTCTGCCAGGCACCGCCTTCCTTGCCCCTTGTCTCCTGGGAGTCGAAATAGGAACAGCTGTTTTTGTTCCGTGTTTTGAGCTTTGATTTGGTTTTCCTCATCCCTCCCCGTCTCTTTTTCCTTGTGTGCCTTTTAAAAACAACAACATTGTTTGATAGGGGGACTTGCCTTACTTCCATTGTAAGCAGCTCTAGGGGCCTTTTTTTGGCTGAAGAGCGTGATACAGATGCTCCAAATAAATTGATAAATAAAATATCTCGCATCGTGGGGATAGCGTCGGTACAGTTCAGATAAGAAACTTCACCTGTCAAAGTTCGCCCCATGTTATTTTTTAATGGGTAAGATTTTGGAGCAGGTGAATTCTGGACCTAAATTTTAGGGGGATTCCAGAAAACAATGGGGGGGGGGAGTTTAATGGATATATTATTTATTAACTTAGACTTTATTTCCACACGCACGCATGCACACTTGTAGCAGAAGAGGACTGATCATCAGTACAAAATATAAAATAAAATGGTTACCTGTTGAATAAAACAACAATAATTTTAAAAGAAAAAATATAGAAAACTTGCAATATGTAATGCATAACAGTTGAGGTAATTTTTACTGTACAGATAAATGGTGAATTGCCTTTTTAAAAAAACAAACAAAAAAACCCCTTAATGTGAAATATGAAAGCTACAGCTTTACTAAGTTACACCAGAAGGCTGCCACCTTTCCTGGCAGATGTGCTTCATTTAAAGGTAGAAACTGTGTAGGTATAACTTCTTACCAGCATGGACATGCAGTAAAGGGGAGAGCTGCACCTGCTGAATTTTGCTTCCCATGGAATTGGAAGAACTCCAAGATAGTGTCAGGAAATGATGGTGTTCTTAAAGACTGCTGACTAAAAGTGCAGTTAAAGAACATGCTCTTACACATAACTCCCAGATCAGCTGAAAGATTATCTACCCTGTGTACATGAGTAGAAAAGCTTTGCTTCATTGAGACGGTAATGATATAGCTCCTTGTCATTATCCAGGTCATACAGAACACCTACTACATGTATTGCAAAACTCCAAGCAAAAGAAAATAGGCTTTGCAACATTCCTAACTGAATGTAAGATTGCGTAAATTGGCAAACTATAAATTGGCAAAGTGTTGTGCAGCCCTAATTCCATGAGTAATGCTTTGTGTTTATAAATGAGGAATCTATAACTTTGATTGATTGATTGATTGATTGATTGATTGTTGGTATTTTTATTTGTTGTTTAGTCGTTTAGTCATGTCCGACTCTTCGTGACCCCATGGACCAGAGCACGCCAGGCATTCCTGTCTTCCACTGCATCCTGCAGTTTGGTCAAATTCATGTTGGTAGCTTTGAGAACACTGTCCAACCATCTCGTCCTCTGTTGTCCCCTTCTCCTTGTGCCCTCCATCTTTCCCAACATCAGGTTCTTTTCCAAGGAGTCTTCTCTTCTCATGAGGTGGCCAAAGCATTGGAGCATCAGCTTCAGGATCTGTCCTTCCAGTGAGCACTCAGGGCTGATTTCATTCAGAATAGATAGGTTAGATCTTCTTGCAGTCCATGGGACTCTCAAGAGTTTCCTCCAGCCCCCTTCAATCATATTCAGAGTGGTTTACAAGAAAAATAGAATTAAAATGTAAAAACCCCCTGAAACATAATAAACTAAATTAAAAACTACAGAAATCACAAAACAACAAAAACAGCAACATTAAAATTGTGCAAGTAATGTGTTGCTATATTATTTTAACTGTATCTTCTTTCTACCATAGGCGCACGAAACGTATTTAGTACCTTCTTTCTGCACTATCCAGTCCCAGGAAAGGTCAGAGCACCTAGGAACTCAGTAATACATTTGTGAACACATGAAGAGGATTACAGTGTACATTGTCAGGCTCAGCCCTGTGAAAAGTTCTAGACATCCCATATTTTAGAACAGAACGGATGCGAGCAGGGGCGGAATGATCAAGCACACACAGTAAACCTTTCACACAAGGAGAGAATTGATGGACGGGGCTAAAATATTGTGGCCATGATTTCAGTGGATTTGGTCTAACATGAAAAAGTTAGAAAGGAAACTGCTAGAAGGACTACTAAGCTGATATCACATAAATAAAATCATTATCTGAGTGGAAAAGGGCAAGAGAGATTACATGTTTCAATAGAGTTTGAACAAGAGAACAGGTTTAAAACAAACAAGGAAAAGTGCTTTCTTGACTAGTGGAAATCTCCAACACAATGTCATAACAGCCATATTGAGTTTAGAAAAAGATTAGATAAATCCATGGAAGATTTAAATATCAAGTTATATTGTATAGCACTCACACAAATTATATGCTTTCTGTATTCCCTATCAGTAAAGACAAAAAAATACAGTTAATAGAATATTGGTACCATGTGGTATCAATGCATACTGATTCTAGACATTGTTGAGTCTGATTATGGAGAGCATGCCCTTACTCTGACTTTTGTAAAGCTAACTTCCCTTTGCTTTTGGAAAGTCCCATCATCTTTCCATACTTGGACGCAAAACATGTGTAAATAACTCTTGAAAGAAGATGGTTTTAGATTTCCAGGAAAAATAATTGTTCAATTTAGTGGAATTTCTATGTGGAAAATCATTTCCCTCCGAAATGCAGTCTTGCATCCAGTCTAATATCTTGAGTGCAAATTCTCTCTAAAAGCATCATTCCCAGGAAAAGTTATCTGAATTGTGCCTCACAAAATATACCCATAGTATCTCAGATAACAAATGAGTTCTTGATTTTAAATGTTCAGCCAGCATGCTGGAGTTCTGTAATGTTTAGTTCAAGTCACGATAATGAACATACAAAACTGGCTTCAGAGGAGATAAAGAAATGAAACAAACGTAGTCAACAAGTTACACAATTAAATACTTCCTGTAAGCAGTTAATATCGCCACAGTGATAGCCTTTCTATAACTGAGATGAATGCACATGCATTAATTCAGACTCATCAAGAAGACAGATGGAAGGAAAAGTTAACAAGCACAAGAGATAATGGCTTGAACAATGGACCAGAAACTGGGAAAGGTTGTGGGAGTAGGGCTCTTAAGGGAAACGGGAGCAACCAGCTTGACGTTGTACAGTGACATTGTAAGCACTTTAATATGAATGGAAACAATACAGAGAAGAAACAAACAGGAAGAATCGGATGTCTTAGCACATAAAGAATGCTACGACCAAATTGGCACCACAGTTACTTGATGGGACAATGCTGTCCATAAACTTTGGTACTTCAGGATAATATATTATCATTCTTATTTAATATTTATTTGGTACCAATAGCACTTGCCTCCATCATGGGCTGAGCGAATTCCAACTGCTGGCATCAGAGAGTATTAGTAGGCAGGAACTCCTGATTACTGGGCAGAGGTGGAAGGACAACACCAGGGAAATTATAGGATGAGGGCAAGAAATGTCACCCGAATAATCTTGACATAATTAGAACATAAGAAGCGTCCTGTTGGATCAGACCAAAGGCCCATCTAACAACATCCTGTTCTCACATTGGCCAACGAGATACCTATGAGAAGGCTGATCAGGTCATGACAAGTCATGAGTGAAATATATGCAGATTTCCTCCCTTCCCCTCAGAGAACCCAGATGAAGATTCACAAAATATGGGGCCAATGTATCAATATACAGTGGTACCTCGGGTTACATACGCTTCAGGTTACAGACTCAGCTAACCCAGAAATAATACCTCGGGTTAAGAACTTTGCTTCAGGATGAGAACAGAAATCGAGCAGCAGCAGGAGGCCCCATTAGCTAAAGTGGTGCTTCAGGTTAAGAACAGTTTCAGGTTAAGAACGGACCTCCGGAACGAATTAAGTACTTAACCCGAGGTACCACTGTACTCTGATTATCCTAATAGCAGAAATTCCATCATGATGCCACTGTAACCAGGTGGTGACATCAGTTCCAGAATGACCTTGCAGTTGTGTGGATCTCTTGTTCCTAGGGTGTGGACCAAGCCCCTCCCACTCCTGCACCCTAGCATTTCTCTTCCTGTGAATGTCAGCCGAAGTGGGAATTTTCCATCCTGGTCCATTGGGCCAAAATCAGAGATTCAGAATTACTCCTTGTGATTCCTAGCAACTGGTAAGAATGTGTTGACAGCATGTTATTTATTTTATCGTGATTTTTATCAGGAAAATCTTTCGTAAACCATTTTGAGAGCCTCTTGGAGCTGTAAAATGGGATATTTACAATAAATAAAATACACCAGACTCTGTACCCAGGACTGGCATGGTCCCAATGCCAAGGACAAGACATTGAGAGAGGTTTAGCACTGAGTGGTAAGTACTGGATGAATAAAAGAGCTGGCAAAGGATGTGGATCAGATTTAAGAAGTATGGTTCTGCTAAACTTCCAGCTTAAGAGGGGAGAAGGAATCAGTTTGACAAATAGAGAAAGGGTATTTTAGGCATAGACACCACAGAAGAAACTGAGGTGAGAGAAAGTGTGCAAATAAGGATGTTTGAAAGAGAAACAACAAAGGTGACGATGGAGACACAGGTAAGGGAAAAAAGGCAGGCAGCTAACTTTAAAAGCAAAGACTAGAAGCTTGAGATCCAGGCAGAGCATGGGAGGGAATCCAGTGTAAAGACAACATGGGTGGAGACTGTTCCACTGACAGAGTATAACGAGTAGCGTTCATTTTTAATGTGCGGTTTTCTATTTTGTGGCTTCCACTATTCAAGGCAACTTGCAGCAGCAGCATGAATTAGAAAACACAAGGCATTTTTAAATATAAACACTTTGCCCCTCCTCCCTGCAAAAAGCCAGAATAGTACTAGCACAAACTGTAAAGCACTCGAAAATAATAAAGTTGGTGACCAATGGGTATTTCTGAGAAGGTGTGCCACAAACAAGGCATCACTACATAAAAGACCCCATCTCTTGGTCATGAACTGCGTTACTTCTGAAGGCAAAGCAGGAAACGGTTTGGGATGCTAAGGAAGGGAACATAGGGAGCTGCCTCACATTGAGTCAAACCATTGGCCTGCCTGGATCAGTACTGTCAAGACCGGCTGGCAGTGTCTCTCCAGGTTTTCAGACAGTACATTCCCAACCTTACCTGGAGATGCTGAGAAGTGAACCTCGTACCATCTGCATGCAAAGAGGATGCTCTGCCAATGAGCTGCAGCAGGGACAGATGTGGCAAGGACACGGACAGCTCTCTCTAATAAAAGCCTTTTTGGTCCGACAAACATCAACTGAGTTGATTGATGGAAGGTGTTGTGTTGAACTATCCATCAATAGTACCTCCATCTTCCCATATCTCCAGATTCCCTTTTGAAAGAACTTTTTATGCTTTTAGGGCAATGTGTGGAAGATAGGCTGTTGCAGAGTAAGAGCCGTGCGCAACTGAACAGTACATGTAATCACATTTTTTTGTGTTACTATGACATGCAAGTTGATGCCTTTTAAATTCCATTCTAAAAAGAAATAAATCAGAAGCGCCTTCAAGCGTAACTGTCTTGTCCAGTTTCTTCTCCACAGCCCCAATCAGAACCTTACTTTCAACACTTTTGATTTATTTCTGTTTATTTCCAGTGTTTATTTCCACTTGACAGGTCTGCAGAAAAGGAGGACATCTAGTGGGAAGAATAAGAGCGAAAATAGCAGGCCTGGCCTAGAAATTCCAGACTTGGTTCCAGCCCTCTGAATGAGAGACTGCAGTCACAATTTAGACCAGGGATGGGGAAACTGTGATCCACCAGGTGTAGTTGCTCCCATCAGACTCAGCCAGCAGGCCCAGTGGTCAGAGCTTTAGTCCAACAACATCTGGAAGGCCACAGATTCCCCATCCTGCATTTAGATCTAGTACGTTTAGTTACCTCAGCAGTGTTCCTGAGCATATTCCTTTTAAATAACTCTCATTATTTCCATGTTTATTTCTCATGTTTATTTCTCATGTATCTGAAGAAGTGTGCATGCACACGAAAGCTTATACCAGAACAAACTTAGCTGGTCTATAAGGTGCTACTGGATATTTTTTTATTATTATTTATTTTTTTGACTGCATCAGACAGACACGGCTACCTACCTGAATCTAGTCTCATCTGTGCGTGAATGATAGATAGTTTTACTCCTATGGTGAAAAGAAAGGAGTTTTGTATGGGCTGCCTATCCACTATAGCTTCAAAGCACATTCAAAGCACATGCCTTCCCTCAAAGAATTCTGGGTACTGTAGTTTGTTAAGGGTTGCTGGGAACCGTAACTCTATGAGAGGTGAACTACAGGGCCCAGAATTCTTCGAGGAAAGAATGTGCCTTAAAGGTATAGTGCGTGCCCAGCCATGGATACACCACTGAATTGTGCAAAAAACATGTCCCCCACCTCTGCTACTCTGTACCCAAACAGAAAAGGATGCATGGAAACACATTGTTCTGAATCTAGAGGGATTTGTTCACATGTTAGCCCCATTATCAATGAGATGAGTCAGCTATTACTATCCTGAAAGGCTTAAGACACAGCATTCAGGAAGCTTGTATTGTCTCTCTCCTAGAAGAACAAGAACAACAGGAAATTCCTGACTCTGCCCCATACAACTAAATGACTAAAGATAGAATGATGCTATTCAAACAGTAACTAAGTTGGTTGCAAGGGCGTTAAAGCATGGGTGGGAAACATTTTTTCTACTGAGGGCCATTTCCCCCCAGGGGTATTCTGCTAAGGGCCACGTGCCAGTTGTGTGTCAGGACAGCCAGAGGTGGGCAGGGCTAAAGTCAAAAGTGGACAGAGTTATTTCCTTTTTCTATCAATCTTGTTCTGCCCTCTTCTGCCTTTTTCTCCAACCTCCTCTCTCCTTCTTCTTCCCACTTCTCAGGGGAAGGACAGATCATTCTGGTCAGAGCTCTGAACTGATCACTTGCAGGCAGTTTCTGAAATTAGGCTGGTCCTAGGCAGTGGTGGCTGATGCCCATTTGGTGGAAGACCAGGAGCTCAAATTGGAGCCAGCTCCAATGATAGATCCTCCAAGTGTCCCTATTTTCCGAGGACAGTCCCGGATTTACAGAAGCTGTCCCAGTTTCTGATTTGATCCCAGAATGTACCACTTATCATTATGGAATAGGATGTCTCTATTTTCATCAGAGAAATGTTGGAGGGCATGTCCTCTTCTGCCTGGCCTTTGGCTAAGTAAACAATCTATGACCTTTTAAATATGTTGGGGGTTATTGGTTTGTTTTTGTATTTGTTATGAGGTATTTTGTGCTCTCATTTTGTATTTTTTATGAACTGCCCTATGTTCTTGAAAGGTGGTATTATTATTATTATTATTATTATTATTATTATTAATAATAATATCATAGAGTAAGCTTCCTTACCAAACGTGTCATGGGCTTTGAAGACACTTGAACTCAGGATGAAAGGGAGAAACGTGCTAAGAAGAAGGAACGCTTGGCAAACCCTCACCGTGATCAGCTCCTGCCTGGAAACCAATGTCCCCACTGTGGAAGGACGTGTGGATCCAGAATTGGCCTCCACAGTCACTTACGGACACACTGTTAAAACCGTGTTTATGGAAGACAATCTTACTTGGCTACGAGTGATCACCAAAGAAGGAGAAGAAGACACGACAGTGTGGGAAGCAAGTTATGGGGAAATGTAGGAAGCTGCTTTAATTCCGAGTCTGACCATTGACCCGTCTTGCTCAGTATTTGGATCTGTTGACAATGGCTCTCCAGGGTTTCAGCCAGAACATTCCCATCCCTACCTAGATATGCAAGGGATTGAACCTAAGGCTTTCTGCATGCAAAGCAGCTGTTCTACCACTGAGCTATCGTCCTTCCCAAAGGGGCAGCTTCATATAGGAGAAGGCAATCCCAGCCATACCTGGAGATTAAATTTGGGAGCATTTGAATGCAAAGCTTGTGCTTTACCATTGAACTCCAGCCCTTCTCCAAATGAAAGCCCCCCTTATGGCTTTAACGCATAAGACAAGAGACTTTAAATGCTTCACAAAGCAGATGTTGCTTGATTAAGTTCTCTTGAGATGCATTTCCTAAATGAAGATGGAAAGTCTTTGCATCTTTCTTTCTTCCCCATGTGATCAATCATGAGATTTTTGGCATGAGATCAAGAATGTTACAACATCCCCCCCCATATAAGCCATAACCTTTGCATGGCTTATTATATTGAACACTTCAGGTGTTCAATATATATAAATGAACATGAGCTAGAGAGATCATAGCAATGATGGAGTGTAAGTGTTTAGGAGGAAGTCTGTAATAGATATCAACTATTCTCTGGGTGTGCATATAGGAAAAAACATGCATATGGTCCAGACATCTCTTGCGATTCCTCTGTTCTATATACCATCTTTCATATGTCACTTTGAATAGTGAGGGTGCAGAATTAAATTTCATTAATGTAGATCAGCTATCCCTGAACATACCTTACCTCCCCTTTAAAAAATGCAGTTAGGGTGATTAAACAGTGGGGAGAAAGGTAAGACGACGCTTTCGGTGCATTTTTATTTCTGCATTATTGAATAGAACCAGGATTGCTGTACAGAACAAAATGATCAAAACAAATAAATTACCTTGAAGGATAGCCTTTGCTATACTCGCCTTTCAGCGGGTGGCGCTGTGGTCTAAACCACTGAGCTTCTTGAGCAGTTTGAATCCCCACGACGGGGTGAGTTCCCGTTGCTCTGTCCCAGCTCCTGCCAACCTAGCAGTTCAAAAGCACACCAGTGCAAGTAGATAAATAGGTACTGCTGTGGCAGGAAGGTAAACGGTGCTTCCGTGCGCTCTGGTTTCCATCACGGTGTCCCGTTGCGCTAGAAGCGGTTTAGTCATGCTGGCTACATGACCCAGAAAGCTGTCTGTGGACAAATGCTGGCTCCCTCGGCCTGAAAAGTGAGCTGGACTTTGACAGGACGTAACTGTCCAGGGGTCCTTTACCTTTTTGTCTGCATGGCTGTTCCTGCTCTGCAGGGTACATACTGAAATGCTTCATACAGTCATGTTTATGGAATGGGGCAATTATTCAAAAAGTAGCTTCTTTCCTTTGACCAAGTTCTGTCTAGATTTTGTTAAATCTTATGCTCTGGCTTGTGAACCAGAGCAATGCATTTTTAAAAATTAGTTACTGTTAAATTTGCTACACCCGGTATATAGACTTTGTCGTGGCTACTGTCTGACGTGTATAAACTGCAACTGACTGCTAATGTGTGCAGTGTAATTCTTTTCTTTTTTTAAAAAAATATGTTTTATTGCTCGATTTCCACATAACAAATTATCAAACCATATAATCACCTACATAATTCCCCCCTTTTTTATTTCCCCCCTCCCTCCTCCCACACCAAGGACTTCCCTCAGCTCCTCTCCCTGATTTCTCTGCACATATTTTCTCTGCGTATTTTCTCTGCCGTGGAAGACAGGAGTGCCTGGTGTGCTCTGGTCCATGAGGTCACGAAGAGTCGGACACCACTAAACAACTAAACAACGAAGAAGAAGCTGGGTTTTCCAACTTTGGCCTGTAGGGGGCGGGAATATAGAGTGGACCATTCCTTCCCCGTTGCTAGGATACGCGAGAAAACATCCCCTTTCCTGCAGCTCCTGAGCTCTCGGCTTTCTTCCTTTGCCAAGCGGATCCCTCCCGCCAGGATGGTGGGAGGGATCCCAGCCAAGGGAGTCCCCAGGCCGGCGTATCCGGGGAGGTTTTTCGACCGCTTTCCCGAGCTCCCCACAGTGAGTTTTCTCTGCCCTTCTCCTCCCCTCTCCCTTTCTCTTCTCCCCCGCATCTTTATAAAGATGTTGGACTGACACTTGCTCATCGCTTCCGCTCCTGTTTAACGTCACGTCTCTCCTTCAAACAGCTCCAGAGAGCAGCCTGGAGAAGGATGGCACTTTCAAGGGGGTGGGATCTATAAGATGGCCATAATTTGCAGGTGGAAGGTGCATCCGCTGGCATCAAAAGACCAGACGATTGCTAGTTAGAGGGCTGGATCCACTCTTAAAAGGCAGATCCACACCATGCATACAAAGCACACCCAACACTCGTTTAGAGCTCAGAGCTTCCGTCCAAAGCAGCCTTTCTCAACCTGTGGATCCCCAGATGTTATTGAACTACAACTCCCATCACCCCTAGCTAGCAAGGCCAGAGTTCAGGGATGATGGGAGTTGTAGTCCAACAACATCTGGGGACACACAGGTGAATACTGGGAATTGTAGTTTTCCCACTTGCACAGCAGCAGTTCCCAGCACCCTTAACAAACCAGCCCAAGTTACCAGCTTAAGTCCTATTGATTTCAACAGCTCGAAGCATGGCTAACAGTGTGCTCCTTACATGTCTACTTAAAAGTAAGTCCAACTGAGTTCCATGGAGTTTACTGTGAGGGAAGTGGGGTTAGGATTGCAGCCTAAGGCTGGATCCAGCCCAGACTTGATAATACCAGGCAAAATGAACCAGCAGTCTGACCTGGCAGGTATAAAGCTGTGTACACACTGTACTGTTAAAGCACATTCAAAGCACAATCTTTCCCTCAAAGAACTCTGGGCACTGTAGTCTGTTAAGGCATGCTGGGGATTGTATGTCCATAAACCCCATAGATCATGGAAATTATTTATTCTTTTGCTATAGAGAGAAAAGATATGCACAAATGCAAAATGAATTTTATTCAGACATATTCCTTTACAAACATCTCAGTGTTGTGAGCGTTTTTGTTATTACGATCTCTTGTCTATGTTGTTTGTCTTTGCTTGCTTTTTTCAGGCTGGAAAGCTGATGTCCATTGGAGAAACAGCTGGCCATTGTCTCACTGACGTCTTTGTAAGCACCCTATTTGACTATTGATTGTCCTATGTACAGACCACTGTGGGTTATTATTTTCTAACTATTCTCCCTCCAGACCATTATAGACTTACTATTTTACTTTAACAGCATATTACACATATTGTACAAGAGAAGCTCAAAGGGACTATAGTGTCCTGTTTGGGGTGAAAACAAAACAAAACAACACCTGGTACTGACTGTAGTGGATCCTGAATGTCAGTAGTTTTCTCAGTATTCACTACTTGAACTTGCTTAGGGTTGCAATTCTAAACTAGGGAATGAGCCCCACTGAACACGGGGCAACTTCCTTCCTTCCAAGCAAACATTCATAAGTTTCAAAAGCCTCAATGCAGTCAATCACAAATGTACAAATAATTTTTCAAATTTATTTAGAAAACTCTTTGTATACCACTATTCATAGAAACATCAAAGCCATTTAGAACCAACATACATATATACATTGTACAATAAAAGCAATTTTGAAAAATTAAAATCAGATGAGTAACCCTACAAAACATTACAATTGAAAATACACAAAATGTGAAGCTTCCATTATTTGTATTTTCTTTTCTGAGGTTGTCAAACACACTGCTGTGACTTTAAAAAACACACACACAACAACTTATTTCTGGAAGCTTGAGGGCTGACTATAAAAGGAAACCTGATATTCCCACCTAACTGTGCAGGCGTCTAAAATGGCTTACAAGTAATTGGATTGTGTTGACTACAAAGTAGTTTCTGTTGATTCTATTTTTGCTCATATAAAGCCCACTACGCTTGTTGGTGTTTTTTGTTTTTTAGGAAGTTAAATCCATGTGTCCCAGTTTATACTGAGGACAGAACCAGGTCACTACTAGATTTTGTATTTTCAGAAAATGGGAGGATATACATTTTGTTTTCTTTTTCTTTTTGTCCCAGTAGCCTGGATGCCTTTTAAAATCTGTCTGGTGTCCTGTGAGGCTAACCTAATTATGTCTGCCTACATTTTCCTGCACAACTTCTTAAGACAGTTATGAATTGCAGACTTTGGAGCAACAACTGCTTTTCTTAGCTACCCTCTCAGTTTTCCCCAACACTCAGCCTGATGAAGAATTATGGAGAACCCAGATGCTTGTCCATTAATTTGCGACATTCTGATTGGTCCAAATGAAGGTGTTAATTACTTTTCTGGGGGATTCCCTTGCCCCGCCCCACCCAACGGACCAACTCAGCTATCTACAGTATTTGCAGGAATATTCTTAAACTCTTTTCTTCTTGTCTTATAGCCAATTACTCCACCTGTTGTAAAAAAGTTTCGAAACACCAGCAACCCTTCTCCTGGTGCAGAGAGAATATTTTATGGCCGAGCAAATGATCCTGATATTGCATCACATTTGACACATGGCATAAAGTCCGTCAAGTCAATTTCTGTAAGAATTTAAAAATAATATCCTTTTGACTCATGGGTGGGAAACACAATCTTGACTGGCCCTGTGCAAGGGGCTTTTGATGGACATAAACTGGGATATGCTTGTCCCGTATAAGATTACCATTTCTATTTATATAATATATATCTGTTGACCTAAGTCTAAACATGGAACCTTGGGGAGCAGTGGGCACTTTGGGGTTTTTAAGAAAATGCTGTGGGCACCAGTCACAAAATGGCTGCTGTGAGGGTGTGGCATAACACAAAATGGCTGCCTGGTGGGCATACCATAATGGCATCAGTGTGGGAGAGACAGAGTCAGTGGGTCAGCTGGGCTGGGTCATCTCTTTCCTTCACAGCTACTCCCTTACTCACCACTTGTTTCCACATGAATCCAGCTCAGCCTGTCCTCCATCAATGGACAGCGTGGGTTTTTTATTCTTTTGCCCCCTGTAAGTAGAACAATTCTGGAAACCAGAAATAAATACATTAGATTGTATCCTCTGCCTCTGGTAACACCCCTTTGGGCAGTCTGGGGACCTGCACTTTACCTATACCATTTTCTTAAAAGGATGGGATGTGGGTGAAGTTGTAGTCACTCA